CCAGCAAGAAGTTTAGTTCACGGGGTTCAGCAAGCTGTGCTCTTCAGCTATCCTATTTTGATAGGGTACTTTAATGTATCATATTCCACTGTTCCGCCCACAGTTCATACAGAGAAGACTCCTCTTTTATTCTGATGCATACTGGGCTATACATTAACATGCCAGAACAAAAACATTTTCATCTGCAAAATCACCCAAGCACTGAGGTGCAGCAGCAGTAACCCAGCACCCTGGGATCCCTTGGGTAGGAGGGAACCTCAGGAGCTGCATCATCCAACGCTGGGCTCAAACCAGTCACTGCTGAATTCTGAGCAGCTTGCTCAGAGCTTGGACCAGCTGGCTGCTGGGAGCCTCCAAGAACAATTTACAGACTCCTTGGGACCTTGCCCCAAAATGTAATTATCCACTGCAGGTTGTATTAAAAGCCATTTGCTAGAATTTTCCAAATATTCGCCGAGTTTTCTGAAGCGAGGTCTGAAGACTGCCGCTGGAACAATTATCCCAGCAAAGAGTACAGCTAATTGCAGCTGAGAGGAATTCTGTCATTACACTAACGGTAACATGGAAAGTCACTTGTGCTGCTGCTCCTAATTATTCACCTTACTGCAGGAAAAAAGGGCACCTGTTGTGGAAAGAAATTTAGAGACCTGGTTACAGACAAAACCAAGACATATTTTAATTAAAGCTGGGGTAATAGAGGGGAGAAAGGATTTTTATTTTGTTGTTTTGTGACCCTTATTTCTTTCCTCCTTCAGTGCTTGCTCTCCAAAGGCAGAGCTGTTTGGAACACCTGAAGAACGACACTGTGTACATAACTCATTTCACTCATTCTACTTCAAACCCAGAATACTCTGAAAAGGCAAGTATTTATCAATTCCTTTGGTTATACTAAGGCCAGATCTGCCTAGGAGTTGTGTAGATCTTATCTGTGCATTCAAGAATGCAGTGCTGCTATGAGAAAGCAAAGAGCAGCCACAGACACTTCTGGATCACATCCCTGAGTACACCAGTATGTCATATTTAGTGGATAGTCCACATCCACTAAACAGGATATGGAATATCTAAATAAATCCTTACAACTAAACTCCTGGAACATCCCCTCAAGAAGCTCCACCACTCAAATTTTTAACCCCCCAGTATTTATATAGCAACCCTGATATATGCAACCAAAACAATTACTGCACAAAAATCAGTATCTCTTGGCCAACCTTTAAAACACCTCTCAGAATCACATACAACTACACTGACCTAAAAACTGCTGACCTACAAAACCACAAAAATTCTTACTATTTGACATGAATAGTAACTTCCAGCCTCTTTTTGCATGCAGACCTTGATGCATCTTCCCGGGAAATTAACAAATTCTAGGTTTTAAAAACAGACTGTAGTTTCTCCAACCAGCCTGTAACATAATCAAAATCAGATTTAATTGATGCAAACTACAATGAGTGAGAATAAGCTTGGACATTGATAGCCTGTTTCCTACCTCTTTCTGGCCACAACAGAGAGACTTAAAAATTACCTTTTACAAAGTTTGATAGATGTGCCATAGAAAGGACAGAATTCTAACTTGCCTTCACATTTGAAATTTCCCCTTCCAGTCTACATAAAAAAATTTGGTGAAGATAAGAACAAGCTAACCTTCTTTGTCAGCTTCCCCATCAATGGGGACATGCCCACTGTAGTATTCTCCCTGACAACATCCTGAATATTCAGCTGGTTCTGTAGGTTTGTGATCACCTAACATTGCCTGTCATGGCTGCAGAAACAGGTAAAACTACCAACAGGAAAATGCACAGATCTGTACAATAACAGACTTTGGACTCTCTTAGATTTTTTGAAGGGGTACAGGAAACATAAGATACCTCTCCCTCCTGTCCCTTACAAGAAATCCTTCAAAATCTTCAAGTAAACATTATGAACAGCAGTAATCTGGAACAGATTCTCTTTTCTAAGGCGCAACATTAAACACTCACTGTTCTGCCACTCTCAGTTTGAAACACTCTAATTCAAGTTCAGTGCACTTGTTTCTCTTCCACCTTTTACCATGCATTCTCCTCACAGCAATTATTGAATTACAATGCTCATGTTTCCAAAAAGAACACAAGCACTCCATGTATTTACCTATTTCTGCAAGAACTTCATCATCATTTGTTTTTGCACACATTTGCTATACATTCAGAATGTTCTAAGAACAGCTATTTAGCCTGCCTGTATGCAAGACCACGTATGTAATTTTTACCATATATAGTTTCTTCCCCATTTCACTGTGGTTTATACTGAGTCTTTCACTTCCTCCTGAGTCATCAAACACCAAGAACTTGCATGTATTTAAGTGTTCTTTCAAACTAAAAGAATGAGGAAGCTTGCAAACAGGTCACGTGACTGCTTTTAAAATGAATAATAATATTCTTATCAGATCTCCCTGCTTGATCCTTTCCACTGATGCAACTCTCAAACAAAAACCCTAAACACAGTTACAACAATTTTACAGGCCAGTGAGTAACCTTCTGTTTGGCCTCTAACAATAAGAGCATCCACCTCTAACGCTTCAGACCTTTGAGGTGCCATTGCCTGCCTCCCACACTACATGTTGCAAGAACTTCCTTCGAGCTACTCACCTCTTCCTCAAAGATTGGCTGCAGCCTGATGCATCAGAAGTCCTACTGCAGCCTAACAAGAACACCAAATTGCAAAGACAAGCCTACTGTTAAAAATTCACCTGTTTTTCCAAAGATATTCTCCATTTTTTAGCTATATGTTTTCCGACACGTGGAGAGAGATTTAATTTCAATCATGCTTTTAAGTGTGAGATATCAGAAATAATACTAAAATAAGATATTTCTTGTCACATAGGCAAAATATTATTATCAAAATAGTGGCTTGACAATACAGAACTACTTGATATCTCCACATGCAATTGAGACTCAAAAATTTTACTGAATGGAATTTTTGTGCAGCTTAGTTATCTCAATCCTTGTTCAATTATCCCAAATTAATCTGAACATTTTGAGTTGACTGATTTAACAATTAAAACACTCTGACACTCTGCTCTCCCACCCAAGGAGCTCTGTGGCTTCCAGGTACACATTGTTCTGCCCAAAAACCCAGCACAACCCAAAACCACACAAGCTGAAGTGACACAGGCTCCTCTTGCACCATAAAGGCACCTTCCACTCCTGTGGTTATTTATATCCTGCTGGTCCAACTCATCGAGGGAAAAGCTGTATGGATTCAAGATGTGTCTGGAATTAACAGCATGCACAGATACCCCAGGCTGTTAAAGAAATGTGTGTGCACACCCAGCTTGGGAAATCTGGTTGGAAAAATTGCTTTTTCGGGTCACACCTGAGACCAGCCAAGGCACAATACTGCTGTCACCAGCAATACACTAAACATTTTACAACTCAGTTATTATTGCCATATAAAGGACCACACCAATGGATGAAGCTCTGATTTTTTTTTTTTTTTTAATCTGGGCCTCACAATAGGAAGATTAAAGAAAAAAGAACAATAAAAGAAGTCAAACAAACCATAAAGCAGCTTCCATATCCCTTTGTAACAAGAAAATGCTATCTCCTCTTCTTTCCTTTTTCTAAATGATAGTGCAAAAAGTGCCCAAAGGCTCTGAACTCTAGCCCTATTAAAGATAATTTTTGCTATATGAGAGCTAACAAAGACATCAAAACTGTCAAAGCCCTAAACTGTCAAATGCGATGTTCTTCTTCCTGAACCATTCTAACAACTTCCGATGCTAATTGAAAAACCCCCTAATTTAGGATGCTGATCTCTAATAAAATAATCCTTTGCCTCAAATATTCTTTCCTAGGCTTATATAAAAAAAAACCTCTTTTTTGCAAGTGTCCATATAAAAAAAAAAACTTGCTTTTTTTTGCCATTCAAGAGATCTTAATGCCCCACCAGTTGAGGTAACTCTGCACATAATATTGCTTTACTAGGGGAAACCTAGACTGCTAAAAAAAATTACCAAGGGTAAATATCCACCGATAGCATCTGATCTCCTTCTGCTTTAAAATGGTATCTTTTTCACTTCCTGCCAAGGTGCTTCACAGCCTGACAAAAGGATGGATTTTCCAGCGGGTGGAGGCCAGAAAAGGTGGAAAGGATGGGGAGAAAACCTTTCATTTAGAAAATGCCGATTATGGAGGGAGGCGGCAGATCAGAGAGGTACGGAGGTACGAAGGAAAGGATGATGCTCTAAAAAAAAAAAAAAAAAAAAAAAAAACCCAGAAAAAAAAAAAAAAAAAAGAAAACCAAAAATATTTCCCTAAAGTAATAATCCTGCAGACACAGGACACATCCCGATTGCCCAATACATAATGCGCTCATTCAGAATTTTAAAAAATCGGTGTTTTTGTCCAAACGCGCGTTGCTCAGGGGACCGGCCGAGGTCACGCAGGGGAATCGGGACACCGGCGGCAGAACGGGACCGTGAGGGCCGGGGACGGGCCGAGCAGAGCGGGCACCGAGGGCCCCGTTGGCCCGGGCATACCGGGCCGAGGGCCCACCGCCCATTCATTCCGCGGGGATGGGGCCGGGCCTGGCGGCGGCAGCAGGGCCGGGCGGGCGCGGCCCGCGGGCGGTGCCGGCAGGAAGCCGGGCCGGCTCCGGTGGGGGAAGACTCACCCGCCTTCCCCTTCCCCTCCGCCCCGGCGGCAGGGCGGCTCCCGGCGCCGCCCGCGCGTACTCACCCCGGTGCCGTTGTCGCACACCACCACCTTCCTGCCCAGCGTGTCCATCGCCGCCAACACCACCGACACGGCTCCGCACCGGCAGCACCGACACGACACCGACCGCGACAGCGGCACCGCCCCGAGCTCCGCCGGGCCCCCCGAGCGCGCCGCCCGCCCGCCGGAAGCCGTCAGCGAGCGCCGCCCGCTCCGCCCGCCGCCCGCTCCGCCCCCGTTACCATGGCGGCGGCGGCGGTACCGGGACACGGGCGGCAAAGCGGCCTCAAAACCGAACCCTCGAGTCACCCCGAGCCCCCCCGAGTCACCCCGAGCCCCCCCGAGTCACCCCGAGCCCCCCGGAGTCACCCCAGCCTGCCAGCTCGCCTCTTTGTGCTCGCCTCCCACCCGTGCCGAGGTGAGCGTCACCTGAGGGGCCGCCCGCCTTCCCCCCTCACGCCGCTCTGTCAGCTTCTGTTTGCCGGGAATGTTGTGTCCATTCGTCTTCCGAGCTTCTGCTCCTCACAGAGGCCTTGCCCAGGTTTGCCCGGCGATTTGCATTTGTGTGCTGGGTTCTAAGTAAAGGAAAAGATAAGTGACCCTCACCTCACCCATGCCGAGGTGAGGGTCACCTGAGGGGCCGCCCGCCTTCCCCCCTCACGACGCTCTGTGTGCTCTGTCTCCCTGTGCTGAGCAAAATCAGCTCCTAAAAGCTTCTGTTTGCCGGGAATGTTGTGTCCATTCATCTTCCGAGCTTCTGCTCCTCACAGAGGCCTTGCCCAGGTTTGCCCGGCGAACAGTTTGCATTTGTGTACTGGGTTCTCCTCACAGAGGCCTTGCCCAGGTTTGCCCGGCGAACAGTTTGCATTTGTGTGCTGGGTTCTCCTCACAGAAGCCTTGCCCAGGTTTGCCCAGCGAACAGTTTGCATTTGTGTGCTGGGTTCTGAGTAAAGGAAAAGATAAGTATGATCTGGCTCCTCTCTGGCAGCCCCATATTTGTAAAGGATATATATGAGCTCCTGCATTGTCTCTGGGAGCCCCAATATTTGTTTATTGTGTTGCCCCAAATTCCACAAGAAGTCAGGAGCAAACTCCAGGTTTTTCCATCCATGCCATGAGCTGTGTCGGTCCCCTATGAACAGCAGCCTGTTCCAATTGGATCTCACACAATATAACCACTTGTATAGTTAAGAGAGTTATATATTGTGTGGAAAATCGCACTGTGAAAGGCCAGTGTCTGCAAAGGAGACAGAGGAACCCTGCAAAAATCAACTTTATTCGAATCAAGGTAGAGAGCCATGCCCCTGTGGGGTTTCAACTTTCCCCAGGTACAGCCTTCCCAAACCATTCCCTACACATTCCCCCTTGAACGTGTGTCCCTCCCTCGTTGTGCACTGCATGACCATTAAAATTAACCATTAGCCCACCCTGGGAGGAGAAGTTAATACTCATAAGTCTATAGGTCTGTGCATTTTCCCCCAAAGTTCAGAAGTTCAGGCTGTGCTTTGCTCTGCAACAAACGCAGGGCTTGATGTAGGTAAAGACCCCCACGCCCATTCTTCCAGAACCTTGCAGGTCCTTTCAGATCAAGTCTTTTGTAAAAATTTTAAACCCATTTCTTCTATCACATATGGATAGATGTACACATTTATGGTTGTCATTTTTTTTCTACTTTTAATTTTACAGAATAGTGAGAACAATGAGATATTTTATAAATACCAGAATATAGGCCATAATATTTGACTTTTTAAAACTTTAATCACATCCAGATATTGAGAATGAGGAAACAACAGGGTTGTCATACCTAGTAGGACGAAGAGGCTGTGGGAACAAACGTGGACTGATCCAGTGGCATGCTGGATGGAAGGATATCCTGGTCACTCTGCACAGCTTTACCTGGGTACTATTGCTTTCTAATATAGACAAGATTAATGATCTTCTTTTAATCTGCTTTTCAGAGCATGGCACAATTTACATTGCTCCTTGAAGCCAGATGTGTAAATCAATTCCTTTTCTGAGGTTAGATATTCAGTAGATCCTTAAATAGGCTGTATATAACATACAACCCCTTTTTAATAATGTTTTGTAGCTTTTATCAGAAGAGCGTTTTCCTGCCAGGAATTCAGGCTATCAGTTAAAGAAAACTATGGCAAAGGGTTAGTTTGATAATTGCCATCAGAATTTAAAGTATAATCAAAGTCTCAATAAATACTGATATTGAAGTCTAGCAAATATAAATGGTTAATTTGCTGTTTATAGCTCAGCATGAAGATTTAATATGAAAGGGATACAGGTTCTGTACCAGAAGTACCAGAACTTACATCCTGCATGATACAGTCAATAAATTCACCACTGTTCTTACTACCAACTGCTGTTGCTGTTAGCTGCTGGATAGCTGTAAAAGACTTTTGTATTTTAGTAAATGTCATGTACAATGCAGGAGAGGAAATATAATGTGGTTTGAACAGACATCTCTTTTAAAACTTTATTTTACTGATTTAGCTGGACTGAGATATTACTTCTTGTTTTAAAGATTTTTTTTAAAAAGTAGTGTCAGTAGGAAGAAAAGCCATGGAGAGAATTATCCACAGTTTCCTAAGAGCCCTAAGCTGTGACTTCTGTGAGTGAGCAAGATGTCAAGATAGAGGATAATAAAAGTATGATGACTAAGCAGGGTGCTGAAGCTTATCAGAGAAAGTACTACCTCTCTCTTATAATGAGTTTGATAGATCTTTATGAACTTGCCAATTAAGTGCTCTGTGCTTAACCTAATAGTGCAGGCATACAAAGAGAGGCAGGAAATACCCAGAATTAAAAGGGAAAATGAGTTATTGCAACAGCTGTCCTATAGCTCTGCTCAGTATAGAAGAGAAAGGAGAGTATAGTGATATCTTGCTGGCAGCAAAGCAAACAGTGTGTTCCTTAGCCCCACCTCCACTCCGCACAGAGCCCTCTCTCCCAGTGTGTGGAATTTGGACCTGGAAACTCTGGCTGGCTGGAGAAGCTGAGGCCATATCCTATGGTTCATTCCTATGCTGATGAAGCGGGTTCCAATGTTGTATTGGCAGGGCAGGAGAAAGACATTCTGCCTGAAAACTAGCATTAGTCTTTTCTCTTCAATAATCTGTTTGGTGCTTATTGAGCCAGTTTACCTTTGTCTTGGATTTATTTCATTACCAAAAATAGAAGACTAGAAATATTCACAGAAAGTGTCCCCTGACTAAACATTGATCGTTTTCTGGATTTCTCAAACTGTGGATGTAACAAGTTAAAAACAGTCTGGATACTTCTGAATAGATCATGGTTTAAAGGGCAGAAAAGCCCTCAGCAGACACACCTTCAACACTGTGACTACCTCATTAGCATTAAGGGACTCTGACCTTCAGCAGATCCTCAATATCTCACTTTCCTGCTTATCAAAACCAACCAGGCTCAGGTGCCAGAGGCAGTGTGGCCGTGGGGGCCAAAGCAAAGTCATTTTCCTGCTAAGAAAAGACAATTTGGTTGTCAAGCTGCACCAGCCCAGGAGTGCTGAGCAGGCCTGGATTTCTGTGAAGGACAAAAGGGTCTGGATTCTCCTCCCTATAAGCACCACCCATTCTGAATCATCTGAGCTGGAAGTACTGGCATAATTGCAAAACATCTTCACACAGATGGTATGATGCAGTGTAGCTTACATGAGGATTCTTGAGTGAGATATTTGGCTGTCATTAAAATACTATGAGGAGAGGTTTATATTGTTGGGTATTTTTCACAAACATTTCTTCACAGGGTGGAGAAAATGTTGGGTTTTTTAGCATCACAGGGGTACAGAGTATGAACTTTTATTTTTGTTGGCTCATTTCCAGATAAACATAAGAACACATTGTAAAGGTCACTTTGTGTTTTAAATTCAACAAAAATTCTATTTTATGTAGTATCTCTAGCATATATCCCACCTGCCATTCAAAACTTTTAAAACTCAACTTCAAACAAAGTTGTCTTATAGATTTCAGGCATTGCAAATCATCATGAATTTTGACAACTGTTGATGTGATGATGTCACAAAAGCCCAGATCCATGCAGAACATATACTCGTGCTGATTTCACTAAAATTTATGGGCCACAAATAGTTTTATGGTAAATAAAATCTGCCTTTATAGCTTTGCTTCTTATTTGAAACAGTTCAAATTCTGAGGCCTTAAGATGAAGCAGTGAAATGTGCAGATGAGATGTGTTGGACACTGGATTCATGGGATACCCCTGGATGCTCTCTCTGGACCCTGTTCTTTAGGGCAATATTTATTGCCCTAAATATTTTGTAGTTGTTTAGGCATGTGCAGCAGATGCAAGGTATTAATAAATCTGAATTCTTCACTTACATCACTGGTAACATTTTGAGGCCACTTTCCAGAGATATAAATGGTACCCAATGGAATTTCAGAGTTTCAGAAACCTGATTTCCAGAGATTTCAAGTTCTTTTTATACCAGCTGAAGCGAATGAAACCATTTTCTGAAAATTGGGTTTCAGATATTAAAGTCTGGGAGGCAAAGCTGGGTTATCCAAAATTAGATGCCAATTCTGAAAAGATAATTGTAAGTGATGATCTCATAGGGGAAGTCTGAGACAAAGTTAAGACTAGAATCTAAATCATCTGACACCAATCCTGTGCTTTAACCACAACACTGTGATTTTAATACTGTGAATCCAAATCCTGACTTGTTGAAAGAATAAATACAGTTTTCCAAACTCATCCACAGCACATGCAAAATAGTGTTTTGAAGTAATTTGCTGAATTCTGGTAGCTGAAGTCAATTTGTACATCAAATTTTCAAAGAAAGTGGTTTCAAATAAATTTGTTCTTTAGTGTGGTGAAGTTAAGCCCCATGCAGGTAAATATTACTTTCAATTAATTGATTAATGGATGTGGGGTTTTTACCATTCTTTATCTTTCTTTATCTGTTTTCTGTACTCCTAAAGTCAGTTCTTACCAAACATTTCTACATGAGAGTATCTGTGGTTGCTGTAAAATACTGTATTTATTAGAAGATAGAAAGCAGTGGGGTTTTCCATTTTTCCTATGAAGGGAGGCTGAGTAGCTGGGGTTATTCAGCCTGGGTTTGACTAAATGAGAAACATTTTGGAATGAACTGCAATGTCTTTCATGAAGTAGCTTTTCCAGAATGCATACAAATTCTGTTATTGCTGGGAGTTTGAATTGCATCTCCCACTTTTTCTCAAAAGACTTGGTATTTTTAAATTTTTAAAAATTTTAAACTTTTGTTTCTGGCCAAGTCCAAAAACTTACTAAGATTGAGAATGGAAATGGGGAAATAGATAAAATATGTGGATGCGCCACTAGCTTAAGATAAGGAAAACTCTCTTCTTTTATCACACTCAATATCACAAATTTTCAACTAGCAACTTTGTAGAGATTTTTTGCCCTGAATTTCAAATTAACTAAGACAAACAAGAAAGAAAGGAAATAAGGAATTTTGGGGGTTTGGTTTGGATTTTTTTTTTATTATTTTGCAGATGAACTTTGTACGTACATGGGAATTGTATGAATGAGAATTTTTATTCTTCTTGATTAGGGCGATATTGATATCTCAGGCTAGATAGTAAGAGAGGAATGTGCATTTACTTAGATTCCAGTGGCCAGGCTCATGAAGAGAAAGTCTCAGATGCAAATAAAAGACAGTGAGGTTGTTGCCTAATTGATTAGAAGCAAAAAACTGTCAAACATCAGGAATATGCAAAGTGTAAGACTGGCCTCTAATTTCTCAGCTTTGACAGTTTTGATGCCACTTGTACTTTAAATTAGTATTAATACTTGGGGGGAAAATGCAGCCTTTCTCTCTTTAATCTTTCTCTCTTTAATCAACACTTTATAAATACAGTAGCAGATTTCAGATGTCAGTAATGTATTTTTATGTGGCAATTGATTAATGTGCATAATAAGATGGATAGGCCTGTCTGCTGAGATGCTGAACAGTGACACACAGAGTAGTGCTGCTTGAGAAGGAAATAATCTTTTTTTTATTATTTTCATTAGGGCTCATAGAATTGGATATGCATGGAAATCAATAGCTGCTCTAAGATGGATATGACATACTGCATGGTTGCTCTAGTTCCTGTAACTTATGTAAATATTTGTTTCTGATTATTTTTGAGGAAACATCCTTTCTACGCAGAATCAGCTTTACAATCAAAGCCAGTGTTGGGAGGAACGCCCTGAGCAGATTATTAATCAGCCCGTGAGGAGCGGAGATTTAAAACAGGAGGTGGCAGCCGTGAGTAGTAACTCACTGCTGGCTCTGCTTAGTTAAACTCAGCTCCAAATGGAGTCAGAGCTGGGCACAAATAGCTCAGCAGCTCAGCCCTTTTTCTTCAACATCACAACGGCAAGCAGCCTGGATAGTGGAGATGGCAACAGCTAGCTTTGTCATTTTTGCCTGGTAATTAAAAATGCAGCTAATTAATTTAATGCTTTTAATGTGAAGCTGTGAGTTTTCCTAGATTTTTTTTTTTTTTTTAACATTTGGGCCAGTAGTTGTAGCAGGAAAGACTGCAGCACACTACAGAGGCAGAATTTGATCTGTGTCATTCTCCTCTGGCTCTGTTTCTTCTAAGTAGGAAAATTATGTTGCAGACAAGAATAACTAATAAAATATGGAGTTGATTTATTCAAATGAAAGTTGTCCCTATTTCTGGTCTCCTTTTTGGTATCCTGGAATGTTGGGTGATTCTTCATCCCCTAACTGTGGTGTACAAGCAGGTCATGAGGTACTTCTCTCCTTCATGAACTACCACACAGTAATGCCAAGATAAACAACTTTTATTAGCAATATCACTGAAATTTTCTAATCCATAGATCAGCAGAAAACCTTGCAACTGCACAGTCTCAGCAGGGAGAGGAACTTGATGACATCATTGTTTTTCCCCTGTGAAAATGCATAGTTGGAAAAAGACAAAAAAAGATTAAATGAATCAGAGTAGCTCCATGCAACCTCCCACTTCTAATCTTTTTGAAGAATGTGAACCGTATCATTCACTGGTAAAAAATGTAACCAAGAGAATTCTGCAGTGTGGTTAATTTCTGATGGATATTCATAGTAGGAATTATACTTGTAAACTTTGTGCATGTATTGATTGATTTTTCTCTACAGCTCCACATTTGAAAAATATATATTTTGGGCCAAGTTTCAAGTTACAATTTTTTCCCTCAGGTGTATGTGAAAAGTCTTCATTTGAAAGTTTGCTAAGCAACAAATCCTTGAAATAGAATAGGTTGCAACTCTGCTCTGCCTGGAAAGTACACATGCATGTAAGTATTGATCCGTAACAGAGCTAATAGAGCTAATTTTCTGAGCTTGTTTGTTTTGTTTTGGTTTGGTTTGGTTTTTTGTCACAGTTTGTAGGCAAAAAATAGCAATTTCCTCTTTTTTCCTGTGACTTGAATCCTGCAATTAACCTGTGCATGCACAGATCTGTCTGCTGCACACAGACACCATTGCCTGGATGGATCTGAATGAGAGACCACATTTTCTGTAACAGTCCAGTCCTGTTAGGCACAGCAGAAGGTCAGGGAACCTTCTGTTTAATCTTTTTATTAAGCAAATATTTCCTTAAGTTTGCATAAGCAGTCGCCCAGCCATGGCTTCCACACAATCCTTTAATAACTGGCAGGGTGTGGTGATTACATTTCCTCAGAGGCTTCTCCTCCATCTGACTACCAAAAGTAATTTATTCCTCAGTTCACTTGTTTTCTTTTCCTTCACTTCCTTTGTCTGTCACAGGCAGGCAGATCAGGGAGTTAATAGCTGCCTTTTTAGTGCAAGAAGTGGGTGGGGGATGATTCTTTGAGCCGGATTCCCTAAAGAAATAAGGCTTGTGTTACCACTCTCTGCCTATTCCAACACTCAACATGCAGCACTAATAATGTGGAACCCCAGTGGCCATTTCACTTCACGTGGAAGAGGAACTCCAGACTTCCAGCTTCCTAGCAATTTATGGAAGTGGGTGGCTGGGGGGAGGAAAGAGAGCCTACTACTACCTTCTAGTATTAAGGTACTTGTTAATTTATGACATACATGCCAAGTTGTGAATATCAAAATACCAAAAAATTTGATATTTATTAGGAGTCAAGATGAACACCTCCCTTTTTGTGTATGTTTGGCCACTGAAATTGTGAAAGATTGTGCAAAACTTACTTGATACAGATGATCAGTGCTGATCACTACTTTTAGTTTGAAGGCTGAGTCATAACAGTTGTTCTGTGCATTAATTTAATTTTCACTCCACAGCATTTAGGGATTGGAAAATGTGCCAAAAAGCAATTTGTTCTATGAGGAAGTGCAATAAACTTGGGCCTTATAATGTCTGTGTTGCTGGAGAAATATGGTTTTCTTTTTTTGAGTAGGTAGTTTTGGAGTCTTAAGGGCTCTTTTTCTGATTGTTGCTTTCTTGGAACAACAGTAGCTGCAGCCTTGGCTGGGTTAGGACATGGACAGATGTTTTGTTCCAGATCCTGTGTGTGGTAGAAAATTCTAAGAGAAATGAGCAAGAAGTCCATGAGTAATGGAATCACTGAAGTTGTCCCACTGGCCTGAGTGGATTATCTGATACCTGGCAAGAAGGAGGCTTTTGCTACATTCTTTTCCATGGCTGGAGACACCATCTGGATCTCCTCTTTTTCCCAGCTAGCTGCCTGCTTTCACTAAACTTGGGATGGTTTTGTGTCTTAAAACCTGTGATTCATTTTCAAATGTAGTTGAAAATCAGCATTGGATTCAAAAGTTACTCTAAGAGGAAGTGAAGACAGCAGAATAGGCACTCACACACAAAATATGATGACAAAGCCTTTTTTTTCCTTAGGGAATCAGAACAGTTGGAGAAGGAACTTCCTTTATATTTGGTGATTTCCAGCACTGGCAATGTTACTTCATTGGGACATAGAAAAGGCAGATGGAAGCAGCTTTCTAAACTTAAATCTGCTTTCATCTTGCAGCCCTGTTTTATAGAGAACTGAGGGACAGGTTTACAATATTGTACTCTTGTGAGGGGCCTTTGTTGGCATTTATTTGGAACTTGGTTATTCATTAGGTGAAAATATGCTAGCAGTTGGTCTATATCTATGTAGATTGCATTTTTCTTACATCGGTATTACTGATAAGATTAATTTTGTTTAACCTGCTAGTCATTTTTTTTAGACAAAATTACATATATTTGTCTAGTGGGGATGAATGAAACAACAAAATCCAGTAGCAGGTGCACAAAGCAATCTACCTAAAGATGTAGGTCAAGTTTAATAGGCACATTTTGTGAACCAGACCAATTTTCTGTAGTTCTTATCAACATCTTCATCTTTGATCTTCATCTCAGTAGGCAAGAACTCCATTGTTTTGTTAGTGCTTTGGTTGGCTTGAATAATTGTCTTCTTTTGACTATTTGAGGACATGTAGCTGAAATATCTGGTAGTGGCAAGCTATGCTTTTGTCCCAGGGAAAAACCACAAAAGCTTAAATGGAAAATGAGAGAGGAACCTATCAGATGAACTGTGCAGAACTAACAGCTGTGCACATATCCTCTGTGTCTCTGAAAATTGCATTTAGCTCCAGGCATGGGCTTGAATAACCTACCTCATGTTTACTAGCACCAGCTAAAAATTTATTCTACACAGAGAATATACACCCTTTTATTCTACACTGGGAATGTGTACCATGTATCAGCCTTGGTAAGAAAAAAAGGTGGGTTTCATGTAGATTATATCATTGCCTGTAAAAAAAAGATGCATCTTGACTGCAGAAAACAAAAGGGTTTTATCTAGGTGCTTAGCCAAGTGCAAACGTTTTTCCACCAAATAGAAAATAACTGTTGACATAACTAGGATGGAAGAATCTGTACAGATAGGTGTGATAAAAAACCTTCTTTGCCTCACTGAAATTCTCAGTAAAAATGTACCCTTCAGTAGGGCTAATAACAGAGTAATATTTCAATTAAACGAACTGTAACTTATGGTTCTAGAAAGTAATAAAGCTTCTACAAGAACTATATGTACAGTACACCCTAGGATGTGTTGTCTAACAGCACAGGTCCTAATGCAGGGGTAAGTACTTCTTAAATCTGAGGAAGTTAATTCCTATTACCTGCTTTTATTTTATTGCTTACATTACTCTATGAGCTAGCAGACTTCTGACTTAAATTTGTGCCTTCTTGGCCTTACTTTTCCAATTTTAATAGGTAATCAGTTTGCAGGGCATGAGCCCTTCTTCCAACAGTGCCAGTTTTTAATATTGAATATCACTGAGGCAGTGAGATGAGAATTCCCCTCTGTAAGGAATTCAGGGTGGTGTCAATCCTGCCAAATAGAACTTTCACAATGCTCAGATGCAGGTGGTGTGACATGGGTATGTGTTCCTGGCTGCAAGAGGACATATGTGGAATTTGGAGACTGGGAGGCTGCTTATGAGAAGTATTACTACATGCTCATCCTGTCCTGGATGGCCTTTTTTAGACACTGAATATTGGAAGTGTCTGTATCATGGAAAACAAGTTTTAACCACAAACACTGTGAGGAGTGTGCCTGAGAGCAGAGACCATACCTAAAGCAGCTGTGGTGTTCCTCTTAGCATGCTCAGTGTAAGTCACAGCACCTCAGGTCACATTTTCCAGTGCTATTTTCAATGGTCCTGGGGTAGTATTTTGAATATTATCAGCTTAAAAATTAACTGTTGCCCAAGAATATTTCACTGTTTTCACTGATGAATAGCTAAGAAAATCTGAAGGCCACAGGGCAGTCTTTAATTTCCTTTTTCTTTCCTCCTCGCCCCATTTTTCCCCCCTTGAAGCTTGCACAGCCTCAAATATAGGGATTTTAACTCTCTGATCTCATGCTCTAAATTATGACCTCATCACTCCAGACCAATTTCTGGTAGTCATTTAGCTAAATGAGGATATGTAAGTAAACTGTGGGGATGGTGAGGTTAAGAAAAAGCATGTAGTTTAACTTCTAGAACCTAAAATTTTAATGCCAAAACATGGAAACTCAATGTTTTTCCTAATGCAAATGAACAAACTCAATTACTGAGACAATAAAGATGGTATTGTACACAGCTTTGCTTTTCTTCTTACACAGATTAACTTTTCTTATTGAAGAGAACAGAAGTAATTGAGAAAGTAAAATGAACCACCCTCTAAAGGCCAGCCAGCTTCTCTCACCAAATGGTCAGTAGGCAATAAACAGGCAATTCAGAAGATAATTCATTCTCTGCATCTTTGATAGGTATTACAGGAGAGAGGAGCTTGTCCCTCAGAAGGAAGTGATGTAGTCTTACATCACTATCACTATCTTGGCTTTCAAATTAACACTAACAACCTTATCCAACCTGTTTTTATGACTGGAACCTAATGAAAATGCAGTCAATATTTGCAAATGCAAAGCTCTGCAGCACTATAAGTCTTTCTACTGTATTTCACCGTGCTCCACAGAGCAGCAGAGGAGATTTTTAATTTACCCACTAAGAACAAAGTGCTGATTTGGCTCTCTGCTTCTTGGAAACCATCTTTGCTCTGCTATTTCCTGTTATTTTCTCAGATTTTTTTATTTCAGATGAGAACAAGGACTCAAAATCTCTTTATGCTTGTGGCAGCGTGAGGTGATTCCTTGGACAGATGGGTGAAAAGGGAATGAAGAGCAGAAACACTGCAGAAAGTTTTCTCCTTGTATCTGTGAGGTTTTGATGCCCAGAGGCCAGCAGCCTGCAATGCTGACCTTGCTTGACACATTCAGCAGAAGCTGCTAAATCTCATTTCCTCAGACTTTCAGCATTTTTCATGGGTGTTCCTCCTTTCGTGACGAGCTGTGGGGCAGCTCCTGTGACACCTCACCTATGGAGGTGGCCTTATTTCAAACCTTTCTGGGTGCCAGGTTGAATTAAGTGCTTCCAGAACCTGCAGATGACCTGGCAGGAGCTGAATGATTATCCATAAAACCATTGGCACTTTATGGTTTGTGCCCTTGGCAGGTCAGTGGCTGGGGAATTTGTTCACATGCCATCTGTACCTGCTAGCCTTGCCATGCAGGAACAGGTAATTTCCTTTCCAAACATGATTGGCTTCTGTTATCAGTAGGAAATTGACAGCTCTTATATGAAAACAGTATCCAGTTTCCTTTTTTCTATTTCCACCGAGATAGGAAAGGAGTTATTGTTACGGTCTCAGTGCTCTGTCCAAGTTGTCTTCCCCACATAACTGCTTTTTCAGTCATTCAAAACTGGTTTGTCAATAGTAACAGCATCATATCTTCTACTGTGTATGAGATTGTCACAAGATCGTTTTTTCCCCAATGTCACAGGCTTCATTCTAAACAGAACTGCACAACCTACAGTGAAAAGATGTCCTCCTTCTTTTGTCTCTTGGTCTTTCTTCCTCATTTCTATGAAAGAATAAGAGAGTTCAGAATAAATGGTGCTGGTGGTAGGGCTTAAGAAACAACATCATGGAATTGAAGTGTACTTTTCTTCCTATTTCTTTGTCATATAAAAGCATTGATGGCAAGTGTCACTCACAGTGCTTTCAGTTTTCTTCTCAAATGGCAGAAAGCTGTTGCAATGACTTCTTTGTAAGGGTGTTTAAATCAGCAGATACAGAATCAGTGATGCTGGGTAGGACACAGGAAATTGCCTCATCCCTAGACTCAAATATCACCTTTGCAGAGAGCTGCAAAGGAGTTTTGTTGCTGAAAATATGATGGTGAATTTTATTTCCACACTAAACAGCATAAAGCAGCTGTGTTGGCTTTAACAAGTGATTCAAAGGTTTGCTCTCCCTTAAAGTTAGGGTAAATTTTTGTGCATTCCATGTGTGCCATGTGCCTTTTTCCTCCTGTCAGTTACTGGAGATGGAAATAAAACCGTGGTTTTGTCTGTGCTTTCGTGTAGCATTATTAATGAAACAGGTAATCCTATTTGTCTTGAAATCAAGGCAAAGATCTCTTGTGCTCTGTCCATCTGTTCCAGACACCAACAGCATGCTCATCACCATGGTATTGGAACAGTCTGGTGCACAAATAGCAATCAGCAGTTATTAACATAATATTGTTACTTGGTCCATAAAGCTAATATTGGCAGAGATACAAGACATCACTCACTGTGAGACAGTTTCTTGGGTGATGTACTTTGTTCTGCCAGAATATGATAATAGTCTGTATAAAAATCAGTAAAAGGATGGTTTTTTTTGTTTTTTTTGTTTCATGTAAGCAGCAAAAATTGCCAGTTTAATATAAATATATTTAAAATTTGTCTTTACATCCAGTAATTTACAATCCATTCTTACTTAGTTGTAGAGCAGCATTCTTTAGAAAACAAAAGGGCTTTTTTTATATGTATTAGATTTAATCAAACCACTGAAAGTTCCCCTTTCTTTCCATTTTTTCCCAGCTGCTGATATAGACTGATACAGGACTGGCTTTTTGCATGCAGAACACCATTTTATCTCAAACTGGACCTGGACAAGTTCAGGTCTGTTCAGCAGGTGATCTGTAGTGCTGAAGGACTGGCACGTGACTGCAGCCCACCAGGAATCGCCAAGTCTCCCAAAACATGCTGAACACCCACAAAATTTGGATGTTCTTTATTTGTCCTTACTCCCTTTCATACATCTCATTTATACATGTTCAAAAGCCCATCTTCAAGTGCCTCCTTTGTTTGGTCACTTTTTCCTTTCATGTAACCTAAGGATTTTTTTTTCAGAGTTGAACAGACTCACCTTTAAAATCCCTGGTATTTAAATTTCTGGTCAAAAGGAGTATATTCCTCTGAAGCGGCGCATTTGTGCCTATCCAGTTAAATTAATAGCCCATCTATACATCACTTTTCTTCCCTTCTTAATCAGCATATATTCCTGGGAGACCTATTTTGTAAGCTTGTCTACAGAGACTTCTTTATCCCAGCAAGATGGAGCCTTTTGATCCTGCAGCTTCACAGTTGCAGGGTTGCAGCCATGAAACAAAAGTGAAACCAAGGCATGACAGTTCCTGGGTTTTATACACAATGACTTTTGCTCGCTCTAGAAGGCAACCTGCTGCCAAATTAATATTTCTGTAAGCATTATAGTGCCCATACCAGTGCTGCTCTAATGAGAGGGAACATCTTTATCTGAGCTGGGTGTGATGATATCAGCAGGGATGAGCAGATTGTGTCAGCAATTATGACTCTTTCAGGGAACATGAAACTTAAAATTATCATGATGTTGGTTCAGTCTCCATTTTTATATCATTAGCTTCCTTTTTTTAAAGTTATCTACAATAGCTAACTACCATTAATAATTAACTATCAACTATCACAGTAAACTAATTAAAAAATGTAAATGGATTCTTAAGGATGTTGTTGCCAAATGGAGGCATCCATTTGTTTGGAAAGGCCAACAGGATCTCGTTATTACAAAAGAGGATCATTTCCTGCAGGTCAGCTCTGTCTTGAACACTTTTTGTGTTTAAAATTAATAAAATTAATAGAAAATAGCTTTTGGCTCAGCGAAGGGAAAGAGTCTAAAGTACTGAGTGATTCTTATACATGTCTAGATGCAATGAAGGGCAGAGGGCAGCATTTTTATCCTGTGTCATTCCCTGTTATCACTCTCAGTTATTAAGCAAGTGGTGGGTATTAACATCAACTTTGCCTCAAACATTTAAAAGATGTTACTTACTAGACAAAGTGCATGTGCCCCATGTTATTTCTTTCAGTGCCTATCTCTGACTGGATGCATGCCAGATAGTCCTTTGGGATATAACCCAGTGAGCAGGAGAAATGGGTTTGGACTTGGCAAAGTGGCAATAAGCATAAAGGTACAGTTGGAACTTTCTTGGAATACTCTCTCCTATCCTATTATCCTAGGCCAGTATCTCGGTTCTCTGCAGCCAAATGCTTCAGAGCAATGTTGTGGAGAGGAATGAGTAATTTCTGACTCAGTTTAGTGCATTTATCAATACTGAAAAAGCTACAGCTGGACTAAATGCCATGTCCACAGCTTGTTTCATGAAGCTCTTTTTGTCATGTAGAGTGACATGTGAAAACACATTGCTTCAGCTTTTATAAGAAAGATCTGTTGCAAGTCATGTTATATCCCTGAATACAAAAAGTTTCCAGGGATTGTTTTGGTCTCTTTGCTCCTGTGCCTGCAATGAACATTGCAACAGTACATGTTGCCACTGCAGTCTCCCCTTGTCCTCTTCATTTGAGATAGGCTGAATCCTCCTCTGTAATCTTGGAGATTTATGACTTTCAGCATGAAATGTAACCACTAAAATAGGGCAGATGGTTTTTCTGCACAATTCTGAATGACTAGCAGGATTTGGTGGAGAATATATCATAGTTTTGTAGAACTGGGTGCCTTTCAAAATAGCTACTCAGAGTGGGGTGCTCGTTCAATTCACCACGTGTTACACTGGGCACGCTCTAGAAAAGATCAGACACTGCTTTGAATTAACAAGAAGGGCTGGGATCTCTGATATTGCTAATTATGTGTTGGTGGAAAGCACAGTAGCCCATTGTGCTTTCTGAACTAGAGTATTAGAACAAAAAAAAGCAGTGAAAAGTCATCACTGCAGAAGCTGTCACCCTTGTTCCCTTCTGTGCTCCAGCTCTTCTACAGGGAGGTCTCATGGACACCAAAGAGGAAAGCAAATGCAGTTGTCCTGATTATTTCTTGTTTCTTCAAATCCCATCACACACAATAATCCTCTGTGGCTTTCTGCCCCACACGATGTTTTGATGCTCTTGATTTAGCTACAATGTTCCTATGGCTTTTGAACCATGCATTTTAGCAAATTTTCTATTTGGACATAAAAGCCCAGATATGGAATGCATATTACACAGGGCAATATTGTGTTAGAAAACAGGCAAAATTAAGTAGTTAATCCCATGTACTCAAACTGTCACCCTTTGTTGCAGGGTACAAAAGGAATCTCATTAGTTAATGAATAGAGGCAAGGCATGCAGTGTGTAGGGAGTGACTGCATTTAATTGTGAATTACTTGATCTTTGAAAATCTTTTCTTAAGGTAAAATAATCAAATAATTTCAGTACCTTGTCTCAAATAATATTATTTGTAGTTATTTTTCACAATTGCAAGCGGAATGTAAATAGGTAATGGTGAATTTATAGCTCCTGAAATGATATCTGTTCTCTCTCCTTTTGCTTGCTTTCAGGAAGAAACTGGAGAGCTGCTTCATCAGTGCCAATCCATGCTGTGGTTGGTCTCATGAAAAGGATCTTATTGATGAATTAGTGCAGCTACCCTCCCAGCCATGGAAGAATACCTCATACAAAAAAATCCATAGGTGACTAATAGGTGTGGTAAGCAGCTTGTGAGATTTGGGAGAAACGTTCTGCTATCCTGGAAATCAACCTAGACCTAAATTACCTTCCATTGTGGATATTTTAGTCTTAATTCATGCTTTTCCACCACATTTCAGAACATATCCTTTATCTGAACAGCTTTGCTTTCTTGTTTGTTTGTTTTTCATGTTTGTCAGTCATTACACAGTGCTATTTAGAATCAATTTAGCACCCTTCCACGTGTTGAGTGGCTGTGGTGAGTGATGATTGCAGGATCAGCCTGCTAGTAATTAAATGTTGCTGCCTCTTAGCTTGAAAATGAAACATCTCTATGGAATGTAAGTGTTTCTTGCTTTATTTAGGTTGGGCATGTCTAAATAGCATGGGTAGGTTTACCAAGTCAGTGCAGGCACAGTGCAATCGTAAAATAATAAACTAAAAAAGCAAAATGAAGAAGGGGGAAGAAGAGAGAGAGAGAGAGGAAGAAGAGAAGAAGAAATTGAGAGAAGGGAAACAAATTCAACCAATCATTAAAACTTTGAATTTCATGGGAAATGTTCTACACTTTGCTGAATCTTGGGTGTAATTTCCTAATTTTGGCATTGTGCTGTCCAGATAAAAGCTTCCTGTCTGGACTCATTTTTACTCACAGATGGGTCTTCAAAATTGGTAAGTGTTAAGTTGTGTAAAACAGGACGTGTTGCCTGCTTGTTGAAGCCTGGAGGGGTCCCTGTCTCAGTAAAGCAGAGGCTGGGTTCCTTACCATTTGTGGACCCACTGAATGCTTGATTTTCATATTGGCTTTACCACTATGAAGAGTTTAACCTCTTGAATTCAGTGATTAATGTTCTAAGCAGAACGAAGCCCTTTTTTTTTTCTCAAAATCTGCTGCCAAAAATCAAATTATTTCAGCATTCAAAGACAGTTCTTTGCTTCTTCAAAGACTTATTAGACTGATCTGTCCCATTCTCCTCACAGGACTGCAGCAGTGTAACCTCATATGATACAAATGCTGAGCTTCTGTTTGAAATAATAGGGATGATGCCTAATCCTGAACAGACCTCAGAAGGATTTTAAATAAAGGTTGTCACTGAGAGGCCTGTAAGCTGCCCTCACTTAGTTCTGTCTGGTCTGTGTTAGGCTGAAGATGAAGGCATTTGAATGTCTTAATCGAAGCAGAGTGTGAGCTTTTAACCTAGAGCTCTTGTTACATTTAAGGATCGCTGCTGAATAACAATAATAAAAGATTAATCCCATCTGGTTTACTGTTGATTGTTGGTTTAATTTAGTGTATGATGACTCAAAGTTTAGTCTGCCAGCCAGTGAAGGTATGCAGTTATCAACATTACTGATAGGATAAACCAATTATGTAAGGTTATTTTCAAATCTCCCTAAATCCCATAATACTTCACCAAGTAAAACCCTTGAGCTAAAATGTACCTGTTTACAGAAAGGTACAACATCAAATGGAGGTTTCATTCAGAACTTTGGGTAGACTAATTGGCCTTGTTGGCTGCTTTTTTTCCCCTCTGTTTCCATTTTTAGGTATGAAATACAGCAAACTGAAAAGAAAGTGTGGACAAGAAAAACACAGTTGTAAGAAAGAATGTTGAGAGTTTTCAGAAACACTTCTTTGCTTGCAAGGCTGTGGAGGGCCAAGCCCTGAATGGTATGTTCTGTGTCTTGAGTGTCTAGTTAGTGCTGCATCTTTGAGCTGTAAGAGTATTTCCAAAACCCTGTGTCTAACCATTGCCTTGGCAGGACTCCAGACTAACCCTGTGGGGAGAGGAAAGTGCCTGTGGAGCTTGGCAAAAGTTGCTTGTCCTTTCCTCCTGATGATACGCATTTGTTCCTGGGTAGTGTGGGAGGTGGCTCCTCCTTCCTGCATTTGTAGCCACCATGGAAACAGATAATTCCAAAAGACAGTCTAATAATGCTGTTGCAGACCCAAATGTCCTTACAGCGGTCTGAGACTCTCTCCTGACACTAAATTGTACATGCATGTGCAACCAGTGTCACAAGCCTAATCATAAATGCCCCAAACCAAGTGAGACAGAGACTCCAAGGGGTGAACAGCATGAGAACGACATGCCAAGGGCCAAGAGAGACAAAAAAAACCACAAAGAGATTCAAAGTTTACTTCATGGAAAGTGTGAAATGATATTGTCAATGTCAGGCCATGAGACAAGGGAGGCAATACAGAAAGTATTGAAGATGCTGTGCAAGGCAAGTGTGTAAAAAGGATGAACAAACAGAGGAGGATCGTGAGCAAAGAAAAATTGAGAAGAAAGGTTTTGAAAGAAGTGGTCAGAAGAGAAGCCTGGTGGCACAAAAGCTGATAGAGAAGACAAGGGGCATGGCAGCAGAATGAAGGCTGAAAGCACAGCCATTGATTTAATTTGCTGCTTTTCTTTGGAAATGTATCCTTTTGCCAGTTCTGGGTGCCATGCACATGTGTAAGAACATACAAGCTTTTCAGCTTGCCAGGGTGAAACTGCCTTCCAGAACTGAGACCCAATGAAACAACCTTCAGTATTAAATCAATGTCAGTGCTCAATAACATCCGGTGCCAGGCAGGGAGATGCCAGCCCCGCTGGGTGAGTACTGCCAGAGCATTTGGATGCTAATTGGCTGATTAATCGAGCTCTTAAGCAAGCAGATACCTAAGCAAAGAGCAGAGCAGCCAAATTCCAGGGAGCACTGCCCTGCTATCTCCCTGTGTTGCAAAATCCGTGAGTCAGAGGGAGATGACAGCCCTGGGCAGTACCTGCAGGGAGTACTCTGACCCCCACCTCAGCAAACCTTGTGTTTCTGGGCCCTTTTCAAGTGTGCTTCCAGGCAGGACTCTGCCCTGATGTCTCGAGGAGGTGAACCAAGATCTGCAGCAGGAATGAAGGGTTCATTTGCTGGAAGGAGATGAGTGCTGCCAGCGGGACATCAGGAGACAGCACCCTCAAAGCCCAAGCTCCTGTTGTAGAGTCTGATCTGCCATTATAAAAACAAACAGGCCAGATCCTCAGCTGGCACAGAGCCACAGAAACTCAGCACAGTAGCTCGAGCTGCATCTTCTTTATTGCTTGGGGCATTGAAGATTATGATTGAAATGATGCCCAGGATGTAACAGATGAAGTAAAGTGTCCTGAATTTACCAGCATCTTAAGTAAAAGCCTAAGTTGCTTAATTTATCCTTGGAATCATTTTAGCAGTGAGCTTTTTTTACCTTTCTTGTGGGTGCTGTCATAAATGGCCTGTGGGAACAGTGGAATTGTCATATCTGGACATTTTCAAGAATATCACTATTGAGATTCAAATAGATGCAGCTGAAGCAGAGGAACTTGAGTCGATCATCTCCTGGAGTCTCTTCCAACCTTCTTTTTTGCATGATTTTAGTAAATCTGTTCAGTTGCTGTCCTAAGCTGGCAATATTACTCTGCTTCCAGAGGCTTGTGTCCCAGAAACTCCAGCTCCCAAACCTCTCTACTTCCTTCCTAGCTACTCATACAATACAAAATGTGGTTTTGTCAGTTTTGCAAATTATTGTGAAATCAAGATCTGAACTGTGGCAACAGTGTGAAGTAAAACACAAAGATATCAAAGTTAATAGGTAACCTGCTTATTACAGTGTTTCATGTCCTGCTCAACATAATTTTCTACTTCAAATTTGGCTGACAGTTGCCCTAAAAACACAAGTGTGCTCACAGCAATACTGAAGCAAACTAGGCTTGAAGAAAGGAACCAGAACAAGGTGCTGGATCTCCTTCTAGGAGTTTCCCAAAAGAGATTTAGCTCACCACAGTGGGACATCTGCTCCCAGAGCATCCTGCTATCATTTCACATCCAAGTGCTCTTGACACTCCACTCTGCTGGCACCTCTTGTCTCCTGCCCACGACTGGAATCAAAGTGAAACCTTGGGCTCCATTGCCCTCGCTGTAGGAGGTGAAAGCACAGGTCGGATGTCCAGCCAAAGTGAGAGGTAGAGCTGGACACGAGCTGGTTCCTGGTGATTCACAAACCACTAAATTCCCTTAAAGCAATGTATGATAGTGGATCAGCTCTGTTGAACAGTTCCAGAATATCATTGTCCTGTCCATGGGTACATTTGTACTTTCCCTCCCAAGGGGTACCACAGGTCCATCAGCAACTTACTTCTCCCTTGCCCTTTACTTCCTAAATCGAGAATTAATAGGAAGAATTTGTTGACACCGTTTTAGGTGTACTGCCAGCACATCTGAAATGGCCTGGTTCTATTGTCTAAAAAACACTGGTAGCTGACAAGTCCTGCAGAGAAATGATGCACATGGGAGGGCTGTGAGCGAGGCGAGAGAGACACGCTGCTGTTGATAAGCTGAAATCAGTGTTTGTTCCCCAGCACTCCCAGCATCCAAACAGCCAGTTTGTGTGCTCCTGGTGCCTGACCTTCTCCCGAGGCTGCTGGGCATCTGTCAGCCTGAGAGCTGCAGACACTGAGCAGGGGGAGGGGAAAGGAAAGGCAGGAGGGCAAATAAATACCTGTATTACTTTTTTTCCTGTTTTATATATAGGCCAGGGAAAAGGACCTAGCAGGGGGCAAATGATTTCTGAGCACTGCTGTGCTAACATGACAGCTTTATGGGGAGGCAGTTCTGGGTCAGGAGCCCAATTGCTCCTGCCTTCGGTTCAAGAACTGTTACACAGGGGAAAGAAAGACATTTCCAGGGTAAAATTGTGGTAGGGTGCCAGATAGCACACCTGAAGCCTTCCTTTGCCCTGTGGCTGTGTGGTGTGGTTATATAGCTTAAAATTATGGATGATTTCCTAAAAAGTAAGGGCAGAAAAGAAAGGCAGGATGGATGCTGTGCAGGTTGCTGCTCTCTGCAGGTGGTCCCATCCCAGTCCCACTGCCAGCCCTGCAGCAGGGGGGGAACTGGGGCTCTGTACTGCAATGCAAAACCTGTGCTCATGCAGCTGTGCATTTCTCCTCCATCATCTGTGCTATTTCTCCTCCTTCCTTTTCCCCCTGACAGCTGACTGCCACCATCAAAGCTTGCTTTCTCTCTTCCTCCCATCCTCTGTCCACTTGTCCCCTCATTCCCCAACTCCTCTGGCATGGGCCTTTCGTAGCCTGGGGAGGAGAGAGATGGGAGCAGGGGAGGGCAGAAACCAGGAACCAGTGGAGTTCAACCTCAAAAACACCAGTTAGTGGGTCAGGATGCTGCCCCAGGGTGGACAGGGCTGAGGACGTTGGTTACAGGTGGAGCCAGTCCGTGCTCATGGCTTTTCTTTGGATGCTGTGGTAGAGCACTACAGCGAAGGAAATTCTGCAGCTGATTTTACTGACAGGACTAAACAAACCTCTCTTTTCACAGGCAGAATTCAGCCCTGAAGGTACATGAATAATGTCCCCAGAAGTGGCACCTGATACTGCTGCCTGCATTAGATCCTGTTAGCAGGGAAACAAGCCAGGCCCCCCTGACCTGGGAGGGGACAAAGCACGAATAAGCCCTGAAGGCAGGAGGAGGGACAGGACAGAATGTGGCAGAGGGTTATAAATCATCCCTGTGAGATAGAAACCAGGCAGGGGTCCTGAGCCTGCTCATCCAGTCTGACCAGTACGTGTGCAGACAGACACTGGGCTGTGGTGGTGACACCGGTGACACCACTGCAGCAGGTGACACCAGGGCAGCAGGTGACCTCAGCCTGCCACACGGGAGCTTTTTGTTTCACAGGGGTAGAGAAAAGTTAAAGCACGAATGTTTAAAATGTCCCTACAAAACCAATTTTTGTATTCAGCAGAGGATGAATTGCTGTCTGCTAAGTGAAGTTTGTCATCTGGGGTATTCCTGCACATCACCTTCCATGGAGTGCTTAAAGAGAACCACGGTGCCAGAGAGGAGAGCACATTTCTGATGGCAAACAGCAAGACAAAAAGAGCTTTGTTTCACAGATACACAAAGTGATGGGGAAAGGGAAGTGGAAACTTCGGCCATGGCCCCCACAGAAACAACAGTAAGTTCTGTGGTAGATTCAACTGCAGATTGCATTACTCAAGCAGCAGGGCGAGAGAGCTGAGGAAACCCCAACGCTGTGTAAGCAGCGCTCAGCGTTTCCTATTGCAGCCAGCACTTTGTGCGAGGAGCTGAACCTCACTAAAACCTCAAAGATGTGTGCAGCATGAGGGGCTTTTCTTCATCTTATTGTGGGGACAAAAAGTGACCAGAGCCCAATTTTAATTCCTCTGGGGCTTCAGCTCTAATTTGATTTGGTCCAAGTGAAAGACACCCATTCTTTGGGTTATTCCTGTAGTCCCTGGGCATGGAGCACATTTAACACCAAATGTCTGCAGTACCAGCTCCCAGCTTGGAGCTCAAATCCTGCACACACACACCTGCACAGTTGTTTCAGTGATCTCACAGGCCATTTGCAGATTGTTCCTCCCGTCCTTTGAGCTGGTTGGAAGATAAACTTTGGTCAGTGTATTATACTGCGCCCTTTGTAATGAAATAACATGGGTAATGTGCATTTAGTGGTGGGATTTAAATTCCCAAGCTGATTACAAGGAGCTGTTGTAAGGTTTAGCAGTGCCCTGTGTGTGAGTCTGGAATGATGTCTGCTGCTGCAGGCTTGTGCTCTCTCTGATGCTGTTGAAAAGGCCAGGGCTTTGCAAGGAATAACCCTGAGAACATCAACAACTAAAGTGCAGCAACACAATTCCATATTTAGTGAGACTGTTAGAAGTGCTTGACCACAAACCAGGCTCCCGTACTGTGAATTTTCCAGCTTTTGATAAAAGATGCAACGGCAGATTTTTTTTATAAAATACGCAAAAAGGGACAGTGACTTATAAATCCACGTGAAGAACTCAGGTCATAGAGGAACTAAAAGTGCCCTGTGCCGCTCCAGGTTCAGGACAAAACCTCCATCGCTGCCCGCCACCGGTGCGGGGGGGAGCGACTGGATGGATCCCGGGATGGAGCTGGGACGGAGCTGGGACGGAGCCGGGGATGGAGCCGGGGATGGAGCTGGGATGGAGCCGGGGATGGAGCCGGGGATGGATCCCGGGATGGAGCCGGGGATGGAGCTGGGATGGAGCCGGGGATGGATCCCGGGATGGAGCCCGGGATGGAGCCGGGGATGGATCCCGGGATGGAGCCCGGGATGGAGCCCGGGATGGATCCCGGGATGGAGCCGGGATGGATCCCGGGGATGGAGCCGGGGATGGAGCCGGGACGGAGCCGGGGATGGAGCCGGGGATGGAGCCGGGGATGGAGCCCGGGATGGAGCCGGGGATGGAGCCCGGGATGGAGCCGGGGATGGATCCGGGACGGATCCCGGGACGGATCCCGAGGATGGATCCCGGGATGGAGCCCGGGATGGATCCGGGATGGATCCCGGGGATGGAGCCGGGGATGGATCCCGGGATGGATCCCGGAACGGATCCGAGCCCAGCCCGGCCTGGCCCCGCCCCCGAGCGCGGCCCTGGCCCCGCCCCCGCCCCTCCCGCGCGCTGACTCGCCCGGGCTGCCACGTCTGCCCGCTGACGTCACCCTCGGCCGGCGCCTCCCGGCCAATCAGCGGCGCCGCCCGCCGCTCCGAGCCGACGGGGCCGAGGGAAGAAAGGCCGGCTATGGCGCATGCGCCGCCGCCGCCGCGGTGGCCGCCGGGAGAGCGAGTCCGGCGGAGGGGGCGCGGCCGGCAGCAGGCGGCGGCGCGGACTCGGTTTCCCGTGGCGCCCCTCGGCCGCCCCCCGGCCATGTAAACGCTGCTCGGCGAGCGGCCGCCCCGTTTCCTGGTCGGGCTCCGGCGGCCATTTTGGGCAGCGGCGCAGCGCGGAGGCCGCGGAGCGGGCGCGGGCGGACGGGCCGAGCCGAGCGCCGGGCGATCGCGGCTCCCTCGGACCAGCGCACCGCGGAGCGCCTGCCTGGGCGGCGGGAGCTGCCGCCGCACCGCCCCTCACAGCGCGCTCGCCGTGCCTCGGGCCGCGGGCCCCACGGACATGTCCAGCATGAACCCCGAATAGTGAGTGCGGGACGGGGCGGCCGCGGGTGCGGGAGGAACCGCGCCGGGCCCGCGGGCTGAGGGGCCGGAGGGGCCGAACCCCCCCCCCCCCCGGGGCCGCGGAGCCGCGCCCGGGCCCGAGCGGCGGCGGGGGAGGAGGAGGAGGAGGAGGAGGGGCGGGCGGAAGGCAGCGCGGCCGCCCGGGTGGGTCCCGGCGGGGTGGGGGGTGTCACTCTGGTCGGGTCCCGGGGTCACTCTGGTCGGGTCCCGGGGGGAACCGGGGTGGCGGGGCCGGTTTTCCCGAACCCGGGAATGCACATCGGGGCCTCCGCTCCAACAAGTGCCCGGGGAACCGCGACAGGCGATCCCCGGCGGTGGCGGCCCCGCGGCCGGGCCCACCCTTCGCGCTGGCTGCGGGTCATGTGCGTGTCACATGGCGCTTGCAAAACACTTCTCGCCCGGGTGGGTTTTGCAACGCCGTGACTCGGTCATAGAACGTTCTTGGGGCTGTTTGCAGCTGAAATAGCGCCTGCTGACGACACCAGGGGTTTGGGCAGCTCGTTGTGTGATTATGGCCTTTTCCTTTAGCTGGCTGAATTCTGGGAACTCGGGGAGCTGTGTCCTGCCCGCCAGCCTGTCAAGAACAATAAACTTTATTTTGTTCAAGACTTTCTTGTGTGAGTTAGAGGAAGGCTTAGTTTAGAAAGCAGTTCAAAAAAATCAGCTGCTGCGCTTCCAGCCCTGTCACCTTGCAGGGTTTGTTTAGGATCCTGTCACTGCTGCTGGCTTTGCTGGCACTCCAATTTGGGGTGGTGAAGCCACTGTCCCATCTGCTGTCACTGGGGTGCCTCTGGCACTGAAATGCACGTGTGGTGTGACATTGCTGCTCACAGTTTTGTCCCCTCAGCTGAGGCTCCTGACGTGTGTGGCCGTGCCCTGTGCTCTCCACTTGTGTCACAGGGGCTGCTTGCAGGCACTCCGAGGCCATTACAATCACCTGAGGAGCAAACAAGTAGTCATCGGCTGGTGAGGGAGTTGGTGACACCCAGGAGGTACAGCCAGGAACTCGAGTTACATCTTGGCAAGATTACATCACAGACTTGCTCGTGTAGCTTTGGAAAACACCAACAGAGTGGCTGGCGGTGGGCAGTGGATGAGAAACCAGCAAACTGCTGCTGCCCCGTGGGCCTGATGGCTCTCACGAGTTCAACTCCAATTTTCCTTGCTGAGTTTTGCAGTGGGAAAGCTGCCTGCAGAGCGTTAGGCCACTAAGAGAAATAAGTTGAGGGGGATTTTTCCATAGATTTTTTTTTTTGCCTTTCTTGCAGTCCGTCAGCTTTTAGACTGATGCAGAGGGTGGTTCCCTCAGCGGGGTACTGAGTGCTGAGGACAGTGTTTTCAGAGACTCATTCTTAGTGGAGATTGCCCGGTCCTGCTGCTGAGCACAGCCGAGTTCGTGAAAGTGAAACAAGAGGAAAAGCTGGAGTTGGAGATGAACTCCAAGTGTTAAATTGCCACTTCCTGAGAGGGTGGCGGCGTTGGGATGAGGGGAGGAGATGGGAAGGGTGTGGTGAGATGGACAGAAATACCTGTTAGTGTGATGTGTGTACCTGGATCCCTGTTAAAACAGGAATGAGATTTAAGGGATTATGACATTGCTCCTTCTAGTTCCCTGTAAGAGTTACATCCATTTACCCTCTCAGGAGTGCCTTGCCTGTAATGTAACTCATTCTCACTTCCCTCTCACAGCTTCAGATCAGGCTGCAGCCCCAAATGCTCTCTCCTGGGCATGCCAGAACTCCATCAGAAGTCAGTGGGATAGCTAGTTAAAATTTCCAACTAAAGACCCACTTCCTTCAGCTTTCCCGATAAAGCTACAGGGTTAGGTCCTGCTCATGCAGAGGTTTAAGGGGAGTTGTGCTTCTGAGAGCTTCCTTGGAGCTTCAGGGCTGTGGGACAGCTGATGGACTGTTAGTTTTTAGGTTGAGTGAAGGAGCTGAAGAGGGGTGGATGTGATAATAAGATTAGTGTTTGGAAGCTAAATTCTGAAAACACCTGCCTGCCCAGCACTGGGATGTGTTCCCTCTGTTCCTCCCTCCCTGCCGGTGTTTGAGTGAGCAGAATGTCAATATTGACTCTGTTGTGACTAGATCAGCTCGAGCTCAGCATTTCCTGCCCTTCTGCACCTTGCATGTGGCATAAACACACTGGTGGGCAGCCGGGCCACAGCAGCCAGGTGGGATCAGGAGTTACCCTTGATCAGTGCTCTGCCTGGACCTTGTTCTAGACACCTTCCAGCACACACGAGGAAACTCGGGGGGTTTCTGCATTTTCAGAAGTGTTTGGGAACACCTGTGAGGTGTTGGGTGATGGTGGTTAGTAGGTGACAATTGGGTGACAGCTCTTAGGTTGCTGGAATCATCTGAAGGTGTTTGTGTTCTGAGCTTTCTAAACAGCAATCTGCCGTGCAAAGTGGCATTGTGTCTTCTGGATTCTGTTTCCTTACACAAACAGAGTAATCAGAGTGACACTCATGCACCTCTCCAAATTCCTGGGGTGGTAGAAGAAGAGTGGGGATTGAGGCTGCTGTGAGTATCTGTTTACAGTAAAGCTGCAGTGCCATCAGTGATTAAAGCCAATTCCAGCAGCTCCTTGTTGCAGACAGGTGACTGCCTAGCCTTGTCTGTTTTGGCATAAAACCTTCTTGGCATTTAAAAAATCCCCACTTCTCTCCTTATGTGAATTAGATAAACAGCAGTACCTTAAAGGCCCACAGGTCCCCTGTTCCACACAGCTTTGGCCTGCTCTGTCCTCAACTTGATTTGGAGGTGCCTTGTTTTGGTTTTCTTTTTTGGAAGAGGCAGTTACATTTAACATCTTTGTCCTTTATCTCTCTGGGGAGAGGAAGTTATGGGGAGGATTTGAAAGCCTCACTCTTACTCACTGTACCTGCCTGGCTGCACATGCTCTTCCAGTGTGCTCCTTTAAACGACCCAAGGATGGCTGCCTTATGTAAATGGTGAGAAATAATTGAATGATTAACCTGAATTCCCACTGTCTCCCAAGGAGCTGTGCTGCATAGCTCAGCCAGCTTTATGGAGGCTCCCTGAACCAGAGGAGCTGATGAGTTTTAAGTTTACAGCTTTAAAGAGCAAAATTCAGTGGCTTCAGAAATATTTGTGTGGCTCTTCAGGGATAAATACCAAATACTTGTGTGGCTTGTTGGGTGCATTGCTACAGTTTAACCCCTTTACCCAAATATTCTATTGGTGTAGCTCAGTCTAGGAACAGGTTTCTGCAAATTTTTATACTGTTGCTGTACCCAAGAGCTGTCTCAAGCATCACACTCTAACAAACTGCACATTTGGTTCTTATGGCCCTCAGTAGGCACCTGCTGTATTTTAAAAGGTCTTGGGAGCTGTATCTTTTAAAGCTTTAAGCTGTACTTGGAAAGGAAGGCACTGTAATATTGGAATATGGAGTGTTCTGAACTATTAAAATCCTAAGTTCCTAGAGTCTTACTTATGCTATTCCCAAAACTGATGAAAGTCTTGCTACCAAAATTAGGTTTTTGTGCCACAACAGCCATTTCTAAGGTCAGAGGCAGAGCTAACTCAGTAAAGGCTGTTTGCAGCTGTGCACCTGATGCTGGCCCTGGTTTTGGTGGGGCTTAGGACCACTGTAGGTCTCTGTGATTCTGGAAATACTGAAGGCCAAAGTGAGGGGACAGCTGAACAGCAAAGCTATCAAATCCAGTGTTCAGGGCTTCTTGGGTATTACTGTGTTAGCTTAGCATTTGTTCTGTGTACCCACTGCTGCTGTTCTTGTTTGCTGCTGAAGGGAGAGATTTAATGGGTGGGTTTGGCTGGGAGCTGCTTTAGCAGGAGGAGTAACAGAGGGAGAGAAGTTTTCATGCTCAGGGCCTTGGGGGAACCTGAATTACTCTCAAAGCAAGTGGAGGTTTTTAAGTGGATCTCAGACCCACAGCTGAAGCTTTACCTCTACCAGAAAGGAGTTAATTTTTTTTACATTAATTTTAGTGAAGACAATACAGTAACACAATATTCTTGTGTTAATATTCCCAAGGGGATTATAACATGCTACAAGCTGTAAGTAATAATTTGACTTCAGGATTGCTGAAAATTGTGTGTTTGTAGGGAACTGAGCAACCAGACTTCCTGCTGGAGGTGGAAGGAGCTGAGTGAAGGCTGAGGCACAGTGGTGGGGAGGAAGGCAAGGCAATAGGTGTAACTGTGGAGCAGGTCCTGGAGCCCTCCTGCCTTACTTTGGTCTCCAGGTTACAGAGTTTCTGCTGCTCTTGGGGACCAAACTGTTATTGGGGGTGAGAAGGTTTGTGGTGTGTAGTAGTGCTTCAGCCAACTCAAACCTACTGAGATGTGTGGGCTGTGGGGTGATGTACCTTGGGTCCCTGAACAGTTTGGGTTAATTGTCATTCTCCTAAAGCAGTCTTGCCTTGTGGTAGTGCATGGCCTGACAGGTGGAGTGGTGAATTCTGTGACTGTAAACTGCTAGGTGTCATTTGAGTTTTGTTTTTTTCCATCTGTTTAGTGCTTTTAGCTGTACACTGTTAGGAAAGGTTGCATTTTTAAGGATGGGGTTATTAGTTACTACATTTAGCGCTTCTGACTCGTCTCTAGGCTTGGCAGAAGTGCTGCAGAGACTGGAGGTTCCAGCTGGGTGAGTTCTGCAGCCTGGGCCCAGCCAGGTGAGGGGCACTGGAGCAGAGGAGTGCAGAGAAGCCGTGCTGGTCCATCTGCTTGGCTGTTACAGCTGGGGATGGATGCAGTTTCCAGGCTGGATTCCTGCCAGCCAGAGGCAGTGGCGATTCCAGGGGATAATAGGTGGGGACAGTGGACTTCAGGCACTCCACATATCCTTAATCTTTACTCTGCTTGCTTAAGTGGGCATAAAAATACGGCTGTTGAACTGTTGTGGTTAAGTGAGAACAGGTCTTTGTCCTGGGCCATTACAGGGCCGAAGAGTTGTCAACTGAGAATGAGTTAGTGTAGTACTTGAGAAGCCAAATAGCTTGTGTAAGTGGTGGGTTGTTATTTTTCTCTGTTACTTGTTCTCTAGCATGAAATTTCCCCATTAGTCTTAGGACTAACACAAAACCTCACATTTTGCCAACAGTGAAATCTTCACTACTCTTTCAAGTGTAATTACAGGCTGGTTGGTGACACTGTGTTGGGAAAACTCAACATTAAGCACAAGATTTGTCAATTCTTCCAGTGTATCTTGAGAATTTCTGATACCACACCTGACATCCCCTGACATACCCTCATCTGGAAATGACTTGAGCTTTGCTTTAATTCCTGGAATGCAGGTGTGGTATTGGTCAGTGCTCATAGTCTGTGGTGGAAAGTGGGTATTCATTGTGCTGTTGCATTCTGTGAACTTAAATATGAGTGACTTGAGCTGAGGAAAGAAATGGCTGTGTTTGGCAGCTCCCTGGTGCTGGTGAAGCTGGGCAGTGGGATCAGACCTCTGAGTCCAGAGAAGCAAAGGGCACAGGCTGTTACCAGCACCTGTGTGTTACCTGAGTTACTCAGCCACACAAGGGGGCTTGCACTCAGTTGCAGAGCATGGTTTTCATCTCAGCTAGACCACAAAGGCTGAGCTAGGACTGTGCTACTCCTGATAGTGCCTCTGTTACCCTCAGAGTAACTTCCCAGGAAGGCACAGTTCCACACAACAGTGCTGTGCTATGAGCACCTACCTCACACTTCCCTTACCGAGTAAATTGTGAATTTCTAAACTGAAAGAGGAGCTCGGAGTTGTAGGTGATTTCCCTAGCAGTGAATTCATTTACCCTTCTCAAAAGTCATAATATACTGGCTAAGGAACTTCATTCTTGACAGTGTTTTTCATTAAGTGACCTAATTTTTTTTTTTCCTTCTGCAGTGACTATTTATTCAAGCTTCTTCTGATTGGAGACTCCGGTGTTGGGAAATCTTGCCTTCTACTTAGGTTTGCAGTAAGTGATCATGCTTGGCAACTATGTAAAAGAGATACTTAGCAAGACCTTCCTTCAGGTAGCAGGGCTGATGTCTGACAGGCCTGGTAATACCAAAGAATAGGTATAGTATTGCAAACTCCTCCTGTCTTCTGAATTTGTGTCTATCTGATGTAATTGTTTCACTGAATTGGAAAGAAATAATTGCAATAATATGTCCAGCCAAGATTAATGCTAATTTTCCTGTTACTTGAGAACAAGATACCTTAATTTACCTTCCATCATTACAGCAGTGGTAGAATGCTGAGGATGGAAGGAATTCTGGAGCTGTGCCCTTAGGCATGAGGAGTACAGACCTTGATCAGTTACTTCTTGATAAGAACATTTCAGCCAGATGAAGTTTGATATCTGCAGTACAAAGACCTAACAGTTGTTTAGCGAGAGAAATAATGTAAATAATACTCTAGGAATAATAAGGCCTTCTGCTTTCCTTAGTGAATGTTAAAGTTGCTGGTGAGTTATTCTGGCTCTAGTTTTCCTGTGAACAAGAGAATGTAAAGTGGGTTTGACAGCTCTCAGTAGAAAAAGCTGAAGTCCAGTGAACTCCTTATCTGTGACTGTGCCAAAGTGCAGCTCTATGTGTCCCTGGGAGGAGAGGAAGGGAAGCAGGATATGGGGCATGAACAGAAAACGGGAGTGTGACACTGCTGCAAGATGATGGCTTTGTTTTACAGCCTGGGCAGCTCCTCTGGGCACCTCTGAACGAGCCTGTTGTACCTGGTGTTGTTAATGTCCAGTGGTGGCCTGGGTGTACAGACAGCTCAGATTGAGCCATTGTGGCTGCTGGTGGTGCCACCAGGAGCAGGAGGAGGATGTCACCTGCTCTGCTCACAGTAGGGAGGCACTGGGCTGGAAGTGACTCCACAGCTGGAGCAGCACTCCCAGAGCAGTCTAGCCTGCTTCACGTGCAGATACTTTTGAATTTGTTTTGGCTTAATGTAAATAATCCAACTTTTCTTTTTTGACAGCCAGCTCAAATTTGTGCTCTGTTATCTGATGCTTCTTCAGCTCAGTAGCCTTTTCCTTTTGAGATGCATTTTTCCAACTAAACTCTTTTACCCTGACATAAGGAATTATCACAGCATACCACACCTGTGTTTTCTTGCTGCTGTAGGTTAAACTAATTCAGGCTTTTCAAAATGCCCTTTGGAGTATTGAAATGTTAAGGAAATAAATGTCATGTCATTCTGAAAGGCTTAATACTTGGATGTATTACCTAAGATGTCTTCCATTCACAGCCCAGAGGAATCCCTTGGTTTATGTGATACCTACTGGTTGCATAAAGCCTTTTGTGGTACATTGTGTGTGAAGTTCTATCCTTTGGTTACTTTAGGGGTAGAAACTTCCTTCATGCTGCCAAGCTGACAATCACTGGAAGGTAGCACAGACTGACCCAGCAGTTTTTGTGTGCCTTAAGGCCTGGTGGAGATGCAGTCAGGGCCCTGCAAGCTGCTGAGGCAGTGCTTTCCCTCCTGTATGGACACAGGCTGCAGAGCAGAGGCCTCAGCACGAGGACTCCAGCTGTAACTCTAACCTGCCTTAGCAACCTGCAGCAGCAGAGGATCTGACACCCTTGTGTGACTGAGACAGAGCCTCTGACTTGTTCTAGGTAGCTGCTGTGTAACACAGATGAAAAACCATCAAAGGAAATTAAAAATGTGATGTGTTTCAATAACTTCAGTGGTTATTCTAAGTAGCTCTTCAATCTGCCAACATGAGCAAAGACTGTTTTTTACACTGCAGCTCACAAGGACTTGACACTAAGGGATTTCCAGAAAAGAGGATTTTTGAGACTGGTTTTTGAAACCACCAACCAGGTGTGGTTGGTGCTTTTAAAAGCTGCAGAATCTTTGAAAAGTAAATAGTTGGTGGAAATGCTTGGCCACCTCCTGGACTTTGCCATGAGAGATCAGGCTGGTTTCACAGGGAAATTAAGCACCTTTGTCTGACTGGTGCATAATGAAGTAGGTGACTGCAGAAGAGGCGCAGCTGGCTTGACTTATGTTCACTCTCTCTCCTAGGATGACACGTACACAGAAAGTTACATCAGCACGATTGGTGTGGACTTCAAAATCAGAACTATAGAACTAGATGGGAAAACAATCAAGCTTCAGATAGTAAGTAGCATTTCTCAACTCCTGTGTGCTTCAGTCTGTTGGAGCAGAGTTATGTCCATAGCTATTGGTGGTCATCTTTGTACTTTAAAACACTTGCAGGGTGTTTTCCCTGTTCCAAGAGGCGAGGCAGTCTTTGCAAGTCTTACCTGTCCTTAAAGAAGGGTGCTTATTATCAAGGCTGCTTGCCTGCAAGAGGAGATTCTGTGCTGGAGTGCACTCAGATCAAAACTGGTGCAGTTCTGCAGTATTGTGCCAGGATTTGTGTAAGTGCAGGAACACCACACAGTTGTCCAAGATTCCTGAATTCCACAGCAGCTGTTACTACCAGGCTGCACTGTCTTAAGTGCTGGAAACTGTTTTTGTTGACCTGAATGGAAAAACTGACACAAAGGCTTGTAACTGGCCTGGCTGCCTTAGCACTGGGTGGTGTTTTCTGGTTATGCTTTTGGCCTTTCACTTGGAATAAACAGGGGAAGAGACTTGGCAATTCTTTAATCTTGAAGCACTCTAAAAGGGTGACTGGTGTGATGAAATCTAATATCTGTGCAAGGTCAGACAATCCTTGTCAGCCACTGCTTCCAGCTCAAGCAGAGGCTCTCAGGACTTGCAGGCAATGACTCAGGGATTCAGCGTTGTGGAGCAGAGTCCAGCTTACAGCCGGAAGCCTGAGCTTCCAGACTCTAATGTAACTGTTGTGAGTACAGAGCAGCCCACCAGAAATGCTGTCACTGCTGAAATCTGTCTGTGAAGTCTGTTTTTAATACACAGCCAGCCCTGTTCTTGACACAGCTCCAGGGAGAGAAATATTTGGGTGAGTCCTGCTCCCGTCCTGGGTGGGACAAGAGGTCAAGCACCTTATGTCCTTTCTTAACTCTCCCAGCAGGAGAAGGGAACCAAGTTTGGATTTAGTTGTTGCTTTGCTGAAGGCTGCGTGCCAAGGAAGTTAAAGGGAGTGGTCATGTTAGAGACCTGCAGCTCTCTGACCTTATTCCTAGCAGGTTTTCAAGTCCTGCTTGTGTTTGCTTTTCTGACCACTGAACCATGGCTTCTTCACGGGTCAAAACTGCTTGATGTTTTCCCCAGAGAGATCTTTTGACTACACTTGGCTGAAACCAAACAAATGAGCACTTTAGCAAAGTACGTACAAAGTGTAATTCTCAGTTAAAATAGCGATCTCCTCAAATCCTGTTTGATGCATTCGGCTTCAGAGCCCTGCAGTAGCTGTGGTTGTAGCTGTGTGGCTGCTGTGCTGGGCTGTTTCTGGGAGCTGGTGCAGAGCACTGGCTCAGCCGGGCTGCAGGAGCTGACCCTGTCACTTGTCTTGCAGTGGGACACGGCGGGACAGGAGCGGTTTCGGACTATCACTTCCAGTTACTATAGAGGAGCTCATGGCATCATAGTTGTGTATGATGTTACAGATCAGGTACGTGGCAAACCTGCGCCTGCAGAGCTTCTCCAGGCTGATGGGTAAATTGGGAATTTAACAGCTGGGCACATCTGAAGGAGACAGTGACAGAGTTCTACAGGCTGTGTTAAGGCTTATCAAGCTAAATGTATGTGTTTGCCTCTGGCTTGGCAGAAATGAAACAGAAATAAAGAGAGCAGAGGGATTTGTGGCTCCTGAGCAGTTGTATCTTAGGCTTAACCTAAAACTCGGTGAGCAGGTAACTGATTGTTCTGTGTGAATGCATCTCACCTTGCCTTTGGTAGCAGGAAATCTGAGTTACTGATGGAAGTTGTTGAAAGATTTCTGAATGCACTTGAACTGTGGTCTGCAGTAAAGACCAGCATTTGGAACAGAAAATTGTCAGCCTGTGTGCAAGATACAACTGAGCCAGTGTTTCCTCTGAAAGGATCTCTGAAGAACTGGTGCAGTTGTTTGAAGGCCACTCGGGAAGTATAGGGTTTCCTGAATTAATAGAAAAAGAACACTTGTGTTCAGTCACTAACTGGAATATCAGTCCAGCATTTCTGGAGCCAGAGGTTGTTTCAGCATATCTACAACAAGGTGGCTTGCATCTAACACCTGATGCTTCATAACTATGTGGGGTGCATCTGGTTTCAGCTGTGTGCCACGTCTCTTATCTCTGCTACAAGAGGAGGAAGAAGAGCCCTAGATGGTAGAAGATGTTAAATATTCAACATATGAAGTGGGCAAAAATAATAGGGGGGAGAGTGCAGGAAGGGCTGATTGTGTAGGGCTGGGAACAGGAGCTGTATGGCCCCTGTGGTGCCCGGCCTGTCCCAAGGCCATCGGGGGAGTTGGGCAGCATTAGGGTTAGGGTTAGAGTCCTCTCCCAGGGTTGTGAGCCACATGGATAATCACAGTGCTTCATACTCCTTCCCGGTCATGACCGAAGGGATAGTGCTGAACTTCCCTCTTCATCAAGGGCCTTGCTTACAGTTCTCTCATCTCGTAGGAGTCTTTCAATAATGTCAAGCAGTGGCTGCAGGAGATAGACCGTTATGCCAGTGAAAACGTCAACAAGTTGTTGGTGGGGAACAAGTGTGATCTGACCACAAAGAAAGTAGTAGACTATACAACAGCAAAGGTATGTCGGGGCTCGTGTGTTTGCTGGGCTGAGCCCCTGCACAGAGGTTCCAGTGCAGGGAGGAGTCCTGGTGCCACAAACAGGGGCAGGTTAACGACCCCCTGCCCTGCAGCTCATCCTCAGGCTGGAGATGGGTGTGGGGTGGGATCCAGGAACTTGTGGGGTACCCAGTGCTGCTCCAGGAAATGAGGTGAGGTATGGACCTGTGTATGAGCTTACTTTTCACTGTTTCTCGATTTGCAGGAATTTGCAGATTCTCTTGGAATTCCGTTTTTGGAAACCAGTGCAAAGAATGCCACAAATGTAGAACAGTCTTTCATGACCATGGCTGCCGAGATTAAAAAACGAATGGGCCCGGGAGCGACAGCTGGTGGTGCAGAGAAGTCCAATGTTAAAATTCAGAGCACTCCAGTCAAGCAGTCTAGTGGAGGTTGCTGCTAAAACTTGCCTCCCCCCCTTTTGTCTCACAACAATGAATTTGCAATCTGAACCCAAGTGAAAAAAAAAATTTGCCTGAATTGTACTGTATGTAGCTGCACTACAACAGATTCTTACCGTCTCCACAAAGGTCAGAGATTGTAAATGGTCAATACTGACTTTTTTTATTCCCTTGACTCAAGACAGCTAACTTCATTTTCAGAACTGTTTTAAACCTTTGTGTGCTGGTTTATAAACGTGTAATCCTTGTTGCTTTTCCTGATACCAGACTGTTTCCTGTGGTTGGTTAGGATGTATTTTTGTTTTGATGTTTCTATTGGCATGTTTAGATGTCAGGTTTAGTCTTCTGAAGATGAAGTTTAGCCATTTTGTATCAAACAGCACAACAGTGTCTGTCACTTTCCATGCATAAAATTTAGTAAGATATATGTAAGATCTGATTTGCTAGTTCCTTCTTGTAGAATTATAAATGGAGAGATCACACTATCTGATTAATAGTTTCTTCATACTCTGCATATAATTTGTGGCTGCAGAATATTGTAATTTGTTGCACAATATGTAACAAAACTGAAGAAATGTTTAATAAATATTGTACTTATTGGAAGTAATATCAAACTGTATGGTGATAAATATTGTCTTAATTTGTATGGCTAAGGGGGAAATCAGGCTTGCATTGTGCACAAAACAACATATCTGTGTGTGCAGCCGTGGCTCCCAGCCCTTCCCTGCAACTCGCCCAGCGCCTGTGGCCCCAAAGCCTGAGCTGCCACGGTGCTTCAGGCACGAGTGCTGTACCAGAACACCCAGCCAAGGTTCATCAGGCACAGTGCACTCTGAATGTACAACAGTTCCCTAACTTAGTCTTGGAACTTAATTTATTTCTCAAGGACTCCATGCAGGGAATTCCCATCAGCTTTGCCTAGCAGGGGAGAGAACAGTATTTCCCTAATGTGAACGATTTCAGCGAAACCTTGAGGAGGTATAACTTTCTACCAGTATGTTATGTCTTTTCTATATACTGTTAATTCCACCCTCTTTTAATCAGTATCTTCTGACTTAGTGCAACAGCTTAGCTTCTATTCCCTTGTGCAGCGAGGCACCAGGAGGGTGACACGGGGATAGCAAGGCCCCCACCAAACTGTTGCTCCAAGTAGGCGCTTTCTCAAACAATTTGGAACTAACCAGCAGCCAAGAGGTTTTGGATGGTGTGTGATTCTTTGTACAGAGCTAATCAAATCATTAGTGCCTGATGTCTAGCTAAAAGCCACAGGAAAGCTAGCCTATAACACTTCCTATACATGTAAAATTGTTCAGCTTTATCTAAACTCAAATGTTCAGCCTATTCTGTAAATAGTCTCATGTTTGAAAGACCATGTAACATTCCCCTAGTAGTAAATACACCCTGTGATAGTAAAAATATAGCCTAGGTATGTTGTGAGGTATAAACTAAAACTGGTGCAAATATCCTCTGATTTTTTTTTTTTTTTGGGGGGGGGTGACTTTGGCTAACAGCTTTCTTCAACATAGTTGCATAAATCAACAGGCAATTGTAATACATAAAGTATTGTCATGGTTAAGTTGAACTCTTCCACTTGAGACCTTCACAATAAAGTGATGTGCTTTCTAGTAGAGATGTGCTTGTTGGTATAATTCATTATAAATGTGACCTGCTGCTCCAGAGGAGCAGTGAGCGCTGCTGAGATCAGGAAGTGAAGCGGAATGAGGTGTGTTGAGGGCAAAACATCTTCCCTGCAGAGAGTGCACAAATGAACTTCAATGTTGAGATGCCTGCTACATACTATCCAAACCAATGTTAATATATACAGTAATAAAAGCATTGCAAAACCAGTTGGGCTACACCAGGTGTTTGGTGGTTCTTTGTTCCCCCTCAGTCACCAGTGGGTCTCTGGGCTGGTGCTGTTCCATGCTGAAGCCTGGGCTTGGCTGAGCTGTGTGATGAGGGTACAGCAGGCCTAAAACTCCTGGGAAAAAGCACTGTGGTTTCTTACCTGTGAGCTGAAATATTGAATACTTTTGCCACAATGGGCCAAAAAAACTTGCCCTTCAAGCCAAGGATGTAGAAGATGGGAGAATATTAATCCTCCTTCACAAACCTAAATGAATTATTTGCTGTAACTGCTTCAGTTTAACTTTGCTTTCACCTACTTGTGCAGAACAGAAACTTCTCTGTGTTCTGTTCACAGGAATGGGAGGAAGCTATAGTGTTCTTGTACAGAATACATCATCACCGTTCAAGTTAAAGGTTAATTAAAGCCACATACCAACATTCTGTAACTTTTCTTGGCCACTTACCTTATTATGCTGCTTCAGAGCTGCCCTTTTTCTGTTGGGGTTTGGAAACTCTTGATGTCATCAGCAGTGATTTAACTGCAGTAGCTAGAAGTGGGAAGGCACAATTTCACCCCAGGAAACCAGCACAGCACTAACACAGCTCCTGCCAACAGCAGGTACCAGCAGGTTACACAGAACCTGGCTCCTCCCTGCCTGAACTCGCTTCTTTATTATTTTATTTGGATTCAGTATTACAGCTTTTTGTGTTTATGAATAACAAAATTGAAAGTTAAGTAGGCTCTGCTTCAGCAGGGAGTGGTAATTATAAACAGACCTTCAGTTTGCTCCCAAGAACCAGAAGGAGTTGCTATTTCTTGGCTTCTCACACCTATTTTTGACGGGCATAAACAAACCATGAGAACAGGGCTATTAAAATCACGGCTTTACTTAGCGAGCGCACGGCACACTATGGATTGCTGAGTTAAAAAACTTCCTGACGTTTTGCTAACAGAACAGCCCACTTCAATAAAAAAAGGGAAGCTATGTTAAAAAAAACAAACCAGCTGTACATTCCTGACACAACTCTGGACATCCCAGCACACCTGCTGTATGGGGCACCTTTCTCATGCCATGGTACAAAACCACACTGTAATCAGCCCCGTGGGCAGCTGGACACAGATTTTGGCATCTCTGGAGAGGTGATGGAGGTGGTTTGGTGCTTGCTGCAGTTCTTCTCAGCCCTCCTGAGATGGGCTAACGCAGCCTAGGTCTGATGGAGGCAGCACCTGAAATAAAATGAGGTGTTTGATGCTGTGCTTTGCCTGCAGTCTGACAAAGAAAGAAACCCCATGCTGTACTCCCCCATCTCACCAGTGCACAGGGTACAGCTGGGTAGAGGCAGCAATTCAAAAACAAACCAAACCCTACTTAAGACACTGTTTTTCGAGTTTGACACCCCTGAAACACTTGCCTCTTATTTTCTTTCAAGGGAGATGGTCAAGAAATAAGTAAACAAGTTTTCTAGCCCTTGTATTATACCTGAAATCACTTGCTTCCCTTTTCCACCATTATACAGCAACCAGAATGTTTCTGAGAAAACACCAAACCGAAACGTATCCCTTCCTCATCTCCCCTGTGCTGTGCGAGGGATCTGGGGAGAGCAGGTGTCTGCTGGACTGCTGCCGTCCCCAGCCCTGAGTGACAGGGACCTGCCTGCCCAGTCCCTGTGGAGCTGCCACCGCTCCCCTCGTGCTCTTGGGTTTCATCAGCTGGTTCACCCGCACTGCTCTTTCCCTGACACGGTTAAACACGACAGGGCAGCTATTTTGAGTCTCCCTGCTGCCTGCTCAGGCTTTCCAAACAGAACCAAAGAAATAACACTGGAGCCTGATGTCTGGTGTTTGCTAACTCGAGTGTTTCTCTCCCCGTGCTTCCTCCCCTCTTTGCCTGCTGCAGCAAGGCTGGTTTGCCCCTGCTTACCCAGGGAGCAGCTGTGTGCTGAGCCCTCCGTGTCCTGCCCCGCGTCCTTGCCCCCCACGGCAGCCAGGATGGACTTGTACAGGTGCTCTGCGTGGCTTTCCAGCTCCTCCGACTGTTTGGCAATCAGAGCCAGCGTGTCTTTCAAGGCTGGAAAGCAAAAACGCCCGAATGGAGGTGACAGGAATGTGATAATTCAGTGTCTGCCAGAGCTGAGAGCTCTGCCTGTCCAGGCAGACACTGGAAGGAAATCAAGTGTTAAAAATCAATTCATCCCATCCCCATTGTGATGCAGCATTTGCAGGGGGTGGGGACTGACCCTGGAGGTGCCAGGTTCATCATGAAGACACAGAAATAGGGGGGGGGGGGTCTTAAAAAAAACCTTTGGAACTGCAAGAAAGCCCATCCATAATGCAGCACTTGACCTCTAAAGTCCCTTTGGTGACTGCAGCTACAGCCCACCCCTTAGAAATCCCTTCTTCTACATCATCAGAGCAACCAGTCTGCATGTGCTGTGGTGCTGGCCAGGCTGGGCCAGGGATTTGGGGGGCAGATGCCTTGGCCAGCATCCCCTGTGTCCATGAGCAGCCCCACACAAGTGCTCCTCCTCACCTGGTGAATTCGATGCCATGCAGTCCAGGAGAGCTTCTCCCCTCTCCAGCACGCTCTCAGTCAGGCTCCGGTGGTCGGCCACATCCTTCCTGAATTCCTGGCACAGCAAGGAGAAGAGCAGCGTGTCTTAGAAGGGTTTTGGAAACACACACCTGTGGCAGGTTGCCCAGGGAGCAGTTTCCTCCAAGCAGGCTCCTGGTGCTCCCAAATTTGGCGTGGCAAACGCAGCGCACCCTGGACCACTCCAGAGATGTGCCTGCAGCACAGGGGAGGGGAGGAAGAGGAGGTGACACCCACCAGGTAGCGGCGCAGCGATGCCAAGACGCTCTCGGCGTCGGGCGAGGGTGGCACCCAGCTGCCGGTGACATCCACCACGGTGTACAGCCAACGGATCAGCTCTTCCAGCTGGCAGCAAAACATCTGCTCAACAAAGCATAAAAAAGGGGTCACGGATCTATTTCTGCAACAGAGACAGCGCAGGGACATGAGAAGGTGAGCCAGTGGTGTTTTGGAAAGCACCTGCTCCCTGTTCCTCTCTGACCCCGGCACACAAACATCCCTAAGCTTGGGAAACCAAGGGTCAACGGGAAACAGGCAAAAATTAATTTAAACTCCTGAGCAGCTCCAGCACTCACTGTGTTCACCATGAAATGTCTGCACAGTGAGGTGCTGCAGGCTGGTAGCACCCAGGCTGAAAGAGAGGTTGGCCTCCACCACCTCCCACCCAAGAGATATCCTCATCCTCTTCACCAGAGCCATACAGTTAATTTGCAGCTGCTTTCCCCAAGGGATTGTCTCGTTCAATTAAGTGCTTTCATTTATTTTTAAAGTGTCTTGGTAAGGGATTATTTTTGTAAGATGCTGCATGAAACCCAGGGGCCTCTGCTGGCACCAAAATCAGGCTCAAGACCTGTTCCTGCTCCTCAGGAGTTTTCCATAAAGCAGTGCTTTTCCCTGGCATTGCAATTTGGCATGACAAATAGAGAGAAGATGCTTTTAAATCAACAGAGTTATTTCCATACCAGAGGAGGGAATGAGTTTGCAGCTATGAGCATATTAACACTCCTGTGCAAACAGCCTAGCATGGTTTCCAAATTCGTCCCAGCACTGGGGTGGGAAGAAGATGGAGAGGAGGGTGAGAGCACAGTGCTGGGATGAATTTAATAATCCACAACATAACCAGGAATCCCTTCAGAGTTGCTGCAGCTCCTGCCCAGTGCAGCAGCGCTGCATGACGGGTGGGCTGGGGGACCCAGCTGAGTGCCACATCTCCACCCAGCCTGGCCTGTGACGCTGAGCCCCAGGGAAAGCAAGATGAGCTCTGGCTCCATCAGAAGGAATTATCTGCTCTGGTGAGCCCCCCTGCATAAATTACCACCAGCTGCCAGGCAGGACACATCATGCAGAACAGGAAGCTTTAATTAATCGGTCCATAAAGACAGGCACGTTTTATGTGAGATCTTCCCAGAATAAACTTTATTTCTGGTCTCAGCCTACCTTAACACACTGGATAAGGGACTCGCTCTGCTGGCTCTCCTTTGGATCCCCTTTGACCCGTGGTTCATTTAGGCACATCCTATCCAATGTGTCCCTGAGACCAGCTGGTAGATGAAGCCTGTGGGGAGGATCCCTGTGGATCCAGCTGTACAATTCTGTGTTTTCCCAGCTGGGCTTTCGGGAGCTGCGGTGTTGCCACCGCCCAGCATAACCCTCAGTACTCCCTCTGTCATCCCCACCTCTCACTTCTTCAAAAGGAGCCAACCGAGAGGAAAGGGGCTGCTTGCTGGTGCTGTGATGTGGAAGGTTATGGTGGTCGTGCCCAGGAGTCCTTATTGTTAAGGAGAGATTGGACAAAAACTGAGCCAGCCTTTCCAGCTCCTTCAGTGTTGGAGGCAGGGAAAGAAATTCTTCATCACTCTCCCACTCCTTCCTCAGGGGGAGCATTCCTGTGGTGGGTAAAAACCCACTGGTGCTTTTCACCCGCCCTGTGTAGTTTCGGCAGGAGCCTCCTCTGGTATCCCAGCTTCTCCCACTGGCAGCAAGGTGCCCAGGTGAGCTTGGCCCAGATGATTCATCCTTAGCAACACCTCTGGAAAGGTGAGAGGAAGCACTCCTTGCAAATGATGCTTTGGCAATAGGTGAAGGTTCCAAGTATGAGCCAGTTCCTGAGAAGACTCTTTTCCCAGGCCTTGGGGTGGAGAATCTCTCTGCAGAGGCCACAAACTCCCAAAGTCCATTTTCTGTGCTTCCCCGAGCCTGCCCAGCTCGGCCGTAGATGCTGGTGGACCTGGACATGCCCTCAGGAGAAGCAGAAAAGCTGTCCAGATCTATTCCTGAGTCATGGAGGAAAGGCTCTGGTATCCTTCCCAGCTTGTACCTCGGCTTTAGCGGGTAAGCATAGTCCAGCAAGTCCTCGTACTCTTTGTTGGGGTCCCAGTGGGGCGAGCTGCGGTCCGGAGACGGGGGCAGCGAATCTGGAATGGCACAGGCCCAGTAATCGGCTTGGTAGGAGGAGATCTCCCGGACGCGCCCCACGCTGCTGCGGTAATCGAGCAGAGCGCCCGGGGGCTGCCGCCTCTGCAGGGCGCTGCCTTCCACTGCCCACCGGCAGCTCAGCTCCCGGGCTGCCGTGGTGGCTGCAGAAGGGATGGCCGTGCTGGCCCGCAAGCTCCCGGACGGCTCCAAGGAGGGGCCGTTTCCTTCTGAGGACAGGGCCGAGAAACTCAGCACGGAGCGGCTCCGGGGGCTGGGCGGGGTTTGGGGCCGCAGGAGCTCTGGGGTGGAAGGACACGGGGACTGAGCTCCCAGACTTTGTCTCCGACAGCCAACATGGGCATCGTGGTGGCTGCCAGCAGAGATGTTCTCCTCGGCAGAGCTGCGCCGGCTGGGAGGGCTGGACACCGGCTCCCAACAGCCCGATGCCTTCACCTGCTCAAGGACGGGATGGGAAAGGAAAGGGAGAGAGAGAAGTGCATGAAATGAAGCACAGCATCCAGAAAAAATGGTCCTTTGTGCCGGGATATGGAGATAAAAGCCCAACCCTGGACCTACCATGAGCTGAGGGTGGAAGTTGAACCCTGTTCCATGTGTGGGATGGGCTGCAGCTGCTCAGAGCAGGGCTTGTTTTTAAGGAAAGGCATTTCAAGGGCTTGGGGAGCTGCACGAGTCATTTGGCAGCAAGAGGCTTATCTAAAGGGCACTGTCCTGAGCAAGTTCCCAGCTCTGCACTGGCAACATGGAATGAAAGCAACAGCTTGGGTGCTGGAGCCCAAGCCCTTCCCCACCACACATCTTAGCCTGGGCACACTGGCTGGGAGAGATGGAAAGCCCTTGCTGGGACAGCCCTGACAAACAAGTCCCCACCTCTCCTGGGACTTCCTGGTGGTGCAGCAACACCTGCAGGTACAAACCCTCTCACCTGCTGCTCTTTTGAGGAGAGGAACCAGCGGCCAGCTCGACAAGGCACAGGGTCACCATCAGCATTGGTATCCACTAAGAACTCTCTCCCTGAGGAGTTTGCTCTTGCTCTGGTAAGTTTGGATGTAGATGCTGAAGACACTTGTGGGCGGCAGCTGGAGCCTCGGTGGGTAAGGTCAGCGGCCATGTGACTGTGTCTGCTCACTGCCACACCCTCTGTCCCTTGCAGGCTGGGCTTGGCTTCCTCTGTCCCTAGAAGCTGGTGCAGGCTCCCTGCCAGCTCCGGGAAGTCCCTCTCCGTGTCCCACCTGCCATCGGCCTCGCCCTTCCCGCTCAGCGACTCCTCAGAAGGTGATCTTCCCACATCCACGGCCATCAGGACACAGCTCCTTCCGCGGGACGATGCTGAGCCTCGGGCTCTCTGGAATACACAGCAATGGCATCTCACTGTCCCCCCTTGTCTCCACACCAAGGAATTGGGTTTGCCCAATAACAAAGAGCTGAAGCATGATCGGGGTGAGACCCCAAAATTCATAAAGGAGCATCTCGGTACACCAGGTGGGACAGCAGAAAGAGCAAACCCTCACATCTCAGCAGCATTTTCTGCTTCCGAGGATGTGACACACTGGGAAAATCTCCCTCCAGCCTGGCCACGCCAAGAACAAACCTGGGCTTGGTACCAGGCACCAGAGTCCTGCACTGGTGGCCAGTGTCCCCAACACTGGGGACAAAGGAGACATCATTAACTAGGACATGAAGCACCTCCTGGCGTGGCTGAGCCCCAAAGGCTGTCAGGGTGGAAAGCTGAGCGTTTTTAAAGATACAAACCCAAAACCTTGAAGTGGAAGCCACCCAGAAGCAAGAAGCAACTATAAAAAGTTAGAGAGGGAGGTTAGGAAGCTGTAAAACTCAAACCTGGAGCTCAGCTCTGCAGCTTCTATCTCATTTCATGAAATTAATTCTTTGGGAAATTAATTAATGGAAATACTTGCACTGACTGGGTTTGGGTGAGGAGCTGCTGCAGGATAACCCGTGAGCCAAATGAAGGAGACTCAACAGCAACTGCAGCCCAAACCAGGGTGCTGGCAGCAGGGAAATGGCAGCAGAGTGGTTTTGATGGTGCCAGCAAAGAGACCAGCCAAGGGAGCACCAACAGCAAACTTAGCTAAAAGGAAATTTAAATTAAAAAAAAAAAAAAAAAAGAGGCGAGAAAGAATTCCCAAACAATCCTTGGAAGTGGGAAACAAGATGATACTCTCTCCCGCCGCCAGCTCTTTTGTCACAGTCTCGTTTTATGATCCACCCCTCCCTCCGACAAGCGGGGTTTTCCCACGGGCACGGGAACAAAGAGCGGCGGGAGGACGCGCCGGGTCTCCCGGGGAGACCGAATCCGCAGCGCAGAGAAACCTGCGGCAGCCCCGCAGCCGATCCCGAGGGGACCAGCACAGCCCGAGCCCCCACCCAGTGGCCCCCAGCCCACAGCTGGACCCCCAACCCACTCCTCAAATTGTTACCAAAGCCAACTCTATGCACGTCACGTTCTCTGAACTGGACTGCACTGCTCTCTTCTGCCCTCAGAAAGGTTGCATTTCCACACAAAGCGGTGGGGTTGTGGTAAAAATCAATAAATCTGCCCTTCTTACGTGACTTAAAAATATATATAAAAGGAAGAAACGCTTAACAAGGCGTCAAAGCAGCCTCTGAAGTTTAAAAGTGAATGTGCTGTAACCAAAAGTTGACCTCAGGGCAGCTTGATTTGTAAGATGCCACGTTGAATTCAAAGGGATTTGAACATCGTTACCTCCTCCAGATTTGGTGGTTTGGGTCAGGTGTCAGCCCAGTAAAAACAACTGTAAAAACATCGAAGTTTGACCTTAAATCTGAAAAACATGCGTTAAGCAACATAAAATAAAACTTACAGGTCACAGCCAGTCTGTTATTTTCCTGACTGTGTGGAGGAGGGCAAATGTTCTGAAGTTAAGATCACTCGTTATCTTATGGAGGCAGCATGCAGTGATTTACATTTCTACGATGCCACTGGTCTTTTAAAAAAAGAGCAAGTGCTGGCTCACAGGTTCATTAAATCTCCAGAAGCTAATTGGATGCTAAAGAGAAACCAGGAAGCCTGCCAATACACAGGGGTGAGAGTAAATCTGCTTACTGCAGGATTTGTAAGGGTATTTAAAGGGACACCAGAGATCTCACTGCATTTCCCAAAGTCTCCAATTCAGGCAGCTGATTTCAATTAACTTCAGAGGGAGCTGGATATCCAAACCACACCCGGACACAAACCAGACGGGGATGTCGCACACGCCCCACACACAGAACAGCCGGGCAGAAAGTCACATTTAACAACAAAGCGAGAACACCACTGCCACTAAGCTCAACTCCCAGCTACACGAGAGCTTAGAAAACAAGCTTTCTCACCATTTTCCAACAAGCCCAAAAAAATCCAGACGTCAGGCTGCCCGTGGCGGCGACGCATCCAGATGTCAATCCCAAATCCTCGGGCAGGACTGAGGGATGTACCACACCTATAGGCACGGTGGAAACTTTCCACTGGCCTCAAAACCACGGGAAAACAGCCCAAACACCCAAGCCCTCAATTGTCTCACAGAAACCATACCCGTGGCCGTGTTTTTAGATAACGGAGGAAGACAGTGGGGCTGCTTCATTCATTTCAAAGGGAAGGTCCGCAGGGATCTCTCCTGAAAAGTGATCCCTGAGGTTTTTCAGAACGTCGGGAGGGAGCTGGAGGCCAGGACACAAAGGCGGCGGACAAGGAGGGTTCTATCCAAGGAGGGCTCTATCCATCCAAGGAGGGCTCTATCCATCCAAGGAGGGCTCTATCCAAGGAGGGCTCTGTCCAAGGAGCGCTCTATCTATCCAAGGAGGGCTCTCTCCAAGGAAGCGGGGATCGCTCCCCTGATGGAATGCACTGAGCGCAGCGGATGCTGATGGAATTTCCGTCTCCCGCCAGCTCCGCTGTGGCTGGGGAGCATTTCTGGGGTTGTTTTGGGGGGGGAAAAAACCCCACACCGCTCTCGCCCCTCAGGCCTGCGGGATCTGAGGGCTGCTATTTTTAAGCTCCTCTCCTTGCCCGCTTTCTGTCCGCCGCTGGGAAAAAAACCGGCAATGAAGCAAAAAGACAAGAAGTAAAGGCAAAGAGGCCGAGGAGGCGGCGCACCCGGGGGCGGTGGGATTCCAAAGGGAACGTGGCCCGGGACCCCCGGGATCCCTCCCCGGACCCCCCTCACGCCGCGCCCCGGCCCTCACTCACCGAGCGCCGGCCCCGCCCCGCCCCCTCCGCGCCGGCAGCCAATGGCAGCGCCCGCTGCGTCAGCGCGCGCGCGCTCCCGCCGCACGGCAGCCAATGGGAGCGGAGCTCGAGAGAGGCTCCGCCCCCCGCAGCCGGCCCCGCCCCCTGCTGACCCCGCCTGGCCCCGCCCCCTCCCCTCACGGGCTGACCCCGGTCCTTTTCTACTAAAAAGATAAAAAATAAGAAAGATAAAAAATAAGAAAGACTCCTCGGACTTTGAAACACACAGGGCAGAGTGATCCAAGGGTTCTTTCTGTACTTTCTGACAAAAACTGAGTACAAGTGTAACTAGCTGTAAGTGAAATCAGCAGAATGAATATGCATGAACCTACTGTGAAATTATTATGCATATTGAAATTAGTCAGGGTAATAAAAAAGATCAGAAGTTCTCAGGGGTGTGCATGCCCACTGAAAGGCAATGAGTCCCCACGTGCGTCCACAGCGCTGTGAATAAACATACCGTTCCCTACAAATCTTTATTAGAATTGTAGAGTTTTAATTTTTCTCCACGTTTCACTTGTAGGCCTGTATTGACCCTCCCCAGCATCACCACTGCAAACCGACTGCATGGGCCACGCCAAGGGATGCTGCTGTCCTCCGGGTGCAAGACCTGCCCTGGGGCTGATCTGTGGCAGCACATTTCTACCCCTCTCAGGATTTTTCATAGAGGTGGAGAAATGCTTTAAAGCAGGCTGCTCTGGGGTTTGTACCTGGCCAGACCTTGGTGGCTGGAGTGGATGTATCCTGACAAGTTCCCATGTCATGCAGAAATACAAACCTTTCTACTTGTTGCTGTCCATTGGCTGATTCTGGTTTTTGTCCACGTCACCTGCTCCTAGAGATTATTTCTTTGCTAATGTTGAGAATTTCTAGAGGTCAACTCTCTGATGAAGCACTTTATAGACAATATTATTTGCAGTTTTAGGCCAGGAAGGACCAAAGAGACATCCTGGGTTTGCTTATCAGTTTGGCAGCAGGGTGAGGGGAACAGCACAGGTATCCCAAATCCCTGGCTAATGCTTTGATCCTAACCACACTCCTGCAGCCTGCTCCAGCTCTGCCATCCCAGTATTATGGGCCAGATTCCCAGTGGCTACCAACTGGATTTATTCTGCTGCATCCAGTGGAGCCAGCCCCACTTATATCTGGCAGCTGGCCCATTTACATTTTTTCCTTAGAGAAACACAGTGGGAATATTTTTTCCAGGGCTGCTTCAAGACACAGAGCTGTAACACTGTAGCAGAAAATGGTGGGTGCTCTCAGAAGAACTCACAGCCAAGACAAATCCAAGATCATCTCTGTTCCCGTGTAGTATTTCTATATTTGGGGTTTCTTCGATGCATGTTACTGCAAGTCTTCCATCAGGCTGCACATCTCTCTGCCCCATATGCACACTTTCTAGAGTTGCCTTTTTATTGGCGTGCAGGCAGGCAAAGGCCTTGTGAAAGAAAAGCCCTTGTGAAGGAAAATCCCTTCACAACGTTGTTTATTGCTCGTTCTCCGGGGAGCCGCTTGCCTGCTGGTAGAGGCCGGGCTGATTTCAGGCCTGTGAGTGGAAAGACAGAAGCAAACACGGATGGGGCCATGATTCATCACCAGGCTGGGCTGTTTTTAGCTGGTTTCAATGACTTGGGAGCTGCCAGGCATTGTTCTGGGAGCTGAATAGTAGCTGGCTGTGGCCTCGGCCAGCAGGAAAGCTCTGCGTCCTGTTCCACCCCCATCAAACAAGGGCCAGGATGTCTGCAGGAACAGCCAGAGCGCCAGAAACCTTCCCCTCCCCTTGGGCTTGGCTGGGTGGGTGTCAATAAACAAGGGGGGAATTAGCTGGTGAGCTAAAGGAGAGGTTATTTAAGAAATTCAGGGGGACAATACTGATTTTCTTCTGCTGGCATCTGGCTTTGTTGGGAACTTTGCTGAAGAGAAACTTGATCAAACCCAAACCCTTATTATCCTTATTAAACCCTTATTGACCCTTATTATAGATCAAACCCTATTTGATCTGTAATACAGGGTGAACCCAGCCAAACTCACACCCAAACTCACACAAGGCTGGCAAAGAATAACAAAGATATTTTCTTTCTGATTTGAGACCTCAGGACTCTTTCAAACCTGGGTTTTTCAGCAAAGACAATGGATTTCTCTGCACCGGTGGATGCAACGATTCAGCAGTAATCTCCATATCTATGACATTAAATAAGAGCTTCCTTATGATGATCAGATATGAAAGCAGTGTATTTCTGATATTTGAGAAGTTATCTTTGTGGTGAGAATATGCTTTTTTTTTTTTTTTTGCACAGAACTGGCTCCATCATGAACACCAGCTGTATGTATTCAGAGTTTTAATATGCCCCTAAACTGCAGTAACCTGCAGTTATCCAGCACGTGTCTTTGGCACATCAGTTTGTTACTTCTTTCTACCCTGAAGGGTTTTCAAGCTCCAAGCCAGACAGTCAGCTCTCTGAGATGAAACCTGAAGCCTGGAGGTGCACCATATATTCTTGCATAGCATCTGCACTATCTTCAGCATCAAATTTCAGTCTCGCAATGCAAATGTTTGGGATGGATGAGACGTCAGCAAATGCAAGGCTTGAACCCAACCTCTCTGTTCCTCGACTGATAACAATATTAATTAGTCTTTGTACAAACTGCTCAGGACTCTCTTTGGGCTGCCTAACCCTTCTCTGAAAGTGTTTGTAAGTGTTTATCTTTTCCTTTTCAAGGCTAACAACCCTTTTCCTTTCCCCAGAGGTCAGGATTTCCATGTCTTGGACCATCCCCTCTGTTCTAATCTTCATTCTCATTCTTTGGGCCACATTTCTTTGAAGCTCAATACTGATCCAAAGCTCCAGCATGGGCTTGGCTGTACTTAGGCAGAACCAGTGTGGTAGTCAGGCTGTGATCCTGCTTACACACCCTGGAACAGGATCTGCCTTCCTGTAACTTCCTGATCCTGCTCCTTCACCTACCATTTCCCACCAGTAGAAGTGCAGCTAATTACTCTTACCTAGATTAATTCTTTCCAGCCTCTCTCTCAATTTTTCTGACCTTGCTGGGAATTTCAGCCCATTTCAGCACATTTCCATTTTCCCAGACCTTCTTCTCCAGGTAGGGCCTACAGATTTTCTCTGTTCTGACATTTATATCACTAATCAGTGACTTATGGTCCTGGACCTACAGCAGGCTCCCAAGGAATCCAGTCATTCAGCTGGACAGCTGCTCTGGTGATGCCTACATAAGCAGGTTCAAGCTCAGCCATGCTGCTTTAACTTCTTTATAAAGCCATGAGAAGGCTTGCCTGAAGCCTACACACTTCTCATTGCTCCTCTAAGATCACCACTGCACTATTATTGAATATTTCTGAATATTACTGAATATTACCGAAAAGGTAGCTGCCGTTTTTTCTTCCTGACTTTGGAGAACCACCTGAAAATACAACTTAAGTACACTTGTGGCAGCTGACAAATAAAATATGTAAAGCAGGATTAAGGAAGAACAGAGGGAAAACTGGAGTGACAAGTATTTTAACGTCAGCATGGAAGTTCTGAGTTGGGTGTGTTGTCCAATGCCAGCAGCTGGACTATTTGAGTCCTTTTACCATTTGTTTGCACAGCTGGACCGAGTGGCAGGATTTAGCTCAGGGAAAAGGTCAAGCAGAATCTGCACTTCTCCTTTCTGGCCACACGATGTGCCCATCACACCACGAACACAGCCCTGCCAGCAACTGCAGATGGAGCCACAAAGGCATGGCGGTTCCAGGGGTTTGTGTTCCCTCACAGCACCTCCTTACCTCCAGCCAGGACCCCTAAAACACTCACACAGCTGCAGATCAGGGCCAGGCGCCGTGGAGCAGAAGGTGGTGGATGGGATGGAGTTGGTGTGGCCCAGATGCTTTGCCTTTGAGGAAGGTGACAAGCTGCTGTGAAAGAAATAGGAGCCAAGTGGTCAAGAGGCAGTGGCAACTCTTCGTCAATGTGAATTATAACAGGCAGTGAATAATTGGAATTAAGTTTACTTACTAAATGTGAGATTTACTTCTGCTTTTGGTGGGGAAATGCAAGTTCTTTTTCATTCTAATTGCTGGGATGCCTTGGCCCTCTGTCATTTCTATGTTCTGTGAGCAGAACCAGGAGGCTCTTCAAAACTAGAGCTGGCATCTGCAGGAACCAGTCATCAACACAGAGAAATATTTGGATTAGTCTAGATTAAAATCTGTGTATGTAAGTGCCAGAAGAAATAGCAGAGCTGGAGGACTAAGAATGGCTTGAATTTATAACAAATGACACCAGAAAAGAATTTGGGACTGATAATTTGAGCCATTGCTAGGACCACAGGACACACAACCCACTTGAGGGAGAGCCTCCTCCCTAACAGCAGGAGAACAGACATCTCCCATTTCCCTCCCTTGCAGGCAGGCAGGGAGACTGCAGCAAAGAATCATCACAAAACAACTATTAATTGTTAAAGATTATTAAACAGATGCCCCAAAACTGGGATTTTCAGTGAGGAATTCAAGGCATCTCCCCTTGTGGTGTATGTTGCACACAAGTGATTGGGGCGGGACAGAACTTGTTTCTTGAGAGTGAATGAAATCTGTAAGAGAACCAGTGCAGGTGGCTACAATGAGCTTAAAATATAAATAAATACCACAGTCACCTTCTGCAAGATTTCCTACAATGATTCAAAGAGACTTTAATGCTTATAATGGGGACATAACAGAGATCTGACTTCCAACAACCCCCCACATTTTAAAGGTGAACAGTGAGAGATCACACAGACACCACACAACCTGTGTGAATCAAACCATTCATTTCAGGGCAAAATAAATGGTTTTGTGTTCTCTTTAACTCACAAGGCACTTCCCTATAATTCTATCTACCTTAATCAGACAAACTGGGGATTAAAAAAAAAGGACTAATCTGCTCATTGGCCATAATTGCATTTCCTCTGCAAATATTAAGTTAGAACAATAGCAGTGGCTTTTGTAATAAATTTACTGTTAAACGCTTTTCATGTGAACAAGAGAAATGTGTGTTGCCTGCCTAGAGCTTGGAAGAAAGAAGTGAAGAGTATTTTGCCAAAAAATGCTTGAAAAAAAACCCAATAAAACTAAGAAGTTGTAAAGCAGGTGGCCAGATTTGTAGGTGGTGGTAGAAAACCAGAATAAAATTATTAAACTTTAATTAGAACTTACCCAACTTTTATCTCTTTGTTGAATTATTATAGGAAACCATCTCTTTATCCATACTAATGCCTAACAAGTGCTAATAATATCTGGATGGAGGCACCTGGGACTCACTCTAAGGCTTAGCTGAGCTCTCATTAAAGAGAAGCAATGATTCCACCTTTTCCATGGGTCTCACAAAGCTTCATGGGTTTCACATGGCAAATCACTACAGCTCTGACAACCACCCCAGAACACTGCAGAAATCCTGTGTGCAAAGCTGACATGTGAATGGCTCCAGGCTCTGGTCCCAGAGGACCAGAAGTGAGCTAGTTCAGCTAGGAAGTGAGAAGCCAAAGGCACAACCATGGAGTCAGACAAGCTTTTTGGAAACCACCAAAAGGGTTTTGTAAGATTTACATTCCAGGGCATAACACCAGTCCCAATTTCTAAATCATAAATGGGCAGGTCCTTCAAATTCTGCTTCCTTCTTTTGGTGCTTGCAATTCTTGTGAATTTTGCCCCCTTGTTTATTTGTTCTGGGAGTTTAATGCTTGAAACTATCCCACCTACACTTATATAGTAGATGTTTTTCCCTGGATTTGTGATGTTATGCGTGTGCACCTCAGGACAGACTCCTCCCTTTGGAAATATATAAGCTTTTAATGGAAAAGCTGTGTCAAACCCACTTAGATGGCAAACTCAGGCCCTCAATTCTGAGACCAGCACACTGCTTGGATGGGCTGTGTGGCAAATCTAAAATTACCTTGAACTTACCAGCCTGGCTGCCTATTGAAAAGCATTTCCTAATGATTACTCCCACTGCTCAATCCTTCTCCAAGGAACAGAGTCAGCTGGCTTGGCAGAAGGGCAGCAGGTGTGTCTGTCAGCCATTCCACCCCACCAATGCATAACTGCTGATCCAGGCTCTCTAAACAAAGATGGAAACGTGAATTCTGTTTGGGGTGGTTTTTATTTTAGATTGAGTTGCTACACAAAGAGAGAACAAATATACATTTCCATGAGAGAAGGGAAAAAGAGTGTATCGCATTGTGTCACCCTCCTAACACAACACACCATCCCCACCTGAGCCACAGGACTGCTCCCCAGGCAGGCAGGGAGTTCTTACTCCAAAGGATACAGCACACAACAAACATCTGTAACATCTGCCCCAGGGTCACACACCCCCAGACACAGCAGGATGGTCTTTTCTTTGCATATGTGCACAAACATCTGTTCTTGGGAGACAATGGAAAGGCTGATATAGAATCACATGGGTGAAACTCACAGCTGTGAAAGAGGAACAGCTACTGATGGGCACAAGGATCAACAGACCCACATGGCACAAACACCTCTTCAATGGAGTGGTTACTCTAAGAACAAGGCAGATATGTTTGTATCAGTGATACTGGATTGTACTGGAGTGGATGGCAGTGAATTTCATAGTTCATATTTATTTTTATTAAAGTAATTAATCAAACGGTTTAGCATATAAAAAATACAATAATCCTCCCTCCTAATCAGAGCAATTTGTGTTCAGGTAGAAATAAAAGCACACACACACATACACACCTCAGGATTGCTGCCAGAGAGCTCACAGGATAAAGAAAAGAAAAGCATTTTCCTTGTCTCACACCAGGACATCACATTCACCCTCCTGTCTCCAGGGATAATGGAGTCTTTCAGCTTTGGTGCATAGTTATATTTGAAAGCCAAACAGCAACTTTAATTTGTCCTGAAGGGAACCAGGACAAGGCACCTTTAAGGATAATAAGGCAGAAGGAGACTCCTCGTGTGCAGGGGTGGTCCTGCTATCCCTGAATCAGAGGGATTAATCAAAATCTAATCAAAGTCTTCACCCTCACAAAGTGTGAGTGAGTCAGTCTCAGTTTGCTGTAACCAAGAAGCAGCTCAGGAGCAGAGGTTTGCTCAGCTATTTGCAGTGCTATGCACAGTCTCCATCCCATACAGCAAGACCTTACAAGAGTGCAGCCAGGATAGCAACTGAGGAAGTCTAAATAAGATTGTGTCCTTAAAAGAATTGAATTCTCATGGATGGCAAACACATCACCTCCACAGTGGCCTTCAGGGAAGACAAGTCAACAGAGCATCTGTTGTGGAGCAGAGCAGGGAGGCAGCGACAGCTGGGCCACCTTGGTCACAATTACTTGACTAATTAAGTGTAAAATGTCATTAAGGTATTGCCTTAATGAAGCAGGGTTTGTTCAGAGGCTCTCCAAAGCTGAAAGCATGTCTTTGTCCCCTCCCAACAGGACAGGAAGCAGTCCATGTCCTCAGATGGGGCCAGAGTATCTTTAAGTTTGATCTATGTACTATAGGAGCCTGATCCTGCTGGGATCTGGGCAGATTCCAAGGAGCACAACAGACTCTGCAGGAGGGATACAGAGAAGGCAAACTGAACAAAACATGAGGAAGTTTCCTTCTGCATCAACACTGACCACTAGGAAAACACTTTTATCTTAGAGGCACCACATCATAATGCTCTGAGCATGTAAAATGCCTTTAGTTACAGCCAAGAAACATTGCTTTACTGCTGCTTTGTTGGTCATGATCATCCTAAGAGGCCCAGACCATTCCTCTATGCTGCTACAGAGGTATCTCCATCAGAAATCCAGAAACCACAGAAAGCTCAGGAAATTACATCAATGCACATCAGTGAAGGCCCAGGCCTGTCCTTTTTGCAGCATTCCTCCCAGTTCTAAAAAAAGTCACAATCCAAACCAGTTAATATCTAGAGTATTTTTTATGGTTAAGCACAGCTTTTTCTGTGGGAATGTAATCTGGGGGATTCAGATATTGTAAACAGTTCCTTGAGAGAAGAGTTCCCTTAGCAATTTCCTTCTGCAACATGTAACTGCAATTAAGTTGCACGCACATGCCACATGCAGTTTAGTTTCAATTAGTAAAACATGCTTGGCAAGGAGGAGCATTACTTTCTCAGTGTTGTTTTACCAGAAGGAGCAAGTGAAAGCTATCCTAAGGAACATCTAAGACCAAATTTCTTGGTCTCTGTGGCTTAAAACCACACCGTTAACTTTGCATTACAACAGAGTTGGCTCAAAATCCATTTCCTCATGCTGGTTCCCGTTGGTAGCCCTGCTTGCCTTGCAAGCAACATCTGTGGCCTTGGGAGACAAGTATAAATGTTTCTTGAGCAGGATTTTACATAAGAGCTGTCGGCCAGATGAAATGTCCACAGTGCTCACCCCCTGCTGGCACAGAGATCTGAGGTTAAATCCAAATGAGATTTCGTAACTATTAAGGATGATGCATCTGCTGACACTGAGATATAATTTGATAAGTAACCACCCTGTGAACACTTGAATGAAAGATTTTTTTTTCCTCTCTTATAAAAATCTCTGTACAGAATCAAATATATTTATAAACTCTCAGATGTGGATTCTTTTAAGGAGGTGATAGTTGTTAGCTAAAAATGAACCTGGCTTTGGGACTCAGAGTCTGCTCCTAGCTGGCTTGTCAACTCCTCATGTGACTCAAGAGAGAGTTTGTTCACCTTTTTCTGTATTCATTCACTTGTGCAGATGTGAACTGATGCCTGCTGGTCACAAATGCCTGTAAACACCCATGCAGAGAATGAATTCTGTGTTAACTTTAACTTTCCAAGACAGTGCTCAGATGTGAAAACCTACAGGAGCCAAATAAGGCTCTTGATCACTTATTGTCAGAGTTAAAATATTCAGGGGCAACTGTCTCAATGTGTCACCCAAAGTCTGGAAAAAGTTTTAGATCATTTGTCAAATGATCCCTTTTCTCTCCTGCCAGAAAACTGAAGCAAATGGCTTTCATCAATATGGTCCCATAGATAACAAGTTGGTCTTTGTCCTTGGAGAATAATGGTCTCCATGCATTTATCTGAGGAGCATTTGTCCTAGCTATCCTGCAAGGAGGAATGTGGGTCAATCTCTGATCCAGAACTGTACTGCTGTTCCTCTGGTCATGGCCAGCAGCCAGCAGCAGCTTATCAGAGCTCCATGCTGGCCCTCTGCATGCTGCCTTGTTGCATTTCAGAACCTTCAGCACTCCTGCCTCTCCCTGCAAATCCCACCCAAGCAGCAGGCAGGGATTTGTGTTGTCTCTGCTACATGCCAGACAAATGCCTGCAGCCTCTTTGATCCTATCCATATCAAAATGTCAAGGAAAAGATGCTCCTTTATCCTCTTGCTTACCCTGTCTTCTGTGACGATGCCCCTGCAGCCTTCCAGCTCTTCCTTCTTTTTCTCCACCTTTGTCACCCATACTGACAACAAGACAACTTGTTCTTTGAGTTGAAAAGCTCTTTCTCCCACTGAAACGAGTCAGGAACTAAGCTGTCAAGACTCCCAATATAGATGTTGAATCCATGGTGATGCCTGTTAATTTACCTGAGCCTAAGCTTTCATGGCATGTCAGGTGAGATGGAAGGAGGCAGATAGAACAGGGCACTGTGTTGTCCTTCATCAAGTCACATCCCTTTTCTGAGCTGCAGCTCACACTGACACCAGCTCCCCTGCTCCCCCCAAATTAGCCCAGCAAATGCATCCACCTGATTTCTTTTCCATTCCTCCTCTAGCACAATGCAACACTGCATACTTTCATTATTTGATTCCTTTCAGATTTTTGAAAAGTTCATTATTCCTCAAGATTTACTGCTCTCTGTCTTAAAAGTGTTTTCCAAACATTGCAACTCACTATCTTCCACACTACAGCCTGTGAGAGACACATAAATATCTGTAAACCTAATTTACAGAAAAGGAAGCACAGGTATAAAACTTATGCAACCTGTGCTGTTCATCTGTCACCAAATCAGTCATTACAGGCAGCTCTGTCACTATGATCTGCCAAGGCAGTGAACCTTGGCAAATCAGTGAAGATGTGACCATTTTTCTTTGGTGAGAGTTTATATTTTGGTCTTTGGACTTGGTACCTGAGGCTTACTGCTCACTGCCTGTGGGAGGGTCAGGATTAAAAATTATCATTTCCAACAGGATGATGCTTTAGAGTGGCTGCAGAAATGCTCTGTATTAACAGAGGACCAGAGTGAAGATTTTGCCCAGACTGTTGACCAATGCTGCTAATCTTTGCAGAAGAGGTGGTGGTTTTGTCCCTTTTGCAAGCTCTTGAGGACTCAACCTACAAAATATGGCTGGGTGGTCAGTCACACAGATGACAGGAACTTGGGCTTGACTGAAAGAGGAACTGCCTAAACACCTCAGATTTCATTGTTCTTGCTGCAAAGTAAGGAGGAACTGCAGCAGAATAGGAATGGTGACACTGGTTCAGGTCCACATCTGGCACCAGTCACAGCAAATATCTAGGGAAGAGTATGGGAACAGAGCAAGCACCAGGAAAGTTTCCTGCCCCTCACACCCTTGCCCCAATATCTCACCACCTCAGGGCCACTGCCTCCTCAGGGCTGCCCAGAAAAGAACAAAGCAAAGCTTGTTTCACCAATCCATGCAGTCCTTTGGCCAGCTCCACATCTCTGTTACATCCGAGGGACACAGTCCTGCCTGTCACATCCTGGCAGGGCAAGCCCTGGGATTGGCTCCAGCCCGTTCTAACACAAAAGCCATCCTGATTGCAAGAGACATCCCCAGAAAGGGTTGAAGTCCTTTGCAATCACCCAGTCTTGTAGAGCAATTACCAACACCAAGACTCAGCTAAAGCTCAGTTTTTAGGAATACAAGATCTTTACTGAAAATATCCCACAAGAAGTCAAGTCCTGGCACCTTCCCCTGCTCACTACAGTTTTTCAGGCATCTACACCCACATCTCACAGCACAGAACAAGCACCTTTCTCAATGTGAAAGACAGATACTGCTTGGCACTCTCAGAGCAACTCTAAATTACCAAGGCTCACAAACCTCTGCTGAGTCCAGGACAGGAACAAGGCAGAATGCAAACTACAGCCCTCAAAATACTGTCCACTCTCCCATTTACTCCTGATCCACTGAAACATAAAAAGAACATACAGAATTCCAGGAAACAGGATGAGATCAGGCAGTGATAAATAAAGCATGGAGTGAAAAGTCAATCCTGGAGAAGAAACAAAAGATGGTGCAAAATGCTCAAAGAAACTTCATTGGAAAAAAGGCTTGAAGACTCTTCAATATTTCATAGAATCCACTGAGTTGGAAGGGACCTATGAGGATCATCAAGTCCAACTCCTGGCCTTGCACAGGACACCCTAAGCAACACACCATATAATTTCCATTCTTTCTCTCAAAAAGCAGTTCCTGTATTAGAGGGTAGGACATGAGCTGAGGAGAGAACTTGCACCTTCCAAAAAAAAAACCAAAATAACAAAAAAACCCTAAAAATCAAATAGAAAATAGTGTTTTCTACATGGAATTTGTTTCCTTTAAAAAAAAAAAAAAAAAAGGGGCAACTGACTAAAGGTTTCCAATTTACAGTTATGCCAGCAGAACAGAAATATATGTCCAGGCAAGAGACATTGGAGTTAAGTATCACAGTGGCACCAGATTTGTGGAGTGCCTGAGCAAATGGCAAGTCTCCTGTCTCATCAGACTTACCAACAGGATTCACATCATTACAGTGGCAGTTGTTGGAATGTATTTTTTACAGTCTGAGAGAGAGCAGTACTGAATCTTTCACATTCCTACCTTAAGAAAACAATCCAGGTAGAGAGTTCTAGAATGCATCACAGCTATCGTGAGGAATGGGAATATCAGAAGAAAACAAAATGTAAATTCTGACATAAATGATTAAAAAAATGACCAAGAAGATTTTCTGACAAGCAGAAATCATCCAGCACTACTGCTTCCATAGATCCCTCTTCTTGTGCACAAATAATAAAAGAACTGGCACATTTTTAAGTCTAAAGTAGGGCTTCTGTAAGGCTACAGAATATTTCTGGCAGGTTAAGAGCTGAATACTCATGGTTCATATAAATTCTATGATACCTGTCTCCAAGAAAAGGAATGTCAGATTTCCTTGATTAAATTCCTGCTATGAGAATATGACCTCCTTAAATCCAACTGCTCTAACAAGCTTTACATGGGACTAGACACTCACATCAATGCAAAACATGGCAACCCACTTGTGGGGACTGGGAGAGGTGTTCAGTGAAGACTGAGCTTCTGCATTGCTATTGGAAAATACTAATACTGGGTATTTGCTTCAGTTTTCCATTTCCTGGGATTCCCTGTCAGGAACAATGTGCCACAGCCTATGGCACACTGCTACAAGGATGAGGCACACTCCAGCTGCAGCACCACAGGGAAGAAGGATCATATGGCACAATGGCAAGGAAGCCCAGCCTTTGGGTTTGCCCAGGGCAGTACTTCTACTTGTGGGCAACAACAGCTTCAGAGTGAAAAAAAAAAAAAATAAAATTGTGATGTGCTCTTCTCTGAAATGGTGCTGTGATGCTTCATGGATTGTCACTTTAGTACTGCCCTCATGTGCTGATCCTAGCTGCATGTGTCACAGTGAGGGAGAGCAGCACAGAACCACAGAATATTAAAGGGTGGGAAAGGACCTTAAAGATCCCAACCCCCCTGACATGTGCAGGGACACCTCCCCACTAGACCAGGTTACTCAAGGTCCTACTCAGTCTGACTTTGAACACTGTCAGGGTTGAGGCATCTACAACCTCCCTGGGCAACCTGTTTCAGTGTCTCACCAAATTTCACCTCTTTCAGTTTGTATCCACTGGTCCTTGTTCTACCACTACAGTTCCTGACAAAGCCCCTCTCTGGCTTCCCTGCAGGCCCCCTTCAGATACTGTAAGGTTGCAATGCAACCTTCTATTCTCTGGGCTGAAGAAACCCAATTTTGTCAGCCTGTCTTTGCAGGGGATGCTCTTTGTGGCCCTCATCTGGACTTCCTCCAACAGTTCCACGTCCTTCTTATTTTGGGAACACCAGAATTGTACACAGTATTCCAGGGGGTCTCACAAAAGCACAGGAGGTAAACATTTGATGAGGGATAAAATTAAACTACAGAACCCAGCCCACAAGGGACAGTCAGGATTTTCAGCTTCCTTGACACACCCATATACTATTTTAAAATCAAAGTATTTGGGGTTCTGGTGCATTCAGATATTTCAGAGAGATGCTTAGACTTAAAATTGTGCTTTTGGTTTCCTGAGTTGAAAGGAGTTGGGATGATTCTAACAGGAAGAAATGTGAAGTTGATCTGCTGGGCAAAAGACATCCCTACAGAACTGTGTTTGTCTCCTTCCATTTTGAAGGTGAGCCAAGGAATGACCAAATTCTGTGGACATGGTTACAAATAAACTGGTTAAGAAGAAACTCCACCTGCAGTTTCCCAGAGGGCTGACTAATCCTTTCCTCCTTGGACTGTCTGCATGGCTCCAGTGCATTGGATTAACCAGCCAGTCATGCTGCACTCACGGGGCTCTCCCTCAGGGGTGGCCACATCTCACTCTGAGCATCTTCCTGCAAAATTCACTGAGTCCCTCTACCAGGAGGGACGCCTTGCAAAGGAAGGCAGCTGCTGCCATGGAATTGGAGTTGCCTCTTCCTAGTGCTGACATCTTTCCAAGACAGATTCCTCTGAAGCAAGAGAGGAGAAAGAAAAAGGGAGGCTTTAGCATTTATATCAAAGCTAAGTGTAAATATATATTGCTGAATTAACAGTGTGGAGATGGACCATATGCAATCTCTTGTTGAAGTAACCAAGAGAAAACATCACAAGCCCAGGCAAATTGCTGGCATGTGTAGTCATATTTTTTTTACTATTAGCATCCAAAGAGCCAAGATAAATCAACAGGATCTTTGCAATGAGCCTGCCAGACTTTGTTCAGGTTTGGGATATAAATTCAGGAAGGACACTGTAACAGCAAAAAAGGAGGAGTAAGAATCCAGAAGCATTTAGCTGAGCTTCAAGCAAAGGTTACCACCTGCCATTAAAGCATTACCCTGGGCCAGCACCACCCAGAATTACTACAGGTAAACTGCTGCCAGAAGAACATTTATGGCAGGACCAAACTCCTAGCAGGAACAGTAGCCAGCTCCCACAGAGAGATCACTGGGGTTATAAATTCACCTCTTCTCTTCCCCTTTCAAGCCAAGACTCACAGCTGCCTGTCATCAGTTTCCACGTGATGTGTGTTCAGAATTTTTCCTCCCCTATTCAATTTTGCTGAAAGAGAGTATGACTAAAGTTGTTTTGATTGACCCATTAAATACACATGAGCAGGACATCATGTGCTAGCAGAGGATCATGTGTGTTTTCATGAAGGGAACTGACTTCTGGACTTATGGATGTTGTCACAGGCAAGCCTCTTTCAGACATACTAAAGCTGGAACAGACTCTACATTTTTTTCAGCCCCAGAGGGATTACTTTAACAAAATTTGTTATTCCTTTGATTTTTTCCTTAACAGCTTGGTTAGAAGAAAGGAGGAAACCAATCCTTGATCTGCACAAAGATCTCCTCTGTTTGGTCCCACAGTTTGGGAGTTACTCAGCAAGGAAAGCTGCTATGAGCTGCAATGTAGAGAGAGAATGAAACAAGTCCCTATAAGCTATTAATTTAGGTATGAAACAAAAAAAAATATTAAAAATAAACCCCGGCTAGTTTTAAGGACATATTCAATGTTTTTAATGGATCGGAGAACATGAGAGGAAGGGGAGTGGGAGAAAAATGTTGCTTCATAACAACATGGCTGTAATGGTTGGTGTTTCCAAGATAGAAAACAAATTTAAGCAACATTTTCACCCACTCTGGAGTTTCTAGACTGCTTCTCCATTCAAACAGCAGCAAAAATTTTTCCCTACAATAAGCACATACTGGGTTTGTCTACCTCCCTATCTTCAACCCATCTGAGCCTTCACTAATGAAAGTCTTGTTACAGCAGAAGCCTCGATGGCAGTTCTCACGTCCATGTACACCAGTGTGCAGCGCAACACGTATGCATGTACACGCATAAACTATGAAAATACTATTACAAAGCGAGCGCTCCTTCTCAACAGCCCTTCTCTGCCCACCCCACCTCCCTCCCCTTCCCCAGGCCAGCATATTTTAAAATAGTCTGGAACTGAGCACTTCCAGGAGCTGCAAATGTCTGGGTGCGTTGACAAGTCCCCGGGCACCTCCAGGATTGGTGTCGACGAGCGGCCTCGAGTTCACAACACTGATTCCTTGGATTCAGGGTCTGCTGTGCTGCTTGTGTTGGACACTGGGTTTTTGTGGGTTACCAAAGGTGACGTTTCTGCTTCAGACTTGCTGTTTGCAACTGCTTCTACGGTGACTTCCTTGAGCTCCTGCTCTCTCTCTTTCTTGTCTTTTTCATTCAGGTAATTAAGGATGCCTGCTCCCAGGGCATCCCCTTCCACATTCACAACTGTGGTGGTTCGGTCCCTGGTGAAGATCAGAAACAAAAGCCAAAGCAGCAGGGTTTTAGTTTTAAGAGAGTTTTAACACAATAAGGGGAGCTGATTCACCCCTGCTGAATCACTAACATCAGGGGAACTAGACAAGGGAGATGTAGCTGTCACGAGTGTTTTCCACAGAAGTATCATCACTATTTCAGAACTAAAAATGTGCACCAGAGCAGGCTTAAGGTCAGTCAAACTGTTACCATTAGCTGGTTCTGGTCTCTCTGGGTTGCAGCAATGGTATTACTGTTTCTCAGGCATCCTGCTTTTCACAGGTCACCTCCTTCCTCTTCCTTTTTCCCAGGCCAGCATTTTTCAAATACATGTTCAGAGCAGGAACTTACTTTGGGCTTATCCAGTAAGTGACTCAGGGCACCCAGCTCTCTTTTTACTACTGTGACTGGTATCTTAACCCAAGCACCTACTTAAGGGATCCTTCCAAAAGCAGGCAGAACGACTTGTGCTCTCTGCATTTGCTATCCATAGCACCTGCCCTAATTTTTGGTGCTACAACACACAACTAGTGTGCCAGGGTGTAATGGAAGAGATTTAGGGTCATAAAGATGAACAGTGTTCTCATGTGGCTTCTGAGACTTCCTAGTCATTCTGCAGCCTAACTTTAACAGAGGCTCAATTTGTAATTGTGGTCCTCCCTGGTAATTAAACAGGCATGAAAGCAAGACATGAGACTCCTTCCTCCCTCTTTCCCCTTTTGTTACCAGAAGGTTGAGCTCCTTGATTAGAGCACTTGACCACAGAGGGTTGCTACCTATTTTAAAAGGAAGGCAACCAGCACAACACAGGCTGAGAGCAGCCCAGAGTGAAAGGAAGGGCAAGCTTTTCACTGTTGCCTCAAAGCACTTGCAAATACAGGTGTGGAACACCCAGCTACTATTGTACTTCCTTAGGAAGGCAGGATAAAAAGGGCTTTGCCTGTATCTCCTGTCCTCTGGAGGTGGCTGATCCCCACGAGGTTACAGCAAGAAAGAGTGTGATGACCCTAGGGAAGCTGTAGGAATATGCTTCACAGACACGTGTTGTGTGGGAAGGGAAGGTAATACAGCTGCCACCTTCCCCAGTCTCTGAAATTTCCACATCTGCTGTGGGAATGCACCATCTCTACAGAGAGGCTGGTGTTTCCAAAAAGCAATGCTGAGGCTGGTGTTTCCAAAAAGCTGAGGCATTATGTGCAGTCCTAACCAGGAACTGCCCAATAACCCACCAAATGGAAACAAATTACCTGAGCAGGATTCAGATCACTTGACCCATACTGACCTCTTACTTCTTTCCCAGAAGATGGAAAGGAAAGGTTACCACCATCAATACTGTCTACTAAACTTGTGACACTCAGCACTGTGTTCCAGCCATTACACTGCCCATAGCAGTGACAAGTGTCACAAACCCTCTGTGTCCCTGCCCTGCCAGTGGACAGCACCTCTCTGTGATGCTTGTGTTGGTGCTTTGACCAGTCTTGAAACTATAAAAAAAAGTTCTAACAATAGCTGACAGGAGCTCCTGATGGAAACTGCTTCCCATGTATGACTAAGGAAGTTTTCCACAAGTGATGTTCAGACTCAATTTCTTTTGTTCTCCCCTGCCTTTCTAATGGCCAATTAATTTCCAGCAATATCAACACATTCTAAATGGACTTTTAACAACCATTCTAATGGGACTTGAAGGCAAGAAGAAATACATTTCTACAAAGGCTGAATAAAAAAGCTTGAAGAGGGATTTTAGCATACTGACTGCTTTAAATGGGAAGGCACCACCTTTTCCATTCCCCATCACAAGATACCTGTCCTGTAGGCAGACATCTTGTAAGAACTTATTTTCTGCTGGGTTATATTCTGGACTTTAACCACATTTCTAGCTAAATATGCTACAAGGATGCTGTAGTGAGGTGGATGTCACTCTTTTCCCATGTAACAAGTGACAGGATGAGAGGAAATGGCGTCAAATTGCACCAGGGGAGGTTTAGATTAGATATTATGAAAATCTTTCCATGGGGAGAGTTGTAAATCATTTGAACAGACTGCCTGGGGAAGTGGTGGAGTCCCCATGACACAGCTTAATGGGTGAGCATGGTGGGTGGTGCAAAAACCTGAATGTCTTTTCCCAAATTCCGTATTTCTATGCCTCCCAACAGCAGGTGGGTGAGGCTTGCAGTACTCACACGATCCAGTCCACGGCCAGGATGAGGGACAGGTCGTTGGTGGGCAGCCCGATGGCCTCCAGGATGATGGCGATGGTGAGGACGCCTCCGGCAGGGACCCCGGCTGCTCCCACGCTGGACGCCGTGGCTGTCACGCTGCAAATCCACAACATGGGTTAGAGGAGCTCCCAGCTCTGCCCTGCTGCTCTCTGCCATGTGTTCCCCCACCATGGGAGCTGTCAACAGCCCCTCCAGCATGGGGCAAGCAGAGAGGGAGCGCTCACTTCCCAGGCAAAGCCCTTCCTGCCTGCTGGTGCAAAGGAACAGACAGAGCACAGGGCTCAGCAGGGACCCACAGCAGCTACCGTGGTGATGGCTCTGGGTTCAACACCAGGACTGCCCCTTCAGCATCAGAAACAACCAACACAGCTCTATCCTGCTGCCTTTGCAGCATCAGAAACAACTAACACAGCTCTATCCTGCTGCCTTTTCAGCATCAGAAACAACTAACACAGCTCTATCCTGCTGCCTTTGCAGCAGTATAAACAACCAACACAGCTCTACCCTGCTGCCTTTTCAGGATCACAAACAACCAACACAGTTCTACCCTGATGCCTCTACAGCGTCAGAAACAACCAACACAGTTCTACCCTGATGCCTTTGCAGCATCAGAAACAACCAACACAGCTCTACCCTGATGTCTTTTCAGCATCAGAAACAACCAACACAGCTCTACCCTGATGCCTTTTCAGCATCAGAAACAACCAACACAGCTCTACCCTGATGTCTTTTCAGCATCAGAAACAACCAACACAGCTCTACCCTGATGCCTTTTCAGCATCAGAAACAACTAACACAGCTCTATCCTGCTGCCTTTGCAGCATCAGAAACAACCAACACAGCTCTATCCTGCTGCCTTTGCAGCATCAGAAACAACCAACACAGCTCTATCCTGATGCCTTTTCAGCATCAGAAACAACCAACACAGCTCTATCCTGATGCCTTTTCAGCATCAGAAACAACCAACACAGCTCTATCCTGATGCCTTTTCAGCATCAGAAACAACCAACACAGCTCTATCCTGCTGCCTTACTAACATGCCCAGCTCCAGGATGCTGAGGGACTTACAGCCCCTAAATCAAGAGCTGGAAACCTGCAGTGTATGTGCTCAACACACCTTTTTGTGTGCAGATGTCTGCAGCTGAGCTCTCCTTGGGCTATCACTGCATCATCCTCACACCTGATTCACTGAGAGTACCTGAAAAGCTAATTTGGCTACACACCAAATAAAAAAAAAAACCCAGTGCCCCAGCCCTGCCTTATAGACAAACAACATACTGGGAAACACTATCAAGAAGGAAATAAAACCTGGCCAGGAAGGAAAAAAAAATGCCAGGAAACAGCTCTAGGAGGTATGCAGCTGTGAGGTGGATGGGCACAGTGAGGAGCCAGAACTGCTTGTACCATCCTCATTTAAGGGATTTTGAGGAGAAAAATGAAGATAATGACACTTCATGTGATATGGGACATCGGAGGATATTCCAGGCATAGGGGGAGAGAGTCTTAGAGAAGGAAGTAGGACTGGGGTGGTGGAGGGGATAATGGAGCAAAGCAGTTCGGAACAAAAAGAGATCTGACCAGGAAAGCCAGTAATGTGATGGTAGGAAGGACAGAGATGAGCAGGAACAGAATCTTTAGTACAAAACAGATGCGTAAGAAACCAAGATGCTGGCAGGAAAATTTTCCAAGCCATCCAGAGGGGCAATAAGGGGCTGCTTTCTGGGCAATGCAGAATGCCTCAATTACCCAGCCTAATGGTGACTGGAGGAGAGAGGAGTGAGATGCTTAAAGGAGGAGAGGAATTTCATGTGAGAAAGAGCTTTAAACAGCTCAAAGACTGTTTCAGAATTCAATTACCCCTCCCACGTTCCACCTTTTATTAAATCGAGACTCTGGCAAATCTTGTAAAGGTTTAAAGACTCCATCCTTTAATTACCCTATAATTATGTTACATAGCAGTTTGTAAGCTTTAGGTCAGAGATGTGGAATGCTAACTGTTAGCTATTAACGGAGAGACCACAGCTTGAATGTGTCTGGGGGCCAGAAGAATGTGGTTGCAAGGAACTTACAGAATTGTGAAGATCTGCCCAGGGTTGAGGTCGACGTTATTCAGCTGAGCAATAAACACAGCTGCCATGCACTGGAAAATAGCAGCTCCATCCATGTTTACAGTGGCCCCAATGGGAAGGATGAACCTGCTGATCCTCTTGTCGACTCCGTTGTTCTCCTCGATGCACTTGATCATGGATGGGAGCGTGGCTGAGCTGGAAACAGAACAGAGGGAAATGGAACACAGAGCACCAGGGTGGCCTGAATGCCCCAGCACTGTCATGGCCTTCATGCTTCCAGCATGCTGCAGACAGGACTGGCAAGGCAACAGTGCCATTTCACAGTCCCGCTCTGGCATGATGGCAGTGCGGGACCCTCCCTGTTGGGTTTTGAGCAGAGGTATTTAATAATCTGCTTTCATTCAGAAATAGCTGATAAGGACTTTTATCTCCCACAAGCAAGAACTCATGACTTAGCACAGTATTACATGGCTGTAGAATGAGCAAGTCTCAAACTACAAACATACAGTAACAGATGCAAATATAGCAGGGGAGGTTGGAGCTAGATGATCTTTAAAATTCCTTCCAAACCAAACCACTGTATGATTCTATGATAATACTATCTTCTCAAATGAACAGAAAAATAATTAAAAATTAAACAGCACTCTTGGACTTACTTCTTGCATTATAAATTACATGGTTTTATTCACAAACCCTGTCTTACTATGCAGAAGGAGGGAGTTTATAAATAGTACTTCAGCTCCATTGACAGACATGGAACATGCTTTTGGGGATGACCTGAAATGATTTTATATAATATGTCATTTGATCAGGTGTTTGTACTTGAGAAACGTGTAAATGACACACTCAATCATTTGGTTATGACAAATAAAAGCTGATCAGGCCAGATCTTTGAAATAAATGTTAAATGCCTTTACACTAGCAAGCAAGTCAGCTTTGCTCCTACAAGATTAGTCTAAATTTGTTCCAGTTCCTTCTAAATTTGAAAAGTAAACCTCTGAGGGCAAAGTCACTCACTACTGACCCTCACTTCACTTAAAACTGAAAGGACAGCTGGCAGGATCATTTAAAGGCAACTTTTTTTTTTCCCAAGATATTTCCAACTCAGCATCATGTAACAGCCCCAATATTTTGAGGAATTCTTTTCAACAATCGATAATCAGCATGTGCTGTGTGGCAGGCTGATGACAGCAGTGGGATTCTCTATGCTCAGAAGACTCTTTCTGCAATCTCAGGAACAACATTCACACCTTAAACTAAAACTGGATACAGCCAGTATGACAAACAGCCAGGGCCACAGCCAGGGTGACAAACATAACCAGGCTACAGTCCCAGAAGTGGCACAGAAACTCACCTGGAGCAAGTGGCAAAGGCAGTGGCAAGTGGTGTGATAAGTCCTAAGAGAAAACGATACGGATTTTGCCGTGTGGCTGCAAAATAAATAAGTGGCAGAATGATTCCACCGTGGATGACGTGGCCCAGGATAGAGGCAAAGATGTATTTTCCCAGACTGGTCACCAGAAGCACAATATCTTCCATTTCCACAATCTTGCTCCCAACAAGGAACATAATGCCAATAGGTACATACCTGTGTAAATGAAAAATTGGCTGTCATTAAGTACAAACAAAAAGCCTTGTAAAACATGGCATTTTCTGTCCTGGAGATAACATTCCCCTAAACAACCTGCTGCACCTATTGAAGGGTAGTTCCTTATTCACCACATGCTCAGGTCAGGCAGATTTGGAAGGCTTTTCTAAGACTCTTGTTTGGTGGATGGTAAGCAGTCAAATTTTAAAAGGTCTGTTCACTTATGCCCTCAGAGATAAGGTAAAGAGAGAGCCAAAGGGAAGGTGAATGAGAAGCAGAAATGCTGCCAGGGGCTACCAGGACAAGACACCAGTGGGGAAGGGAGCAGCATCACATCACTGAAGTAGAGAGAGGTCAAAGAGCTGGGTCTTAGACATGCAGAAACTCCCAGCACGAGTACAGAGTCAGGTCATTAAAATCACAGACACACTGCGTGCCAGCTCCATGGAGGTTTAGAGAAAGCTGTGCACATACCAGAGAGCTCAGCTAAAGGCTGCTGATGCATGTGCCAAAGACAGCAATTAACTCTGCTATTTGCCTAAAAAGGACTAAGTTAAATGATCAGGCTTCCAGAGCCTCCCCCAAGCCAACAGCCAGACACTTACACACATCCATGCCTCCTATCTAGAAACATGCCACGTCAGCATTTGTTTGAAGTTTCCTTTGTCAAGAACACACAGAGCTGCTCCAGGGGAAGGGCCACCTGCAGGCCACCGCCACACCTCTGGTCCCAGCAGCCCTGAAAAGACTGAACTGCCCCTGCACCAACAGTAAAGCAGCTCTAAACAAACTGTGTGGATCACTGCAGGCCCAGGGCCAGCTCCTTCCTTAGCCCAGTTTGTGCCTGAGCACCTCTGCTGATGCTGTCCATGCTTCATCCCTTTTTTCTAAGATTAGGAAGTACTAAAAGATCACCCAGCTCCCTAGAATCCTGCCCCAGGAAAATGTGTGACTACAAAAGATTTGCCTGTACATCTCAGGAATAAAGACTCCAATGCCCATGTTCAGAGAAGCTGATTTGTGGAGTCAGGACAAACTCCAGAAGGTTTGGTTAAGCATGCAAAGGTGTGGAAAGGTGGGCAAGCCTTAAGGCTGCTCAGATCACTCACTTCTTCCTGGCCTGCCTCTCCCTCAGTGGTTCTGCAGCTCCTCTGTTCCATGCAGAGAACATCTCTCTATGTCCCAGATCCACATGAGCATTGTCTATCCCTTGGCCAGATTTCTAGGGGAGCCTGTGGAACATTCCCCACTTAGCCTCTGCAATTCTGCCCCTGAACTGTCTTTCTGAGGACCCTGGTTACCCAGATCCAGCTGAGCCCTGGTCCTGCACAAGCTCTGAACATTGAATTCCTCCCCTGAAGAGGGAGGCTGGAGAGGACAGAACTGAAAGTTGAGACCCAAGTGCTGCCAAAACAAGCTGAACAGGACCAGATATGAGCTCAAGCTGCCTTTACTCCCAGTAGTATTTCACCATTCCAAAATATCCCTTGGGAAGCACATGCAGCTTGACAGATTTTGAATAAATACCAGGACTACACAAGAGCCTTAAGGAAGGAAAGAGAACAAGTAAGGGCTTCACTGTTAAGGGTCAGCAGTGGTCCCTATAATCCACAAAATAAAGGATTACATACCAACTGATTGGCTTGAAGTGCTAGCACTGTAATAAGCTGAATACATTAAATGCCTCTTATCAGTATTCAGTGTCCAAGGAATTACATTCAAGAGCAAAAAGCTTAAGCTGCTTGGAGACTGAATTTTTCAATCCCTTATGATAGCAACTAACACAGATCTGCCTGTGTAAAATCAGGTGTTTTGTTAAAACCCTACTTCTTAGGGAGAGGAAAACAGCAGGAATGAAAAAAGCAGAATGAAGGGAAAATATATTTAAATACACATTTAATACATTAGGTACATTTACAGCTTTTTAACCAGCTTTGGAAAGGAAGTAAAAAATGTCCCACTATTATTTTGTTTGCTAGCTATCTTTATTAATATTTTTGACTCTGTATGACAGGTATTGGTACTGTTGCTTTCACAGGAGCAGCCTAACTCCATACAGCTACCAAGGACAGCCATGACACTGCTCTGAGGCCCAGGTTCATCCCACCTGATGGAAAACTCAGCCAGGAGGCTGCTCCTACCCCAGCTTAGGTGGCCTGAACATGCTCTAGGGGTGCCTGTCTCCTCCAACGCTGGTTTCTTGCTAATGAGAAAGCTTAGTGTGCTCCAGTTCCTAACTATCAGACTTTTTTTGGCATCAAAAGCTTTGTGGGTTTGATCAGAGCACCAGTCAGCCCATAAGCTTTTCCAGACTCCAAGGAATTAAGTGAAAGAATGTATTTGCTTATTAATAGGTAAAAGAAAAAAAAATCAGCCTTAGGAAATACTGAGTTTTCTTTCCACTAAATAATCAAAAGGGAGTCCTGGAGAGGATTTATAGGCAACCCTTTGAAGTTCCCCAGCCTGATACCTTAAGCTATGAGTGACTGTCTCATTACAGGGCACAGGCAAGGAGAAAAGACCCCATTGTGTGACATCACAAGATCCACTTTTGCTGTGATGAGGATCTCACAGGAAACAGCAGGACAGAGAGATGAAATGGGAGTTTGCTGACCTAAGCATAACACTGCAGTGCAGATGTACCTGCAGTCACACACTCACCACATAATCCAGGTAACCAAGACCATTGTTGCCTCATTGAATGAATTAAAGAAGCGAATCAGATCTTCCCCCTCTGGGCCAAGCTTTTTCAGTGCCACTCCTAAAACCAGAGCAAACATCACCAGTCCCAGGATGTTCATCCCTCTGATCTCAGTACCAATAGGGACCTGCACAAACAAAAAAAAGGTGGCCTGTTACATGTGAGAATAGGACAAAACCTAACAAAAGGGTCACCTCATTTTGTTGCTGTCTGATTGATCTGAAATCAACAAGGAGAACCTATTTTGGAAAGGTAGAGCCTGTTTTGTTGAAGGGAATCCAGGAGATCTGGATGCAGTTCAGGTACAAACCTCCCTAATTATGAGCTGGGATGGATTCACTGAGAAGGAAAGGGCCTGCTACTACCTCCCCATGTGCCCTTCAATACAATAGTTGTGTTCTCAGTGACCTGAACAAGAAAACTCTCCAGTTTACTCAGGACTTTAGTGCAATGATGATACCAAGGTGAAAACCATAAGAAAACAACCAATGTTATGAAAAAGGAGGGGAGAAAGGCAGAGAAAGGCAGCAAATTGTGGCAATACTCCTTCATCTGTCCATGTCAGCTGTGGGAGATAGGGAACAGAAGAGAGATACCTGTTCCCCTTCTCAGAAATCTGTCACTGCCTGGGAAAAGAGGATAAAAACAGGATCCACCTATCGACAAAATCTAGTCTACCCACAGGTCTGCTCTGTTAGTCCTTCATGGTTCGCTTCTCAAAGACAGCCAGAGCTCTCTTTGGCAATGCAGTATCATAGAACTGAATGAGTACTCTTGTGGCTACATAAAAATATAATTGTTTTGACAAAGTGGGTTTTTTTCTCTCCAACTTGGCAGTACAAACATGTCAAATTGTTGTTTTATTTGGAAGAACTTCTATAACAGATGAAGTTTGTGTAAAAGTTTTGGCCTTTTGGCTAGTTTAAGTGGACACTAGCTCAACACAAGGAAAGAAAAATACATTCTGAGCTAAAAGTTTGAAATGAGTATTGACTAAAGAACTCAGGATACTGATCTCCTAAATCTGATAAAACCAGCCTGCTTAAGATTGATGTTTTTTCTGGAAGTACACTGCTGAACTGGACTGTCTCTCGATGGCAGGTGGAAACAAAGTCCTGCAGGGAAAGGGATAAAATGTAAATTATACACAAAAGCAGGAAGGTTAAACTGCTGTTAAGAGAAGTGTTTTTTACAAAAAGTGAAGGTGCTGGCATTTTTTATTCACTAGGTAAAAAAAATTAGATATGGAATCCGCAATTTTTATGGTGGTTGGTTGTTCAGGGCTAAGCTGCTCTGATATTATTTGATTCCTGATTGAAAGAACTGAAAACATGGACAGATATTAAGCATGAGGTAAAGTGTATCTGCAGAGATGTCTGAGGAAACATGCTGTCACACACACTAACACTTTTCTGTCTGGATAGTTTTGGCTATATTCTGTTTTTTCTGACTGAAAGCTCTAAACTCTTCTGTGGTTAGAAAAGTTAAGACAAAACAAATGACCCCCTCCTATTAATTAAACAAATCATCTGTGTACACAGGATGTTATTTTGTAATATGTATCATTCTATACTGGGTTCATTAAATACAGGGGTAATATGAGAAGTTCAGCTGGAACAGAATTTTATCATAATAAGCCCAAACCATTCCTTAAAAAAAAAAGTCCCAAAAAGAGTGAATACTCTTTTGTTTTGGTTCCTATTTTGAGAAAAAAAAATGTATAAAACTTTGCTATGGAACAGAAATTGTGTTTCAACGCTTTAAAAGCCCAGCATTCTGACCTGGATGTTGCTGGGAGAGAAACTGTACTCTCCAGAATGAGAATACATGGTCTTCTTTCACCCTTGGAGAGCTCTCTGTCCACCTTGCTCCCAGCACTGTGCTAACTGCTGCTGCTGTTCTCCAAGTGCTCACACTCACCAGCACTTCAAGCCTTGAATTTGTGATCTGGGGACCTCCTGACCTCTTGGTGACCAGAAGATGACTGTGTGTGCCACTGCCAAAAGCTTGTGAGCTGTCTCCTATTTGCTGCCAGGCCTTGCTCTCCCCTTGTCTCTCTCTCACATACTTCTTTACAACACACAACACTCACCACACCTCCCAACACTGCAGATGGAGGCAGAAGATGCACCACTTGCCTAAAGCAATTAACTTATTGCGAGAAATTCCTCCCTGCAAATCCAGGGGACGATCTGCAGCATGCAGGGAATTCCACCTCCTTGCGACACCACTCGGAATGAGCCCAGCAGAAAATCTTCAGCGGAAGATCCTCACAATCCCAGCCTCTAAAACTGGCAGATGCTGAACAGCCTTTTTGTACTCTCACACAAGAGTGCATCACCCCAAAGGGGCAGCCAAACCAAGCAGCATTGTGGACACCAAACAAAAACAGCTTTAATGAGAACTTTGTTCCTGGACAAACGATGGGACACGTTATTGTTTGCCTGAAATTATGCATTCTCTTAGGAAGAGTCATGGAGCTCTTCTGGTCCTTGAATCTCTCTGAAGATCCCATTGTTTTTTAGCTCTTGAAACAAAATGCTTATCAAGGAAACAACTGCTGACATTGAACAGTCCCAGTAGTAGGTGGCTGAAAAGAAAATGCAGCCATGTGATGTGAGGAAGAGGAGCAACCACTGGTTTGTGTATTTTTACTCCTGTCCAAAGAGGAACTGAGGCCCTCCAGGCTCCCTGTGCTGCAGATGGTAAAGGGAGATAGTCTGTGCCCCAGGAAGTCTTGCTGCCAAAGAGACAGAGAGGATGTAGCCATAAAAGCTGGATAAACATGAGGTGAGCATGTGAACCAACAAAAAAGGACATGGCTGAGCAAACAAGTACGTGTCCCACTATTCACCTCATCAGTGAGAGAAGACAGAGCCTAGTAACCAGTGGGGGGGAAAATATAATCAATGGAAATTTTTGATCTACACTATTCATATGGAAAGTTGAAGGAAAATATTTCCCCTCTTCAAATATTCTGCTGATGAAAGAAAAAAGTAGACAGGAATATGATCTTATTCCTCTGGAAACAAACTGCTGTCACTATGATATCCAAAAATCATACTCTTCTTTCCAGACTTAATCCTCATCTAGCCATAAATACTATGGTCAGACCAGTACTAAAACTGACCTAACAAAAACTGAGATGATGCTCTCTTTTTATTTGTTCTGTTCTTCCCTAGAGACAGTAGGGCGTCTTCTGGAATTAAAGAAGGTCAGTCTGGTTTTGCTCCAACAACTTAAAAAAAGGTTTTGGAAAAGTAATAGCAGAAATAACCTTTACATCATCACACCTGTTGGCAAAAACAGACAGCAGTGGCATATTCAGAATATTTTTTCTGATGTTACATCAAACAGGAGACTGATAAGAAGGAAAAAGAGGGGAAAATGAAAAAAATAATGTTGCATTTTAAAGGGCCAAAAGATGCATTCTTATCTCTTAAGGAAAAGTGGTGGTGTTGAACAAGCATTAAAAAAGTACTTGACAGCCAGCACTCTGTTCAAGGGATATGGTTAGCCTTAATCCATGCTTGGTTGCTACGGAGCCCATATCAAACCTGACAGTGCAGATAAATAAAAGACTTACTCCCTTTTCACTTACCCTTGCTTAAATGTCAAATAACTCAGCACTCTGCAACAACACAGAATGTTCACAAACACTGTTCTGCATCACCTCCTCACACACCATGCAAGGGGAGGAAAAGGTAATGAAGCCAATGCTTCCTGTGCTCAGGGATAGGCTCCAGAGTCCTTCTGGGTGAGCATAAACTGCTTTTTCCTTGATGGTTTTACAATCCTGTGGGCAAACCCCAGCTGAGCCCTTCCATGACAAATGCAAACATTACAAGTCTCTTGCCCTAGGGGAATTCAAATCATATTAAAAATGCAATAACCTAACATCTGATACTGAGCTCAGACAGCCAGAATGAGTCTGAGGAAGAGAAAACCACCTTGAAAGTAACTTCTCAGACCAGTCTCCCAAAAATCCCATGGCAGCACATGAGACATTTTATTTGGAGCAAGGTGACACCTTGCAGGCTGGGACCCTGGGTCTGTTTCACAGCATGCTGCTTGTAAAACAACAGTAATTATTGCTGGGCATGCAACATGTTGGCTCTGGCAAATAATAAACATGTTTGATAGCCCTGTCTGCAGGAGAAATGACACTTGGTGGGATACAGAGCATCTCTGGAAGTCCTACCAGCTACATATGGAAGATACCACTCTCTACTTTGCCTACACCTGCACACTGGTTTCTTTATGAAACCATTGTAACAGTAGCCTAATTACAATGTTCTGTCTGTAATTTTTACTCCTTCAAACTACTTTTTACTGCTTCAAACAAAATTTCAGCAGTGAGAAAAAATTCTCAACCCAACAAATCTTTTTTTTCTTTTAGAGGGAAAAAAATCTCATTTTCTCCAAACTCTCAATGAAGAGGAGTAAGGTTTAAGGGACATACTCAGCCAGTTTGACTGCTATTTAGTTCCAAGTCTACAGAAAGTTATTTGGAAACATTAGGTAGACTGACTAAAATTTAGATCAAGTGAGACCAGGTCTAAGAAAGCATAGCCTAAAAAAATAAAGTGTCAAGGGTCACATCAGTTGAGCTCAACTCTCCTCTTAACCACAGCTTTCTGTTGTGGCTGTAGGTACTCATTCAGCTTGTGTGTGTCTCAGTTCCAGGCAAATAAATACTTGTTTCTTTCTCAAGACTGCTGGAAAGGATTAAAGGCTGTGAAGTAGTCAAGTATTACTGACAACAATTTGTTTAAAATCTAAGAAATGACCTTACTTTTTCCAGTGTGATATTTCCCAAGGTTGTGTTCCTGAGCAGCATCTGATAATCTGTCGCATACTGCAGGTAAGAAAAAACAAACAAAACCAAACAAAAATGGTGAGGCAGGCATTAAAATTGTCAGCAAAATACCTAAAATCTAGGGCAACAATTTACTTTGATAAACAAACTAGACACCTCACAAAAGCAGGGCACTTATTTGGGCTTGTTTTCTTTAAATATAAAAGGAGGGAAGGAAAAGCTTCCTCCTTGTCAATTCCCTGTGACAACAGCAGCACAGAGGAAAAGAGGACTGCTTTATTTCATCCCTGAACACACACAACCCTGACACTAGAGGCATCACAAAATATCCTTTTAGTGTTATTTTTGTACTGCTTCTGGTTTTACTCGTGGAATATTGACCTGTACTGTATTATATATTCATGCAAAATGGAACTTGATTTTAAGAGTTTGCCCTTGGTTTTGATACAAAAGCAAACCCACCATGAAGGCAAAAGCTATTATTTTGCTCCTGTATCATAAAGAATCACTCTTCCCCATGACAATGTTCTCAACACTCTCTATCCTGACATATAAAACTAGCATTGAGAACTAAATGAAAATCTTTTTGGAGCCCTACAGCTCCTATCCATCAGTTTAAACCACAGTATGTTCTGGTGCCAGTTATCATCCCACCACACAGTCTCTGTTGGAAGAGAAACCAGGCTGAGTAATGAATCCAGCAAGGGAAACAATGAAAAATACTGAATAAAACCATCAGGCAACAGGTAATGCTTACACATGGGAGCCTAAAGGTCTTCAGCCTTGTCTGTTTTGAGCCCAGCTCTAAACTACATAGCCAAAGGATTCTAAGCTAGGATTCTCCTGCAAAATGGTAAGCAGCCTGGCACAGGATTGCCACTGCTTCCCAACAGGGCACCCAAAGTTTAAATAATGTTTTTGGTGAAGGTAGAAAAGATGGCCTTTGAATATGCTTTTGTTTGAGGAATATTTTTCAAATAATACGCCATGGAAATTGTATGTCTGACTATATCATGTACTTTTAAAAACTCTACCTCTGTAATAAATTAACCTCTGGTATTTTCTACACCACCTTTCTAGTCCTCTTCCAATAAAAGAGCCTGTGCACTGTAGCTCATCTCCAAAATCCACACAGATCTTACCGTTTCGAAAGCTGCAGCAACAAGATTTGCAGGAAACAGGTTTCTGTAAAAGACAAACAAGAAAATGAAATATGTCATGGAGAACTTGTTAAATTAATGCACCAGTGTATCTCACTCTCAGAACAGAATGCCTTTTTCAAAGGCAAGCACATTGGCACGGGTGAAGTGTGTAGCACAGAAGATTCTCGGGCAGCATGGAGCTTGCTGTGTGTCCAGAGGTGTGGATGCCATCTTCCTGGGCTCACACCAAAGAGATGACACATGCTTGCTGCCACACCTCACCTTTTGGGCAGGGCCACCAGAGGCAATCACACACAATGCTGGTTATCCACACCCACTGCCCAGTGGCTACGAAAATGGTTCAGCCACACCAGCTGCAGCACCAGCTTATGGCCTCCGGTGTCAGGCAGGTTTTTAGCATTGCTCATGTGATTACACTTCACTCACAGCATCAACATAAAGGACAATCCTATCAGCAAAATCCACTTATGAGACTGGCTTAACCCTTCAGCACAGCAAGGCCAGCTTCCCTGATCACCAAGGCAGAGCAGAATAGCATCACAGGGCAGACTTCTCTGCAAGGGCTTGGGCAACACAGATGGAAAGTACAGGCAGCTCCTACAGAACATCTGAATCCAGCAGTGCCTTCACACAGCAATGCCAATCTAGCACCAGGTTAGCACAGAGAGGACAGCATGCAAAGTGCTGTACACTCTTTCTAACCATCCACTCTTTCTGCCACAGTTACCCAGGCAAACATTAAACCAGGCTGTGGTCATTCCACAAACATGGAACATGCAAATCCAAACCAGAGCAAGAAAAGGAGCAGCATAGTCAAATCTTTGAAAGCAAAAGGGAGATTAAAATGTGGCCCAAATAAGGACTTTGGCCTCTTTGGTAGCATGGCTCTGTTCTGCCACACAGGGAGTTTTCCCACAGCCTTGACAACAACTTCATCAAACACCTGTCTGCTGGAAAATACCTCAGCCTCTCTCTCCCCCTGATGCCCTACAAGTGTATTAAGAGGATTGTTGCAAGAATAATTTGTCTTCTGGAGTCTACATTCCACCAAGCATGAAAGAAACAGCAACTTTTTCTCCTCAAAAGCTGACAATACAGCTGTCTGTGTGAAAGCAGGAGAGCAAGCTCTCACTTAGCAAAGACACTCAAGAATTGGTCAAATAAGATCAATGGAACAGCTAACGGTGCATCAGTTCTTGCACAGCTGGAACTCTCTGGTGGATGAAAACCTTGAGTAAAGTAAAAGCAAACTTGCTTTTATCAGGAGTAAAATATCACATATACAAATGGGCTCATGCTGTTGGGAAAAGAAGGCTATTTCTTTTCAGCTTTTCATAGCAGGATGATTACTTTTCTTAAAAAAAGAACTGACTGGACTTTGAAGAAGCTAAGAGATTAAAAAAGACTGAAAACCAACCAGAAATCAATTATTTTTTTTCCTTTAAATCAGCTTTTCCATCCTGATGAAAACAAAACCAAAGGAAGCAATACTAAAGCCTAAACAACATGGTTCGCCAATGTTTAAATGTGGCCAGGAAACCAAACCCTCCATAATTTGCACAGTATGCCAGGCATGGGCCTCAGTAACTGAATATTAACTTATCTCCAAGCATATACTTAAAGCACATAGTTAAGTGATGCCAGCAACCCTGTTACAGCAAGGCAAGGGGCAGGTTCTTACTTCAAGTGTGAATAGTGCTAAAAAATAACCTAGAGCAGACATTTCATTCCTCCAGCACCCGTCACAGGACTTGACAATTTGCCAAGTAAAAAATTTTGATCTTAAGCAGCTCATAAGGAGTTATATGTTCTGTTCAATCCAACTTCTAAGTACACCTGACTGCAAAATACCAAAACCACATAAAATAATGTTTTGTTCCTCTGTTTCAAATCCCAAAGCTTAAGAACATAATGTGTCAGGTCATAAAAAGCAATCTACAAACAAAGGGCTTATCTTGGAGGCACGAGGTCTGCACAGACTACACTTATTGCTCACCTAAGATCAGTCAGCATGTGAACTAAATTCAACTTTAATTACAGGTGGGTCAGATCACAAATTCTTACCTTTGGATGGATTTGTGTAAGAACACCACCACAGTGCCTGGAAAATGGGGCAAGATGCTGCGTGCTTTGGGGAGAGAAAAGCTGGCTGGTGACCTGCCTGGGCCCATCATGGACTTGTGCCTCAAGGGTTTGCTCCTCACGCCTGCTAAGGTGAAGCTCACCCATCCCAGAAACAGACACAGCTCTGTGCCTGTGAGCAGAGGAGCTGCATTGGGAAGTGTAGACATCCCTCCTGTGAGGGTGAACCAACAAACAGGAAAGCTGATGAGCTGGGTAATTGGGCATGCAAATGAAATTTGGGTGTCTGCCACTTGTTTTTTCTGTGAGGAGCAAAGGTTTAGAAGTTTTTTTGAGGGAAATCACCCTGGTGTATGCTGGATTGTTGACTGTTTCTGATGCCCCCATGCCCTGTGATAGAGAACACTCTGAAGCAGACATGCATTATCACAACAACACGGCGCTGGCCAAACCCTGGCTCTGGGTGATAAGGAGCCCAGCTCAGCAGTGTGGGACCAGACAGCCTTGGCCCCAAATGCAGGGAGACAAAACTCACTGCACATGGCACAAACAGGCCAAAAACACACCATGGCAAGGAAAGGTGTGCTGCCTGTACCCACCTGCTCCCCTGCTGCCAGCACCTCGCCCCACACACACACAGACCCCAACTCCTTTGTGCCATAAAAGTGAAGTAGGTGGCACAGAGAGGCTTTACTCACCAAGCACCAGGCAAGGAAAACCTCTCTCTGCCTGCTGCGAGTTGTGCAGACAGCCCCAAAAAAAGCTGTATCAGAAATCCATCTGACAGCTGCCGAGGGGGACAGCTGTGTCCTGGGGCTGAAGCAACAGCTGGGCTGAGCCAGGAAACCTCCATGTAACTGCACTACACACAGGGTGAGAAATCACCCTTCTCAGAGCCTCTTAAAAGAGGAACAAGAAAGTAGCAGCACCAAGGGCAGGTGTTAAGTGTGTATTTCCTGCTTGAATACTGCGTTCATCACACCATCTCCCTATGCACAGCTGGATAAATGCACCTTTCTTCCTGTGAAAAGCTGCTCCTACCAGTCAAAAATGGGCCATTAATCCCCAGGAAGATCCCACCATATTTCTGCTGTAATAGAAATATTAGTTTCTCTTGGGAATCCCAGACAACTAAGGGAATGTGGAGCTGGCAAAGGGAGAAAAGAGGGGCTGTAACTCTCCTCCTTCTCCATTTTGATATTATGGTCAAATTGCTCTCTTCTTTATAGGCCTGTATCTTTCCACCAGCGGGATGAGGATTACACAGGAACTCCTCCACTGTATGTGTAGGGGATTATTATTAACAACTGTTTCTAAATGATTCGTTTGCTAGAGCTCTGCAAACAACTTTGCTCTGGCAGCAAAAGCGTGGAGGGAAATCCAGGCAAATGGAATGAAACCCTAAAATACTATGCATTCCTCTTGCATTGCTTCTTACAAAAAGGTTCCACTTCTGAGGCCAAAAACCTTGCTGTTGAAAAACATACTTTTTTGAGGAAGACTACAAAAAAAATATTCTCTGTTGGTTACCTCCAGTTTTCAAGGGTTTTTTCAATGGTACAAGTTCACTTGCAGCAACTTTATTGCCATCTGTGGCAAAATGCCAGAGCCCTGTTCAAATTCCTCCAGTGCCTCTGTTTTTTTTCTGTCCCAAAATTTTCATTCAATATCACACAGCAATTTTCCTCATCTGCTTTTTGATATGTGAATGCACAACACACGCCCTGTACATACTCGTGTTTGTGAGTGTGTGCATTTGTTTTTAACACAGAGAAACTAGAAAATGTGTTTACTTATAGCAGATATTTGACACTTTTTTGTCTTAATGGCCCAGTCTGTATTTTTGACGCTTGCAAAATAAAACATAACTGGGAGGGAGTCAGTTGTAAAAGGCAACAAATGAAAGGAGCAGAAATGTTCAGGGGATTACTAAAAAAAAAAACTGCCAGAGAGTGCAAGCACATGAATGAAAACAGTGAGCTCTTCCTACAGAACTCATTCCAGACTCAGAAAGTGACACAAATCAAACTTTAAGAACTAACCATCAGCTTCAAACCCAGAGGTCATCCTGTCTCCTGGTGTAACTGCAGCCATTGCCTGAACACTTTTTATTCTATTTATGAACTCCAAGGTGGCATCTCCCCCTCCTCTTCTAACAGTCCCATTTTACTGTCTTTCTGCATTGGGATTTCAGAGATGGCCTTCATGGCTGCTGGTTTTGGGTGACTTACTGGGAAGACCAAGGCTGCAAGAACGAGTGCTACTGGAGCAACTGGTGCCAGGAGAGGGTCACTGCCTAAATGGCCCACTCTGGCCACCTGCAAAACACAGCTGATGCTTCTCCCTGTGCTCATGTCTGCCTTCCCTACAGCTCTGAAGACACTTGGAGCAAAGGCATGAGCTTGCTGTGGGTGCTCCCTTTGGCAGCTCAGCTTGTAACACCTGGCAGAGAGACAGAAAGGGCATTGAGAAGCAATAAAATTTAAACTGTTTTTGCAGACTTGCCTGGTAAACTGGAAAACCCAGACCTCACTGCTTGGGGCAGACATGTGGACCTCTGTGCATTCTTCCTATTAAAAAAAAAGGGATTACCTCCTTCCCTTCCCAGACTGTTACAACCAGGGTTGGATTAAAAACAGAATTTGTTTCCCCAAAGCCAATTTCACAGTTGCAAAACATGTTTTCATCCCAAAATTGGGCAAAGAAAGTCTGTCTCAGATCCTTTTTTCCACTAAAAGAAATTGTAAAATACTATGTTGAAATGTTCCTTTTTTGATGACTGAGATTCTCTACTTAAGACCTTTGTATAAAATGACAGCAAAACATTGACCTCACCAAAAAAAGAAATGCTACAATCACCCTGATGGAAATTTTGACAGGATCAATAGGTTCCTGTGAAACTGTTCAATTTTGTTGAATCAGCAAATACAAATCAGAGCTAGAACAAAACTCTGACCTTATTGAAACATTCAGTCGTGACAATTGCCCATCACAAGTGTTAACAGATCAATAGATTCTTGCAAAACACTTGATCCTGCTGTTTCAACTGCTTTCCAACAAGCTGCAGATGGGCTGTGTGAGCAGGTGGTTGGACTCCCATCCTTGGACTCCCTCTCCCTGGTTACATGCAGGGCACAAGCACAGCCAAGCTGCCTCTCTACAGTGTCACCTCCTCAAGTGGGGGCTGAGCCCCAGAGCCCACCACATCCCAGCCAGCCCCTTCTTCCAGCTGCCAACCACTTCACAACCAAGCTCACAAGCTCTCTTTATTCTCTGTTGCTGTATCTTCTCCACCAAATAAACGAGTAAGGGAAAACCCCAGAAATTCTAACATTTCTCTCCACTTCCCTCATCTTCTGCTGACAGACTTAAGGAATTCTAAGATGCTGCCTTGAGTTCAGGGAACACCCCACTTTCTGGGTGCCTTTTTTACAGCAATCAGCCTTGTGGAAGCAGCTGTGAACTCTTGCTGGATCCCCTCCCATGATCACTGCCTTTGGCCATGCTCCTCTTCAGGAAGCTCCAAGGAGCTGTCCACACGACACACCTGAGATGAGATGAGCATCTCATCAGCATCCCTGCTTTGGGGCACAAAAGCACCTGATGACAGCTCTGCTGTCCCCACCCCACGTCCTGGGGCAGAGGACACTGTGCCTAAGCCCTGACTAGACATGCTCAAGGCTTGCTTGCCTCTACACTTGCCAGAAGGGAAACCAGGAGGGTGCTCCAGCACCTCCAGCCAGACAAATCAGACCTGGAAATTACGGTCAATGGACAAAACAAAACAAAACAGAGACAGCCTTTGGGTTCACCGGTGAGTCATCATTCACTTGATACCAAAACCCAAGATAAATCTTTTTTCCAGAGGTTGTTTCTCCATGCCTGGATGCACATTTGTGGGGAAGCTTTAGACTTGGAAAAGGAAAACCAAGAACTAAGCTGGCCCCCAGACATCATGGCAACAATGAAGAGCAACATCTTGAATCATTAACTAGAAGACTTCCCAAAGGCAGAAGTGACTTGCAGAACCAAATAGTGACACACAGCTGTGATTTCCTCTTTGCTGTTTCTTCCAGGGGTCATGTTTCACATTGGTTTTCAGTGCTGATGGGGGACTCAGTTTACCCATTTGCAACTCATTTTTACCTCTCCTCTGAAACCACTCAGCAGGGAAGCCTTGAAGGACGCAGTCAGTCTTGTGCCACAACTGAAAAGTTTTCTTGCATTTAATAGAAATTTTCACGGCTAAACGAGATAAAAAAAGCAAAGAAGAGGATGCTGCAAGACCCACCCACACAAAAAGCAATCATTTTGACCCTCCAGGCCCTATAGAATCAAGGCTTTGTTATCTCAAGATGAATTTACTCTACAAAGTTTCATCACAGCAGGGACCAAGTTCGGTGCTCAAACCAAAACACCTACATTTTCAAGAACAGTTGAAAGAATAATATTACACAGAAGAGAGAGAGATCTTATTTCCTGAAAATCACATATTCTCTCCATCCCTCAGTCTCTCAGGGATTTGTGCTAAGACTGAACGTTTTAGTGATGGCTATGTCCAAACACAACTTTTCTGGACTGGATTTCACTGTCACTGCTGTAACAACTTGACAGCCCAACAGTGTGGCTGCAACAGCCCTTCCCTGGGGTTCCAGGGAAGATATATTCACAGCCCCACATCCATGCACTGGGGGAAAGTTCCTGTCCCCCCATCTCCTAGAAGGAAATTCCTCTGCAACCCACCCAAGTCTCATCATGATGAGTCCTACTTTGGAATTAGGGACTCAATCCCATCGCCATCATAACCCCTTGGAGGATCAACTCCACACCTGCATTTACAGACCAGACCAAGAAACAGCTGTCTGCTCTGAACTGTAGATCTTACCCACAGCCTGAAGCTCACTGGAACACCCCTGGCCTGTTCCTCAACTCTATCCTACTCCACGCTGCCAGGTGACACAGGGATGTAACACCAGGTACAGCAGCCACGCCAGGATGCACTGGGGCAGCCACCACTACAGCTCTCCCAGGTGTGCCTAGTCCTTTTTGGTTTTTTGGCAATTTTCCTTCACCTCCCTCCCCTCCCCTCAACAACATATCACCACCACAGCCAGACTACCTACTCTCGTTGTCCTGCTATTCCTTCTTAACATGCTGTCAGGAACTGCTGGTCCTAAATTGTTGGTTCTTGAGAGAGGGAGAGGTGAGCTGAGGACACTGAGTACATGTCTGCCAACGGAACAAACCAGACTTACTTTCTATCCAAAGGGAACATGCTTGTCTGAGGGGGAGAAAAGAAATTAACCTGAATTTATAAATACAGTTCTGGGTTTGGTTTTTTTTTTTTTTTTCTTAAGAAAGTCTTTTATCTTTGTTGCTACATCCACTTGTCTAGACAGAGCAAAACCGTATCTCAGCTGAAAAACTGGACTCATAAAAGCAAAGCAAGCAATCAAAAAAAAAAAACCAAAAACCCAAAAACCCACCCAGTTTTGTAACTACCAGGATATCCACTAAGCTCAACTTTCCAGCCACTTGGCTGTGACACACACAGGTTACCTCCCTTATTCTTGTGTTTGTACCTGGGTGCAAAGCACAAGAAAATGCAGTTGGAAGCCCAACACTCAAAGCACCATCTGGATGCCTGCCTCGTTTGTCTGTGTGCTCCTATCTTATTTTTAAAGCCAGACAGATCTCAACAAGACATGGGCTTTGAGAAAAACAAAAAAGTTGAAGCTTGCAACTTTGCAAGGAGGAGTAAAGATACACTAAAACATTAAATCTGATTAGAAGTGGAATCCTTGTTTCCAGACAGATTTGGGGAATGCAAGTCTTGTCTTTGAAAGATGCAGATGTAAGATGGGGAGCTCACAAACCTACAGAGCATCCTCACACTGGACGACGTTTAGGGTATGCCCTCCATGGAATTACAGAGCTGCCTTTCCATGCCCACATCTATGGCAGGGCAGCCTAAGAGGCAGGCAGGCATTTGGGTGAGGAGACTGGCTAAAGTGTTGGAGAATTAAAGAAAAAGGTGTGTGTGAGGGATGAGAAGAGCCGCCCAGCCCTGCCCTGCCTGCAGGAGACAGGCAACGACAGGCAGCAGGGCAGGGGAAGGTGCCAGGGAAAGCCTGCCCTGCAGCCGGCACCCCGGAGCCGCTCTCCCTCCAGGCAGAACCAAAAACGGGCCTAGGCACCCAGAACTCTGAGCAAGCCTCGACTCATCCTCGCAGCCAGCCAGGCAAAATTAAAAACAAAGCGGGGAGAAGCAGAGCACCAAGCACTACACTGACCGGGCTGCGGGTACTTGGGCAGAGAGCCGTGCTTCTGGAGAAGCCAGGATTAGCGTGAGGATGGTAAAATCAAAGAGAAAAGAAGGAGGTTGAAAAGCTGAAAAACGATGGGAAGGTGCAGGAACATGAGAAGATGAAGGAGGCTGAGAAGGAGGAGGAGGGCTCCGCGGCTGCAGCGTGCAACACTGCCGGGTCTGTCATCATCCTCCGGCGGCGGGAGGGCGGGGGAAGGAGGGCAGCAGGGCGGCCTCACCTGATGAGGTCCAAGAAGGAGTCCACCGTCTCCTTGCTCTTGGGCAGCGCGCCCGGCAGCCCCAGCTGGGTGTTGAGCGCGGAGGCACCGGCACCGGGGCGGATGATGAAGCCGAGGGCGACGGCGAGGCCGGAGGCGAGCAGCGTGGTGCCGAGGAAATAGGCGACCGCGATGCCACCCAGGCGGCCGAGCGAGCGGGTGTCCAGGCTGGCGGCGCCCGACACCAGGCTGCAGACCACGAGCGGCAGGATCACCATGCGCAGCATCCGCAGCAGCAGCTCCCCGGGGAAGGCCAGGTAGGAGACCTGCGCCGGGCCCAGCGCCGCGCCGCGCACCGCGGCGCCCAGCGCCACGCCGGCCACCACCCCCGACACCGTCAGCAGCACCAGCGCGTTGCGCCGCAGGAACGCGCGGCAGCCCCGCAGCCGGGCCCCGCCGCCCCGCCGCTGCTCCGCCGCCGGGCCCTCCGCATGGCCGTTCCGCCCGTGGCCCGCCTTGCCCTCACCCGCTGCCGCCGCCTCCATGCTGCGCCGAACCGCGGCTCCGCGTGTGCCGCTACCGCGCGGCGCTCTGGGCACGGACTGAACGGCGGGCCCGCCCCGGCCGGGCACGGGAGCTGGAGCGGCGCCGGCCCCGCCCGGGGGAGGGAGCGCGGAGCCCCCGGCCCGCCCCGCGCCCGCCCGGCCCGGGCTGGCTGCGCGCCATGGCCGCCTCAGGGCCGCGCTGCCCCCGCGCCCGCCGTGAGGCCCCTGAGGGTGCTCAGGGCCTCCTCTGTGTCCCCGAGATCACGCGTGTGTCCCCACGGTTTGCACACATCCCCGTCGGTGCCACAGAGCTAACAAGTGTCCCCACAGCGTCCACCTTCATGTCCGTGTGGGTCACGCTTGTCCCTCCGTTGTCCTCCCTCAGTATCCCCATTGTTCGCACACACCGCCGTGGTGTCCCCATGTCCTCTCAATCACATCCCCTCAGTGTCCCAGGGCTCACACGTGTGCCCTCTTTTCGCGTCCATGTCCCCTCATTGTCCCCCCTCAATACCATCATGGTTTGTACACACCCCCGCAGTGTCCCCATAGTTCACACATGGCCCCTCAGTGTCCCTACACCTCACATATGTCCCCGTCCATGCTCTCGTGGTTCTGTCACATCCCCTCAGTGTGCCCGTGGCTCACCAAGTGTCCCCCTCAGTGTCCCCATGGTTTGCACACATCCCTGTCGGTGCCACAGAGCTAACAAGTGTCCCCACAGCGTCCACTTTCGTGTCCGTGTGGGTCACTCTTCTCCCTCCATTGTCCTCCCTCAGAATCCCCATTGTTCGCACACACCGCCGTGGTGTCCCCATGTCCTCTCAATCACGTCCCCTCAGTGTCCCAGGGCTCACACGTGTGCCCTCTTTTTGCGTCCATGTCCCCGCATTGTCCCCCCTCAATACCATCATGGTTCATACACACCCCCGCAGTGTCCCCATAGTTCACACATGGCCCCTCAGTGTCCCTACAGCTCACATATGTCCCCCTCCATGTTCTCGTGGTTCAGTCACATCCCCCACGTGCCCGTGTGTCCCCCTCAGTGTCCCCATGGTTTGCATACATCCCCATCAGTGCTCCGTTCAGAGACCCCCCTCAATGTCTTCACAACTCACACATTGTCCCCATCAGTGGGGCTCACATGTGCCCTCAGTGTCCCCCTCTCCTCTCCAGGAACTTCTCACAGAGGCAGGAGCCATCCTCTGCACCAGGACAGGTTGTGTCTGTGTCCCTGTCTGCACAGTCAAAGCCATTCAGCAGGTCCATGGGTTCATCCGGAGCAGGGTGATGTGGACACAGGGACTCTGAGCACCCTTCCTTGAGGAATCCCATGTCTCACCACACTAGTTGGTTGTCTGAGGAGCAGACAGTGTCTGTGATGATACATGGGGCTGATAAAGGGCACTTGGGGCTTTCAAACCCACGAGAGTGTCCTGAGTGCACTGATGTCATGTTTGCTCACAAGGGCACTTCCAGGAGCTCCAGCTGGTGTTTGGACTCTCTCAGGGGCTCCATTTCAGCTCATTCCCTTGACATCAGCAAAGCACAGCCTAGCAGAAAACACGCTGTGAAAACAGCCAGCCACGCATCTGCTTTCGGAGTACACTGCACTAATTAAAGAGACTGACAGGATGTGATGCAACAATAATCCCGATTTAATAAGGCTTTTCTGCTTTCTGATCTCATGGATAGACCTGAAGATTGTTTTACCATGCCTGGAGTTCCTAGGAATTGTCTGTGTGTAAATAGGCAACAACACCACTGACAAGCAGTTGTGTCCACCAGCATCCACTTTAGAGCTTGAAGAAAATTCTTGATTCCCTCTTGCACTGAAATTAGACTGACGATACCAGCACATTCTTATTGATTCTGGGGTTTTTTTCCCCTGATAACTTTCCCTTTGTGTAACACTTGGTTTGTGGAAGTCTGTAAATCAATGTCCCATCACATCAGCAGATATAGGAAACAGAGACTAAACAGGAAAACAAGTGTCTGCAAACACTTTTAAAGACATGCAATTCCACAAACCTCAAAAGGAACAAAAATTACGTAGATATTTTAAAATTGGGTTTGAATTTTTTTCTGCGAATAGGTTTGTGAATAAAAAACAAGTTACTGTCCAACATAATTGTTTCTTTCTCTATCAGAAGCATTTCTAAAATGACAGCATTTCTAAAATGACAACAGAAAAATACAAAATAAATATAAAAATAAATATAAAAATAAATACAAAAATCTATTCCTTGTTTCAGTTGAGAAGAGATTCTAAAACCAAACAACAAACACAAATGCTGTTCCCTTGTGCAAAGTGAAAGCAAGGGGAGAAATTCAGGAAAGTGTGAACAAGAATAATGTATTAAGTCAGAAAACTCATTGATAGCAGCACATGTATGAGACCAGTGCAAGAACCAGCACAGACCCTTCCCTACCATATGACAGTAGACTCCTCTCTCTTGGAGTATCCCCCCCATGTCCTTGTGGGACTGACCTTGCTCAGGGCAGTGCTGTGGGAGCAGCCAGGAACACACACCTCCAGCACTGTAAATCCCAGTGAAAGCTCTTGAACCCATGCTGGGGCTGTTTGGTGATAGCCAACCCTTCCAAAACAACACTTTGACAAAGGGATGCTGGTGTCAAGCTTCCTCATCAATCACACCATGAGAATTCCCCCTAATTTCCCCTTCCTTTTTCTCCCTCTCTTGATTTTTTGATTCAAATACTGATCCAAACAGTTATCCTTCCTCTCTTGACGTATCTCCAGATGACAAATGCTTTTGCCAACGAGAAGACAACACAGCACGTGAACCTCCCACCATACAAATGGACATCATCCCAAAGATGTTCTAGGCAAAGCTAACTGTTTTTCCACCCTGTGAGAGTTCATGGATGGCTGCAGTGATTAACCCTGAAGCCTGATGGCTTATTCAGTAGTAATCATTGACTGATCCATTGTGTCATGTTTTCATTTCAGCGCTTGTAGATCCTGGGAGCTTTCCAGTGAGTCAGTCTGCAAGTTTCCAGTGTCCACCCCACTGCTTCTAAATTAGGGATTTTGACTTTTCCCTATTTGGAACGTGGAGATTTTTTTTTTTTTTTTTTTGGCTTAAGTGGTTTTCACCAAAATAGGGCTAGGGTGCTTCCTCCAGAAATCAGCAGAGGGATCATGAACAGGCAACAACAACAACAGCAAAATAACCAGAAAAAAAAAAATCCAGGTACTTTTAAATAAAATTTTCTTTAATGCTTTTGCTTTCAGTGAAAAAACAGCCAATATAGTTTTCACCACTGCCCCAGAAGGAAGATGCCATGCTGTTTTCCAGTCAAATTCAACTCAATACCAGTTTTTGATGGTAGGTGTTTGAAATTCCAGCCTCAGTAGAAGGAATGAAAAAATCTTAATGGCTGTAAGGTCCTTCCCTTCTGTGTTTCTTCTGCACATCCGTATAGATTGATACTTATAATAACACACTGGAAATGTAGGATTTTAATGCCCCTAGGAAACAGAGGTCATTGTTTCTCACACCTGTGGAAGGTCAACACAAAGACTGGAAGAAATCAGATTTTAATTTCTTTGCTAGGGGAGGAGAGGAAGGCCTTCAAAGAGCTGTTTGCAGCTCCCTGAGTCTCATGCCTGATGCATACAAGTCTCAGCAGCTGGCACAGGTTAGAGTAGCCCTCAGGCCACATTTCCTACAAACCTGCATAGCAGCAGGAGTGCAGAGAACACTCACTGTGCCACCTCCACTTTCCCCATCTTCCTGCTGCTATTTCCCTCTTCCTAAGACTTGCAAGGTCGTCTGCAGCTTTTTCCTTGGGTCTGGCTGCTGTGTGCTCTCTGTTCTTGGGAGACCCGATAGAAACATCAGCAGGATTCCAGATAAATCATCCATCCATCATCTCCTGCAACTGCTTTGATTTGAAGTAGTTTGATGCCTCAAAGGCATGGTGGGAGGAGAGAACAAGATGAAAGGGAAGAGGGCAGGAAGGAGTTGCATTTTATAGCCATGTTTTTCATGAGAAGCCTGAATAAAGGTGCTCTGAAGCTTCCCAATGGAGATGTGCTGGGCAGCCTGCAGTGTCCTAAGGGGCTGTATTACAGTGTGGCCTTTTTCTGAGGAGGATTCATGAAGAGCACATGGGAGAGATTTTATTTTCTACTGAGCAAAATGAAGTCCTCAGAAGAGCCACAGCGCGTGAGCTGAGGCAGGAAGGCCTAGAGCACTTTCTTGGTGTGCAGACATTTAGTTTGGCAAGAAGTCTTTGTTGGGTCATAAGTGCTCACACCTGATTGAAAATGTTCTGAGTAGGGCAAAAACTGTCATCTGTAAATGCATTTTCTAATAGCAGAGGCAGGCAAGAAATTTTGCAAATACGCCTTGCTTGCCCAAACTCCAATAAAATATAAACTCTGTAGACAGGGATGGTTGACCTAGGGTAAATGTTTAACTTTATCCTTCAAAGGCACATGTAGTTTTACCAGAAAGAAGATTAAAAATATAGAATAATACCCACACACACATACCTTGTTTACTCTAAGGATCCTTTGATACCTCTGGAAACAAAGTTATACTGAGGCAAGAGTAATTTTTAAACTGCATGTGTCTTTTCAAAAATTAACATAATATAAAAAACATGAAGAAAAACCAATCACCCCCCAAGAATAGTAGAATTTTTTCCTTCATAAGCTCTCCCTGAGGTTTTTTGTTGAGTTTAAATCAAGGAAAAGCAGGGAAAAGTACGGAAAAAAGGGCAAGAACAAGAACAGACATTCAAGATCTTGGATATGTGACAACCTGTCCTAGCAGGGGACATTGCCTCTAGCTGGTGGGGGAAATTCAGGGTCAGGCTTTTCAAAACAAGCAGGGCTGATCTGAAAACAAGCAGTGAAGCTTTACTACTGAAGAAGCAAGGGAAGCGACTGGAGCCTCTTGGCCATGGGAAGCATGCTTGAATGGAGAGCTTGAAAATGCTCCAAGTGCCTGCTGATTTCTCCCATGGTAGTGGATTGA